AGCAAAATGGGATCGCTGAGCGTCGCATTGGCCTGATCATGGAGGTTGCTCGTACCTCCATGATCCATGCGGCTGCTCCCCATTTCCTGTGGCCGTTTGCGGTCCGATACGCCGCGCATCAGCTCAACCTCTGGCCCCGTGTCTCTGCTCCAGAGACCTCGCCCACACTCCGTTGGACGGGACAGCCTGGTGATGCGTCGTCGTTTCAGGTCTGGGGCGCGCTCTCCCTTGTTCGCGATACCAAAGCCAGCAAGCTCTCTCCTCGCACTCTCCGCTGTGTCTTCCTGGGCTTCCCCACCGACGCTCCACCCTGGCAGTTCTACCACCCTGCCTCGCGTCGTGTTCTGTCCTCTCAGGACGTCACCTTCGACGAGTCGGTCTGTTACTACCGACTTCACCCACACGCGTCCCACCCGGTCCCCCTCGCGCCTCTCTTCCTGGTACCAGTCCCCCCCTCGGTAGACCCCCTTCCCCCACAGGGTCCTGCTCCCTCAGGTGTGTCCCACGTAGACCCACCCCCCTTGGATGAGCCAGTTGAGATCTCTTCTGACTCCTCTGACTCAGCTGAGGGGGGTGACGCCGTCGCCGACGACACGGCGACCACTCGCCACACTCCTCGCTTGGAGACCCCCCCGGGTTTCCCGCCTCGGCCGTCTTCGCCACCTCCGCAGCCTGCTGCTGTGGACTCTGGAGCTGAGGCTGCTGGAGCTGGGCCTGGGAGTGGTACGTCTGGGGGTGACTGCTCTCCTCGTTTGGCTACCCCCCCCGGTTTCCCGCCTCTGCAGCCTTCTGCAGTGGACACTGGTGCTAGGACTGAGTGTACTGAGCCTGCGGGTGCTGGGACTGAGGGCACTGAGCCTGCGGGTGCTGGGACTGAGGGTACTGAGCCTGAGGGTACTGAGCTTGGGGGTACTGAGACTTTGGGTGCTGACTCTGGGGGTGCTGAGACTTCGGGTGCTGACTTTGGGGGTGCTGCGAGTCCTTCTGGAGGTCCTGGAGCTGGAGGTACTGGAGCTACTAGGCCTGGAGGTACTACTGGAGGTACTGGAGCTGCTGCTGGTGCTGGAGGTGCTGGAGCTGGGGGTACTAGAGGTGCTTCTGGTGTTGGAGGTGCTAGAGCTACCACTACTGGAGGTAGTGGAGCGGGACAGCCACCGCAGCCTGCTCTACTTGAGACGCTCTCGCCGCAGGCGATTCGTGCGTGGGTCGTTCGGCGAGGCAGTCCTGGTAGTGGAGGGTACGGTCCGGCTGGTGCTGGAGCTACTAGTCCAGGAGGTGCTGCTGGTGCTGGGGTGCTGGAGGTACTATCGGAGGTACTAGAGGTACTGCTGGTGCTGGAGGTGCTGCTGGTGCTGGGGGTACTGGAGCTGCTGCTGGTGCTAAAGGTACTGGAGGTGCTGGAGCTACTGGTCCCGGAGGTGCTCGTACTGGAGGTGCTGGAGCTGCCGGAGCAGGTGGTGCTGCTGGTGCTGGAGGTGCTGGAGGTGCTACTGGAGCTGCTGGCACGGGAGGTACTGGAGGTACTACTGGTGCTGGAGGCGCTGGAGCTGGAGCTGGAGGCACTGGAGGTGCTGGAGGTACTACTGGTGCTCGAGGTGCTGGCGCTGTCGGAGCTTGTGGTGCTGGAGGTGCTAGTGCTACTGGTGCTGGAGGTGTTGCTGGGGGTACTGGAGGAGCTGCTCGTGCTGGAGGTACAAGAGCTACTGGTGCTCTTCGCCACCTTCTCAGTCTTCCGCCAGGTGCTACTGGCTTCCCTGTGGCAGGTACTACTCCTCTGTTGCTGTGTCCGCCAGTGGACCAGTCACAGCCACCACTGCTACCAGTGTCCCCACTGCCTGCTCCTGCTCCTTACACTGCGGTGTCAGAGTCCCTGACTGAGCGTCGAGAGCCTGAGACTCGTGCTTCCACCCCTGAGCGTCGAGAGCCTGAGTCTAGCTTTGACCTTGAGCCTGAGCCTAGAGCTGCTGTCCGTGCTCGTGTTCCTCGTGTTCGTCGTCCGCGTGCTTCGGCTGTCCCCGGCACTCACGATATGACACTCCGTCCTTCCTCTGTTCCTCAGCGTGTTGTACTACCGTTACCTCCTGTGTCCTCTCTGCCTGACGTTGCTGACCCTCCGTCTGACCTTGCTCGTGCGTCCAGTCCGACTGCTACTCGCCTTCTTGCTACGGTTGTGATGGACCCTACGTTCTCGTCTCCTGCTGCGTCTGCCCTAGTAGTTGAGCTCGTTGACTTTGCTGCTGTGTACCGCCTAGACTACCTTGCGAGTCTTGTCTCTGACCCTGTCCCTGCCTGTACTCCGTCCGTCGGGGGTGAGACTGCTCTTGGCTGTACTGCCCTTGGCTGTGACGTTCTTGAGGACAGACAGGAGGAGCTGGAGTGCCTTGCTGCCGCTTCACCCCATCACGCGACCATGCTGCTTGCCCCTGAGGGAGACACGGATGCACTTGACATCCCCACCCCGCGCTCCTACAGGGAGGCGATTTCGGGTGAGTACTCCTCTCAGTGGCAGACAGCCATGGACGCAGAGATGGCTTCCTGGAAGTCCACAGGCACCTACGTCGACAAGGTTCCCCCACCTGAGGCAAACATCGTCAATGGCATGTGGATTTTCAGGGTGAAGCGGCCGCCGGGTTCTCCGCCTGCCTTCAAGGCACGTTACGTTTCTCGAGGCTTCAGTCAGCGTGAGGGGGTCGACTTCTTTCAGACCTTCTCCCCCACCCTGAAGATGACCACTCTTCGGGTGTTGCTACACGTTCAGCGTGACTACGAGCTGCACTCCCTCGACTTCTCGACAGCTTTCTTGCAGGGTAGCCTTCACGAGGCCATCTGGTTGCGCCGTTCACAGGGCTTCACTGGGTCGTTTCCTGAGGGTACCCAGTGGAGCCTACGGCGACCAGTGTACGGCCTGCGTCAGGCGCCCCGTGAGTGGCACGACACACTGAGGACGACACTTGCGGCTCTTGGGTTTGCTCCTTCGACTGCTGACCCGTCGCTGTTTCTCCGCACCGACACTACTCTGCCGCCGTTCTACATCCTCATGTACGTCGACGACTTGGTTTTTGCTACTGCTGGCACTGAGGCACTGACCCTAGTGAAGGCGGAGCTGCAGGAGAGACACACCTGCACTGACCTGGGTGAGCTGCGGAGCTATCTTGGCTTGCAGATCACCCGGGACAGACCACGGCGCACCATCACCCTCACTCAGTCACACATGGTGCACCAGGTCCTTCAGCGCTTCCGCTTCACTTGGTCCTCGCCACAGCCCACTCCTCTGTCTACCGGCCACTCGCTCTCAGCTCCACCTTCGGACGAGTCCGTAGAGCCAAGTGGTCCGTACCCAGAGCTTGTGGGTTGCCTCATGTACCTGATGACGTGCACAAGACCTGACCTCGCGTACCCTCTCAGCCTCCTGGCTCGCTACGTGGCACCTGGTCGACACCGAAAGGTGCACTTTGATGCTGCGAAGAGGGTACTGCGTTACTTGTGCAGCACATCGGGCATGGGGCTCGTGCTTGGAGGACGGGGTTCGGTGGTCCTCACAGGACACTCTGACGCTTCTTGGGCTGACGACCAGACGACTCAGCGTTCGTCACAGGGTTACACCTTCGGTCTTGGCTCTGGTTCTGTCCTTGGTTCCAGCTGTGAGGCCGAGATCTACGATGGGGCCATGGCTGCACAGGAGCTACGCTGGCTGACCTACCTGCTGACCGACTTGGGGGAGCGGCCTCGTTCTCCTCCAGTTCTGTACGTCGACAACAAGGCAATGCTTGCCTTGTGTCGCGAGCAGAGACTGGAGCACAGAACGAAGCACATTGCTCTTCGCTACTTCCTTGCGCGTGAGCTGCAGCAGCGTGGTCAGCTGCGCCTTGCTTACGTGGCCTCTCGGGCCAACACTGCTGATGTCTTCACCAAGGCCCTTGGGTCTGGTGATCATCACCGTTTCTACACTGCTCTTGGGCTTGTGCCCACTCTGCCTCACCTGTTGGTTGCTTGACTTGCTCTTGTTGTACACTGCTATATATCTTTATGCCTGCATGTTTTCTCTTGCTAGGTTGTGAGCAGTGTACTGCCTTGCTATTATATACCTCTGCATGTGAACTGGCCTTGTGGCCACTTGCTTGCGCTCAGAATGCGTGGTGACTTTGTGATCCACCCTGAGTTGTGTTCTCTTCTGCAGACTGGTCTTGTGACCACTAGTTGTGTTTGCTGTCCCCTACTTTGCTAATGGAGGTGTGTCAGATTACAATTGTATCTCTAGGCTACAGTAGGGTCACTCCTTAGTGAGTACAACACTTTTAGGGTTAGGTTTCCTGTACTTGTACTCACCTCTTGCCTAGTTCAATCATTCATTCCTAGTTCTATTCTTGACAACTCCTTCATTGGAGTTGCCATTATTGGTGGTACAATTAGGTGTGAATGGATGGGTATGGGCAGGGTAGCTGGTAGCATAAATTCCCTGCTGTGTGGTTTCATAATCATTCATTCCATTGGAAACCTTCCAGTTCTGTTCTGCTATACAATCAAGGCTTCCGCAACGATGGCACTATGCCTTTCTAGCAGCATGTAACATTGCCATGAACGCTCCTGGCCCCACTAGCATGTGGTTCACCAATGAAAACTCTCTCAGAAGGTCCCTGCTGTTATGTGCTGGTCCACCATCGTTAGTCTGGCAGCATATCAAAACAGGTTGACGTGATGTGCACGTGTGCTTTACATCTTAGGCTGTGGGTCTGGGTGTAGGGCGCCAATGGATCTAGTCCAGTTGGCTTCACGGTGCACTATATCAGTTTTTCATTCCAGGCTACACCTAATCTGCTGCTTTTTGCAGCAGGTAAAATAATACACAGGATCATGAAGCCTTTGCACGTGAGTGATCTCCCCCTCCTGCCCTTGCGTCGTGCCGCAGCACGTGTGGTGCCATGCATGCTATCACGCTAGAGCGCTGTCAGGCTCAGGGCAAGGGGCTGGTTACAGGGAGGTGCCGTTACAGGGAGGTGCCATTACAGGGAGGTGCCGACGTGATTGTAGAGGGAGTCAAAGCCGTTGAGCCAGCAGGGCAGCGAGTAGATGAGCAGGCCGAGGGCAAAGGAGGGCAGGATGGTGAGCAGTGCGTAGGCGTAGGCCTTGGCGGGCGAGCGCAGCGTGTAATGCAGGTAGAGCGCCTCTAGGGACGGCATTGAGACGGTGCTGAGGCACGCCAGGAAGCCCAGCTGCATCGCCCCCACTGCCACCTCGCTCGCTGTGCTCTGGTACTGCCGAGGGGAGAAGATTGGGTAAGGGTGGGAAAGGGAGGGGAATGAGGGAGCGGGAGGATGGGGACGGCAAGCGAGTGAGGCGAGTGGTGCGAATATGTGGAGTGGGGTGGGGAGGCGGATGAGGCAGCTCGGTGGGTGGGGGTGAGGAAGTGGAGTGGGGAGAGGAGATGGGGAATGACGACGACAGACAGGGGACGAAGGACGAGGAATAGCAGGGGTGGCAGGGGCGCACCGTGAGGAAGAGGATGGAGATGACAGCTTCCACTGCCGCCGCCCCCACGTTCGCCATCCACGTGCCCCACGGCATCCACTCCCACGCGCGCGCGCCCTCCCCCCCCTCCGCCAGCAGCGCCGTTTCCGTCCCGGAAGGGGGGGAACGGGCGCAGGGGAGGAAGGGGAGGCGGAGAGGGAAAGATCCCCCGTTGAAGTGAAGGAGGAGGAAGCGGAGGTGGGTGCCTAAGGGGGCGAGGAGGCACGCGCACGCCAGCATGCGCCACTTGTGCGAGGTTGGGGGGAGCAGCAGCGCGCAGAGTCCCGCGAGGAGCAGCATGGCGGCGGAGAGCAGCAGCATGGGGAGCATGTGGTGGCGGTGGTGGGGGGGATCGGTTGGCGGAGCAGGCGCGGGGACCTTAGCGCCTGGAAGAGTGCAGGGCAGGAGGGAGGACGCGGGGGAGAAGCGCGCGGAGGCGGAGGATTGGCGGATGGCGGTCCCCGCGTCGACGCCCGCGACGAGCGCGACGAGGGGGAGCGCGGAGCCGGTGAAGTACCCGAAGGCGGCGCGCGCCCACAGCCCCGCCGTGGCGATGGAGACCATGCGCTGGTTCCACGTGGCGAACGTTGATATGCTGCCGCACAGCCCGACGACAACGGCGATGGCGAGGTGGCGCGAGCGCGCGAGCAGCGCGGGGAGCAGCGCGACGGCGGAGAGGCCGAGGAGGAACGCGCCGAGCATGTTGGCGGGCAGGTCGACGAAAACCGTCAGCGCGTCGTCCGTCACGTGCGCCACGTTCGGACCGAATAGCTCGTCCAATAGAAACTGAATGCACACCTGCGCGCGCGGAGGGGAGCGGGACGGGGATAAATGGGAGGGCTGAAGGGGGTTAGAGGGGAACGGGAGAGTTCCGCAGGGACGTGGATGCGTGGTGGGATTTGATGCGAGAGGGAGCGGTTGGGGGGGAGTGCGCGCGCGCGGGGGGTGACACGCACCCCGACGATGGCGAACGGCGTGATGTGCGCCACGAGGCTCGCGCCGTCCATCCACCGGTCCCACCGCTCCGCGCGCTCGATTCCGCCCGGGGAATCCGCGCGCGCGCAGACGCATGCGGGGGGCGTGTCGAAGAATCCCACGTGGCTGGCGTAGCAGTAGTCGGACCCCGTCACCTGCCGCGCGCGCGCATTATGGGGGAGTGGCGGAAGACAGGGGCAAGGGGGGGCATGCAAGTGAGACGGGGAACACGGAGACGAGGGTTTGAAATCCCAGTGTTCGGAAAGAATGAGCTAAGCACCCCCCACCGTCTCCGCTCCTTTACTCGCGCATCCGTCCTACCGACCGAGCCCTCTCAACCCCGCCGTAGAACTGACCGCCTTACCTCGTCCGCGGATGTAAGCGGAAGGGCGCACTTCCGCCGACGACGATTGGCGCGGCAGATACAAGCCGCGCCGCTGCCTGTTTCCGCCTGTTGCGTCACGCCGTCCCTCCCGGAGACGGCACCCGCGCTCGCCGACGATGCGCTGCCGCCGCAATTGGTGCTTTGCGGCGATCCCAGGTCGATCTGGCTCGCGAGCTCGGCGCGCTGCTGCGCAGTGGTACTTGCATTGGGCTCCGCGTCGCACGACGCAGCAGCAGAGGCTTCAGTGAGCGGCCGCTGATCCACGTGTGCGCTTCTCGTGCTGCTTCTAGGCTCAGATGCCGTGGCGCCCGCTCGACTCGACGCCCTTTTCTTATCCGAACCCGCTGCTGCTACTGCGGCGCCACACGAGGACGATCCGCCGCTCCCCTGCCTCCCCGTGTCGCTGTGGCTTGCAGCTGCTGTGGAGGGGCATGCGAGCACAGCAGCATCCTGAATGACACGTGAAGGACGCGCCACGTCAGCTGCGGGCATTGGAAGCGTGGGTCGCTGGCTGTCGCCGTTCATTGTCCGGCTGAGAACCGACTTTGGAATCCAAGGTAAGGCGGAGCCGCGGAGTGATTGCACGTGCCCCTATCGGACTCAGCAGACAGCGGTGCGCGCAGCGACGATAGCGTGCCGATTCCAGCTCTAACGGAGCCCGACCATCGCGCAACAGCTTATTCCTAAAACAACGTGCAGCAGATTACAGCAGACGATATCTCTAGTGGGGATCCGTAGTTAGAGGGTTGAATAGACAGAGAACGCGCCGCTAAAAGAGAAGTCGGACTGGCGGCGTGCGACAGTGAAATATGATAATGTCACGATGTTCAGCATGAGCGCCTCTAGATCCTAGATGCAACCCGAGCTCAAATACCCAGTGGTCAAGGAAGTGGTAAGTCGCAAATTAACTCGGTGGAGGTTGACTTGGGGTTTGCTGTGCCTGGGTTAGTCAAGGGAGGGAGGTATCGTGCTGGTGTAGGCATTGTAGGGGGAGGTACATGCGATGGCCGTTTTGCTGTCAGGGGGGAAGGCGAGACACTGCTGGAGGGGAGGGGCGTTGTTTGTTGCAGCACGCGCACAGCGGGGCGTGGTGGTATGGCTGTGGCTCGCAGAGGGAGCGCCGGGCCGGGCTGTATTTGTTACAAGGCACTGCTCGTGCAGCCAATCGGGGGGTAACAGGGGAATGTCGTTGGGTGGGCGGGATGGAGCATGGATGGCATGGAGAGGGGAGGGGAGGAATCCCCATTGGGGATGGGTGGGATGCGGGGGAAAGGACGAGGAGGGGGCTGCGCAGGGGCAGGTGTATGTACAGTACTGGTGTTCTGGTGCGGCTGAACCTGCATCCGCGGATCCTGTCACTCTCCACCGAGCCAATCCCTCCCCCCGCGCTTCTGCGGGGATAGCACACCGCACCATTTGCCCCGCAGTGGAGGCTCGAGTGGGCACGAGAGGCTGACAGCTGGGGGGGTTTGAGGGAGGGAAAAAGAGCGGAGCAGAGTGAATGAGGGCTGTTGAGAACTTCGAGGAGGCGGAAGGATGAAGCCTCGAAAGCTAGCCACGGTGGGAAGGGCCGAGCGCGCTAGATTGGACCCTCCGTCAGCCGCAGCAGCCAGCCAATAGAAAGGGAAGATGACGTCTGGTCTGTAGTGGTGCAGGAGTAACTCTTGGATTCATCCGTTCAATCAGCGTGCGCCACGTCTGCCATGTCACAAGTGTGCGGAACAGTGACACACCCACAGATGATACCTGCACTGTCAGAAACAACCTGAGATCTTTAAAGGATGATGTGTTTCGATATAAATATATTTCTCGCTCAAAACCTTCAAACCAGTGGCGAACCATTTCAAACCGCATCAAAGTGAACTTTGATAAATGTACAGAATGATACAAGCAATAAGTAACCAATCATTAGGATACACACATCAATACATTCACAACAATTCCGCTTATTGACGGTTAATGACCAGAGTGGGGTACTACCACGTAGCAATAAAGAAGATGATAGATAAGTCATCTTCAGCCAACAAAACCGTGTCAATCATCGTGTGCACCGCATGAGCACCAATCGAGGGCTAAGGGGGCGGTTGATGCTTCGTTGCTCCCAGCACACCCAAGAGTCAGCGGGCAGAGACGCTGCCACCTCCACAACAGCGTCGTACTCCTCCCTTGGGCAGATTCAAAGGCATTCCGAAGCAGGGGAAGGGAGAATTGCCAAACGACACTTTTGAAGACGCGGCATATTCCATTAATAACAGAGGATGTGCAAAACATGTGAGTTGAGTCCACATCGTTTTGTATCATAATCACCTCGCACCCCTGTCAGATCAATTGCCCCTCCGAATCCTGCTCTCTCACCTGCCCCCTGGGTGGCCCACATAGGCCATGACACTGACTACGCCGCCCACAGCTGTGGCTGCCACGGCTGCCTGCAGCGCTGCCACCGTGCTGCCCGGCTGTGTCGTGATGCCCTCCGGGCCGAAGGTAGGAGAGGGAACGGTGGTGGGAGGAGCGTGGTGGGCCCGAGGCAGGTAACCAAGGTTGAACGCCACCAGACTGGTTTGGTCCAGGTGAGAGGTGGAAGGGGGTGCGAGCGAGGGGGGGGGAGTGTGCAATGTTGTTGAGGAGTAGTGGGCATAGAGTGGGAAATGGAAGGTGTTGAGGAAGGTGAATGGAAGAATGGAAGACCTGAGGAGGGTGATTGAACAAGTGGAAGATTTGCTAGCGGGTGACACATCATTGATCGTATATGGCATGGTGTGTGGTTGAACGGGGCGTGGTACGAGATTCAGCATAGCATGTGAGTAATTGTGGCATTCCGGGGTACTACCGTGCAGAGCCAGGAGCGACATGGTGGAGCAGCGTGGAGTGGCATGCACACACCGTGTGCACGTGAGCCATCTGCCAGATGCGAGAAAGGGAGGTTGGGGGAAGGGGGAGGGAAGAGGCATTGAAGAAGCTTTGGTAGCAGCAGTGGCACAAACGCTTATGTGTGAACACATGCACACGTGCAGCCAGTCACAAAGGCACATATTTGTGTGCCCACACGTGCACTGCACACAGATGCGATGCTGCTGTGCGTTTCTCACTCACCTGCGCGTCTGACAGGCCAGCTGCCAGCAGGCGATGGGTTCTGCTGACGGCCTCCTCCTGTATGTCCATGGCCACCACTCGCCCCCGCACCTCCTCCCCTGCGCTCCCTGCCTCGCCTGCACGGCGCAACCCAACTCGTACCCCCACACATCCACCATTCACACGCAGCCATGGAGGGGCACACAGGGGTTTAGCATCTGGCAGGGCAGGGCAGGGCATTGCGTGCGAGCAGTGCGAGGCGAGGCCTCACCATCGCTGGGTGGCGCGGGGGCGAGGGCGAGAGCAGCCATGGCCATGCTGTCGTGCCCGTTGCCGCACGTCGCGTCCACCACCGTGTCGCCGCGCCGCACCACGCCTCTCCACAGCCTGACCCGCTCGCACAAAAAGACGGCAGGCGGAAGGAGGGCGGATAGAATGAGGGCGGGCGGAGGATGAATGGCGGAACACGGAAGCACGGAGGTTGGGGGAGGGGGAGGGGGAGGGGGTGGGGGAGGTGGAGGGGTGGGGAGAAGGGGGAAGGAGAGCGCGCGCCTACTGGTGAGCGACGGCGGTGAGTTTGCGGCCGCGGAGCAGCGACTCAGCCAGGTCGGGCTCGCTGGGCTCCGCTCGCGACGAGGCCGCTGGTGTCGCCATTTCCTGCGCCGCTTGGCATGAGAAAGAACATCGTCGTTGCGGGACGCCAGCCGCCGTGAATACTGACGTCGTCGTCTCAATCCTCGTTGACAGCTCGCTAGAATTGGGCCGCCTCAGGCTGTCGCCGCACACCTTTCCTGAGGGCGTGTTTAGATGAAGCACATCCTTCGTGAAATTCCATGAAATCCCTATCGTTCGAGACCTATTTGCACCTAGAGGGGTTCTTAAAGCCAGGATCTCAAGTACCGGAAATTGTGGTCAACTGCAAAACACTTGACGGCTGGTTACTATGTTAATTGCGCCGAAGTGACAGGTTGGGTTGTGATGCATTTTGATTGGTCACCTCACCAAACCAGCCCAGAAAACCAATTCTGCGACTTCGAGCGACCTCAACCACGGAAAGAATCGCCAGCCCAGCACAACCAAATGCAAAACATCTGCAAAACAACTTGAGACAGAATGTAGGAGTGGCTAGAGCCGAGGAGAACACCCTCTCGACTGAACTATCACGCTAGCGGCAATCACGCCAATCCCATTCACGGCAAGCAGCACATCCTACTCGCATGTCTAACACTCACACACATTTCAGAGAAACCTACATAGAGATAAAATCGCGTCGGAAAAGCAAGATAGCGTAGGATAGTACCGTAGGTTGAATCCCTCCGCATTCGCCGGGTCGCCTGCGATGAGGACTCGTCGCCGTAATAGAAGGCGCAATGTAAGGCACATTCCTCGCTCACACTCCTCCCCTCCGCGCTCACTGTCTCTGCCCTCCGCGCTCACATTCCTCTCCTCCGCCCTCACTTTCCTCCCCTCCCAATCCGCGCTCACATTTCCTCCCCTGCGCGCTCACATTCCTCCCCTCCCCTTCCGCGCTCACATTCCTCGTCTCCGCGCTCACATTCCCTTCCCTCCCCTCCGCGCTCACATTCCTCCCCTCCCACTCCGCGCTCACATTTCCTCCCCTCCGCACTCACATTCATCCCCTCCTCGCTCACATTCCTCTCCTCCGCGCTCACATTCCTCCCCTCCCTCACCGCGCTCACATTCCTCCCCTCCCTCACCGCGCTCACATTCCTCCCCCCCGCAACTTCACATTCCTCCCCTCCGCGCTCACATTCCTCCCCTCCGCCCTCACATTCCTCCCCTCCCCATCCGCGCTCACATTTCCTCCCCTGCGCGCTCACATTCCTCCCCTCCCCTTCCGCGCTCACATTCCTCCCCTCCCCTTCCGCGCTCACATTCCTCGTCTCCGCGCTCACATTCCCTTCCCTCCCCTCCGCGCTCACATTCCTCCCCTCCCACTCCGCGCTCACATTCCTCTCCTCCCCCTCCTCGCTCACATTCCTCTCCTCCCCCTCCTCGCTCACATTCCTCCCCTCCCCCTCCGCGCTCACATTTCTCTCCTCCCCCTCCTCACTCACATTCCTCTCCTCCCCCTCCTCGCTCACATTCCTCCCCTCCCCCTCCGCGCTCACATTCCAACCGCAACCGCAATTCCCCTTCCATCCCATCTCTCCTCTCCTCATCTCTCATCTGCCCCACTTGTCTCCCCTTTGCTCCCCTCTTGACAAACCCTTCTGTCTCACCTCTCATCAGCCCCACATGTCTCCCCTCCCCTCTTCTCTCCTCCGTCCCTCTTGTCTCTCCTCCCTCCTCCTCTAATCTGCCCCACTTGTCTCCCCTCCTGCGCCTCTCATCTACCCCACTTCTCTCCCCTCCCTGCTCCTCTCATCCGCCCCACTCGTCTCCCCTCTCGTTTCCTAGCATCCGCCCCAGTGAGGCTATGGGAGCAGTGAAGGGAGGGAGAAGTGAGGCTATGGGAGCAGTGAAGGGAGGGAGAAGTGAGGCTACGGGAGCAGTGAAGGGAGGGAGAAGTGAGGCTACGGGAGCAGTGAAGGGAGGGAGAAGTGAGGCTATGGGAGCAGTGAAGGGAGGGAGAAGTGAGGCTACGGGAGCAGTGAAGGGAGGGAGAAGTGAGGCTATGGGAGCAGTGAAGTGAGGGAGAAGTGAGGCTATGGGAGCAGTGAAGGGAGGGAGAAGTGAGGCTATGGGAGCAGTGAAGGGAGGGAGAAGTGAGGCTATGGGAGCAGTGAAGGGAGGGAGAAGTGAGGCTATGGGAGCAGTGAAGGGAGGGAGAAGTGAGGCTATGGGAGCAGTGAAGGGAGGGAGAAGTGAGGCTATGGGAGCAGTGAAGGGAGGGAGAAGTGAGGCTATGGGAGCAGTGAAGGGAGGGAGAAGTGAGGCTACGGGAGCAGTGAAGGGAGGGAGAAGTGAGGCTATGGGAGCAGTGAAGGGAGGGAGAAGTGAGGCTACGGGAGCAGTGAAGGGAGGGAGAAGTGAGGCTATGGGAGCAGAGGGAAGGGCGCACCTGGGATGAAGGCGGTGAGGAGTGCCGCACACCTGGTATGAAGGCGCAGAGGGGAGGACGCACCTGGGATGAAGGCGGTGAGGAGTGCCGCACACCCACTATGAAGGCGCAGAGGGGAGGACGCACCTGGGATGAAGGCGCAGAGGGGCAGTAAGGGGAAAGGCGGGAGCAGGGCGTGCCGCAGAGGGCGGAAAGGGGGAAGAAGGGTGGAAGGAAGAGGAGAAAGGGGGGAAGAAGGGTGTAAGGCAGAGAGGGTGGAAAGGCGGAAGAAGGGGGTGAGGGAGACTGGGGAAAAGGGGTAGAAGGGTGTAAGGCAGTGAGGGGAAAAGGGGAAGCAGGACGTAAGGCACCGAGGGTGGAAACGTGGAAGAAGGGGGTAAGGGAGACTAGGGAAAGGGGGAAAATGGGCGTAAGGCAGAGAGGGGAAAGGGGGAAGCAGGGCGTAAGGCAGAGCATGCAAGGTGGGGGAAGAAGGGTGTACGGAAGAGAGGGGAAAGGAGTAAGAGGAGTGTAAGGCAGTGAACGCATGGTGGGGGAGGAATGGTGTAGGGAAGAGCGGGGAAAGGGAGAAGCAGGGTGAATACCAGAGAAGGAAAGGGAGATAAAAAATGTAAGGCAGAGCGGGTATAAATGGGGAAGAAGGGTGTAATGAAGATAGGGGAAAGGGGGAAGCAGGGCGTAAGGCATAGAAGAGAGAGGCCCTAAGCAGGGCGAAGGGAAGAGAGGGGAAAGGGGTTTAGCAGGACGTAAGGGAGACCACGCATGGTGGGGGAAGAAGGGTGTGGGGTAGAGAGGGGAAAGGGGTAAGAAGGGAGCAAGGCAGAGAGGGGAGAGGAGGAAGAATGGTGTAGGGAAGAGAGGGGGAAGAAGGGTGGAAGGAAGAGGGGAAAAGGGAGAAGAAGGGCCTAAGGCAGAGAGGGTGGAAAGGTGGAAGAAGGGGGTGAGGCAGAGTGGGGGATAGTGGAAGAAGGGTGTAAGACAGAGAGGGGAAAGGGGGAGGAAGGGCGTAACGCAGAGAACGCAGCATCCATCCCAACCTGCCTGCACCACACACTCCCCATCGCTCCCCACGAATCGTCCCGCGGGGTTAATTCCCCGTCCGCACATCCATAGCCCCTCGTCGTCCCCACCTGCCCCTTCGCTCTACGCCCTCCCTTTCCCACCGTTCTTCCCCCCAACGCCGTTCCCCCTAGCGCCGCTCCCCGCACGCCTGTTTCCGCAGCTCCCTTCTCCCCGCACTGCACGAGTTGCGGGCGGCAGCGCGGCGAGTCCTGCGCGGAGCAGGGGTCCGTGCAGTACGACTCGTCGTCTGAGTCGTTGGGATGTTCTGCAGATGCGACACGCGCACGCGACGCGACGTGCCGCATCAGGGTGCGTCGCCTGCCCGTCCGCCTACCGCGCGGACTCCGAGTCGCCACTACGGTCACCCCTGCTGCCAATGGGCTACGCGCTACCCGCCGCGTCGATGTCCGCGCGCGCTGTCGCGGCGACAGCGCCCTCATCGTCATGAACCTGCTGCCCCGCCACCTGCTGGGCCTGCTCGGCTCGGCGGGTCTTGGGCGAGCGCGCGGGGGACCGCACGGCGAGCGACGGACCGCCTGGTTGCCTGCCACTTGCCCTCGAATCACCTCGTTATCGCTTGCTGGCGCGCCATTGATGATTCCGTGCTATTTTGGAAACGCGGCTGCCTACTTGTAGTATTACGAGGCGATCCATGCGACGCGCAATCGCGGAGCGTCAGTCGTGGCACTGCAGATTCTCCTTCCTTGCTTGTTGGTAGTAGGACTCTCTAAACAGAGACACGCATCTGTTGGTATTCTACTCACGTGCATTTCGTGGGGGATAGAGGTGATGTGAGTGGTATGGCTTCTCGACCTAAACCATGATGTGTTTGGAGGTGTGTTGCGCGGTTTAGGAGTGCAGTTTTTTGTGCGAGCAGTTTGAGGTCTGGGCGTCGCACCCCAACCACCTCTCAGGTCCGACCAGGTTGGGCTAGTTTGGTTCACGAATTTTGGACAGTTCGCAGATGTGGCTGCGTGCTCGTCAACTTTCGCAACTCGCCATCCAATAACAAAACACCTACATATGTCAATGGCAAAACACTTTTGGTACTTGAGATCCTGGCTTTAATGAAGAGAGCATGGTGGGTGGGCGTGCCGCAAGTGGCGCTGATGGATTCATGTCGTCGAAAGGGGGTTCATGTGAGCGAATGCCAAGATTTTGGGGAGTGCTGATTCAACATTGGGTGAGCCGAAATCTCTACATTGTGGTTGTGGAGTACATTTTGTAGTCCTTTTGCTTGTTACGACAATCTGTTTTCTCAAACAAATCAAGCCAATCTCACGCAGTGCACGGCCTCGATCATTTCGAATCGGAGGATCCTTCGATGTTGTCACTGGCGCGGTTCTGACGACAATCCCCAAGATGCCGCAAGGAATCCACTCCATAGCACACATCCAGGCGATTCCGCCTGACACATTTCTGACGACGACAGCACCGCTCAAAACCGAGCAGGATTTTTGTGCCCCTTGACTGGAATGCCGCTGACACGCCATGTGTGGGATGAGCTGGAGAATCCAAGGCCACCTGAATTCGGCTGAACATCGAATTTCAGGACCAAATCTCCCTGAATTCTATTATCATCAGCGTCCTTGCTTATCTCCATCTCCGCATCCTTCTCCTCAGCATCTCTCGCATTCGCTGCCTTTATCCGCTTTCTACGCTGCATCTCGTAGTTGGCGGGTGCATCGTCCTCCTAGCATACGTCGCAGCCATGGCCACCACCACTGCGCCGTCCGTCCAGCAGACGATCGACCGTCTGAGACTGGAGACGGCGACGCTCGACGAGATTAGGTCAGTCCGTGAACTGCACGTGGAGCAGTTTGATTTCTTTGGACACCGGTTAGCAAATCATCAGTTTGCTCGTGGGCCAGGCTATCAGCTTACTGATTCACCGTCTTCTTGTCCAATCGCAGCGCCGAAGAACGGAGCGGATTCCTGTCCCTTTTCGAGCGCTACTTGCAGTAAGTACTAGAACCGATGGGGGTTAGTAATCCTTGAGCTATCTCGTCGCCTTCAGGGAGCCTTGTTCCTCCACATCTGACGCGTGGCATGGGGTGTGCAGGGAGAAGGCGAATGTGATCCAGTGGGACAAGATCAAGTCGCCCACTGACCAGGAGGTCGTGCCGTACGATGACCTTCCCGAAGTTCCCCAAGGTAACCGCGTGGAACACACTCCCTAATCGAGCAATCAGGCCAGTCTCGTCCGTACCTGGTTTCTGATTCTCCTGTTGAGAATCTATGTGGTGGCAGATCCAGCGGTGGTGAAGGAGCTGCTGAGCAAGCTGGCGGTGATGAAGCTCAACGGCGGGCTGGGCACCACCATGGGATGCACGGGACCCAAGTCAGTCACTCTCACCCTCTCACCCTCATCCTCCGCACCTTTATCCCGCTTCCTGCTCCTCCTTTATGTCCACCTACCGTGCTCGGTGCTAATGGTACTCTTTTCGGGATTTCAGGTCTGTGATCGAGGTTCGGAACGGTCAGACATTCCTGGACCTGATTTTGAAGCAAATCGAGGTACGTCTGTCCCTTGAAATGCCAATTCCATGTTGCTATCACGCACGGACCTGACGCTGACTGTGCGGCGGTGTGCTGGCAGACGTTGAACGCCAAGTACGGGTCGAGCGTGCCGCTGGTGCTCATGGACTCGTTCAGCACGACGACACTCTCAAGGTACGCTCCCTCCGCCGCGCCGCTCGCTCAGCTCCTGGTTCTTGGTGCTTTTTGCATCCGTGTGTCGGTTATTCTGACGGCAAATCGTGTGCGTGGCGGCAGATTCTCGAGAAGTACACGGATTCGGCGGTGAAGATCAAATACTTCAACCAGGTCGGCCCTCCGCTCCGTCGTGTGTCTCCTGTCTCCCGTCCCCGGCCACTGCATTCGATCGTCTACATGCACAACTCGTTTCCGCCATCACTCCCTCTTCGTCTACTCTCCCCATTCAAACGTTTTCGTTCGGTTGCGCGTCTGCTGTGGCGTTCGCGCGCGTCGCCCTTGTCATATTTCCGCATGCGGCCTGCACTCATCACTCGCCCTCCCTCGCGCGCGCCCGCGTGTGCTGTGTGCGTGTGTGTGCGTGGATGAGAGCAGAGCCAGTACCCGCGAGTGGTGGCAGACGACAACACGCCGTGGCCTGCCAAGGGCCGCAAGGACAAGGCTGCTTGGTCAGTCTTCCCTGCCTCCCCCTCTTCCCACCCCCCACTCCTCCCTCGCTTTGGATTAACCGTCTTGTTTGAAGATTTGATCACAAGCGTTCCTCGCCGCTCGCTTGTGTCTCACGGTTCATCCACGCGGCACTGCAGGTACCCTCCCGGGCACGGCGACGTGTTCCCCGCGCTCTGCAACAGCGGCGTGCTGGACCAGCTGCGCGCCGAGGTACGCCCCACCGCCAGACTACTAGCGGAGTGACGGAGAGGATGTAGATGCGTGGCGGAGACTGGTATAAGGACGCAGAGGATTTTCTCGCATAGGCGCCAAGGGTGCTAATGCAGAGGATAGCGGACACTGAGTACATGCATGAACGAGCATGGCATGGATAGGGGATAGGTGTACACGCATCGATCATGTGTGTTGGTGGCGTGCGTGCGTGGCAGGGCATCGAGTATGTGTTCCTGGCTAACGCGGACAACCTTGGCGCGACGGTGGATCTGCGCATTCTCAACTTCATTGTACAGAACAACAACGAGTACTGCCTCGAAGTGAGTGCCACTCAATAGCGAGTATGCGGTGCAAGTGCTGCCACCATGGAATAATATAAATTCTCTATGCGTCCCGTTACATCTCTGTGCCTCCCTTTTGTTCCCATCCCGACCCACTCCCTTCCCTACCACTCCCATCCCATCCCACTCCTATTCATTCCCTCTCCCATCCCTTCCTCCCTGCCTGCCTGCCTCCCTGCCTGCCTTCTTGCGCGCCCACCCGCCCACCCCAATTGCGTGTCTGTGTGGGTGCGTTGCAGGTGACGCCAAAGACGTTGGCGGATGTGAAGGGTGGCACCATCATCAACTACGACGGCAAGCTGCAGGTACCCACCCGCTCCACCCCCTTGCCGCACCACCCCCTTGCTGCACTCTGCTCTACTCTCCTCCTGGCTGCTCTCCCTTCCTCCACTACGCTCTCCTCTTTCACTGCCTTACCCATCAGCTGTATTTCCATCAACATGCTTCATGCGGCCGTTGCCTTCTCGTTATGTCTTTAATGCCTTACCTCTCCTACCCTCTGACCCTCCGCGCTTCCTGTGCAGCTATTGGAGATCGCCCAAGTGGCGCCTGAGCATGTGAGTGACAGCAGAGTGTATGAATAACAAAATAGATTCAGTGGGAGCAGAGTGGAAGTGCCAGCAGAGTGTGAGTGACAGCAGATTGTGGGTGAAACCAGAGTGTGTGGGAGCTGTCACCGTCAAGAGTGTTGAGTGTGTATTGCTGCCGCCATGCAAGGCTCTCGTCCACGGGCGAAGGGCCTGGGGCTGCATGATCAACACCTCTTTGCCTCTCCGTACCTGCTGCTGCTGCTACTGGGTGCTGTGGGGTGGTGCGGGGTGGTGTGCGGTGGTGCAGGTATCGGAGTTCAAGTCCATTGAGAAGTTCAAGATCTTCAACACCAATAACATGTGGGTCGCCATGCCATGCCATGCCATGCCATGCCATGCCACCATGCTATGCCATTCCATGCCATGCCATGCCATGCCACGATGCCTGCCATGCCATTTGCATGCCATTGTTGAACACTCCAGCGTCACCACCTTCACTGCTAGTGGTCATGCTCGCATGCAACCAACTCATCAAGTGTGCGTGTGTGCGTGCATGGTTACATGGGTGGATATATGCGCGTGCATGTGTTCATGTGTGCATGCTGCCTGTGTGCATGGGTGTGTGCATGCGAGCAGATGGCTCAACCTGGCGGCCATCAAGAGGCTAGTGGAGTCAGACGCCCTCAAGCTCGACATCATCCCCAACCCCAAGGTGCAAACCCCCTCCCCCTCCCTTTCCCCTCCCTTTCCCTCTCCTCCCGTCTCCCCCTTTCCCTCTCCTCCCGTCCCCTCCCCTTCCGTCCCCTCCCCTCCCCTCCCCTCCCCTCCCCTCCCCTCCCCTCCCCTCCTCTCCCTCCCCACGCCGCTTTGGTTCCCCCATATGCCGTTCTATCCTCTCCAATCCTGTATCGCATTGCTCTCCTGCCATTCCTGCCATCGCCTGTCACTGCCAATAACCTCTTCTTCACGCCGTGGGTGCGTGCCTGCATTCCGTCCGTGTGCATGTGTGCATCCGCTGTGCTGCATGTGCCATGCATGCATGTGTGCATGTGTGGATGGGAGCAGGAGGTGGACGGGGTGAAGGTGCTGCAGCTGGAGACGGCTGCCGGTGCCGCCATGAAGGTCAGCCCTGCTGCACTCCAACCATGCCTCCCTGCATTGCATCGCTTCTTCTCTCTTCTCACACCCTTCTCCATCGTCCCTGCTCCCTCGCCTATCCATGCCTCACTACCTCATTCTTCTTCCACCACCCCTTCCATCCCCTCCGACCCCCATTCGTTCCCCCTCTCCCTCCGCCCATCTGTGCAGTTCTTTGATCGCGCCATCGGGGTGAACGTGCCTCGCTCGCGTTTCCTGCCCGTCAAGGCCACCTCCGACCTCCTCCTTGTTCAGGTGCCTCCATGCTTCTTCTCTGCTGCCCTTCCCTCTCCCCTCCCATTGTCACTCCTAGAGTTGCCTTGCTGACGCGCACCCACCAACCAGTCCTTCACCACTCCCCCCCTCTGCCCCACACGATGTGCCTGCAATGCACTTTCTGCCCTCCTTTCTGATTCTCGTGTGCATTAACCTCCTCGCACCCCTGTTTTCCATCTCTCAATCTGTAACCCTACTCCTTTCCATGACCCCCCTTCCCTCCCCTATCCCCCCGCATCTCCCCACAGTCGGACCTCTACACGGTGGAGGACGGGCTGGTCATGCGCAACCCCGCCAGAACCGCTGCCGCCAACCCCACCATTGACCTCGGGCCCGAGTTCAAGAAGGTGCGCCCTATGCCCCATGCCCCATGCACCATTTTCTGGGAGTGCCGTGTTGGCATTGGTGTGCTGGTTGTGATGCAATAGCTGTGAGCTAGATGTACAAGGCAGTGCGTCTGCATCTTGTACGCACATGCTCCACTGGTTTTTCCATTACCTACATGAACCTCACAACGGTCTCTTGTTGGCCCTTGTTGTGCCATGCGGTGCTGGCAAACCAGGTGGCGGATTTCCAAAAGAGGTTCAAGGCCATCCCCAGCATCATCGACCTGGACAGTCTCAAGGTGTCGGGCGACGTGAGCTTTGGGGAGAAGGTCACTCTCAAGGTGCGTGCCTCGCACCCGCTCTCGCTCACATCCGCTCTGTCTCAGCACCTCCATAAAACTGCTGCTGCTCGCGCATGTGCTGATCTCATGCTCTGCCTCTGAATCCTTCGCCGACTATGTTGTACTTTCCATCTCCTTCCATCACATCCATCTCCCCGTCCTTGGTGCCCTTCCGTGCTGCCCATACACCGTGTATGCATTCTCACATGCGGTGCATGCAGGGCAAGGTGGCGATAGAGGCGCCCAAGGATGACAAGATTGTGGTGGCTGACGGCACTGTGCTGGAGGGATAGGCGTGCAGGGAAGGTGCCATTACACAAGCTGACGTGGAGCCAGCAGCAGAGTATCCTGCTTCCATGTCAGCAATATACGAGATATAGGTGCAATGTTTGGGATACCGGTATGTGGTCCAGTCAGTTGAGGATCACTTGTGGAGTCACATTTTTGAAGTGCTACCGGAGCTTTTTGGTGCTGGATGAAGCTTACAAGGGTTCACGTGAAGCTCATAGACTACTCAGGAGAAAATCAGCGGAATCAAATGGCCACATGGATACTGTATAGCCCATTTGGCATGAACCGATGCCGCTGAAGCAAGCTTTCAGGAGAACCAGCTTACAGAGAAATATCACTCGTTCAGAAAGGGCTGACAAATCAGCCCTGTGCGGGGCATGAGCAAGGCATTCCCATGGTAGCTCCGTGCTTGCAGGCAGGCAGAGGGTCAGGTCAGGAGGAGGGCAGCAGCTTGTAGGGGTTGAGGATGCCGTTGGGGTCAAAGAGGGCCTTCACCCTCTTCATCACCGCCACCTGCATGCCATGTGCATCATACACACCATGCACACGACAACGAGGGCGTGTGAGTGCAAGATTGCGACAACTGGCCCAGGTGGGGAGGCGCCGGGAAGAGAGAGGCGCACCAAGGAGATGAGCTGGATGGAAGCAGCAAGGTAGAAGGTGACATGAGCACCAGTGTGCCCCGGCAATCTCACGCGCATGCTGTGCTCACTAGGACATGGCATGCTACCAATGCACCGTGCAAGCATGCAAGACTGAGAGCTGGGTAGAGCAGCAGCAGTGCACCGCTTGGGGGTCCTTGCTGTAGTGGATGGCGTTGGCCTTCATGAGCCCCAGCCCGTGCTCCGCACTCACACTGCCCTGCCGCCCCGCCACCCACTCGTACACGAACGGCTCTATCCGCTCCAACAACTGCTCGGGAAGGGTGGTGGCCATGCCAGCACGCACACGTGAGAGGACACATGAGAGCACACATGCACAATGGAGGTGGGATGGGAAAGAACGGAGTGAGTGAGGAGATGCGTGCAGAAGAGGATCGAGCACATGGGACATGGCCACACTCTTGGGCGCGTGAAATGGCCTTGCTGGGACCGCATTCTCAGCACTGGAGCTGTTGCTTGACTCACACCAGATGCCAGGGACAGTGAAGAGAAGTGGGGGAGGAGTGGTGGCAAATAATGAGCGGAGCACTGACCTTGTCGTCATACGTGGGAGCGGAGATGTTGAGGTGCAGATTGCCATCGCCCAGATGCCCATACCCCACCACCTGCGCTGCACTGCCCTCTGTGTCCCCTCCAAGGTAGACACGCACAGGGAAGGGAGACAGGTGAGCGAGGGGGTGCATGGAAGAGGAGAGGCAGACACGTGCATGAAGGGCGACAAGGTGACACAGCGACACGAGAAAGGAACGAATCAAACAACCCCAGCTCACCTAGGCGGGAGCGCATCTCGTCAACGAGCGCGTAGAGCTGTGAGACGGGCACCGACAGATCATACTTGTACACCGCTCCTGCTCGCTGCAGTGCCTCCGCCACTCCCTGATGGGGGGGAAGAAGAAGGGGAGGAGAGTTGGAGGGGGGGGAGGAGGCATGGTGAGGCCGTAGAGCTGTGAGACGGGCACCGACAAATCATACTTGTACACTGCTCCTGCTCGCTGTAGCGCCTCCGCCACGCCCTGCTCACAGCATACACGGGAGGGGGGAAGAGGGAATGGGGGGAGATGGTGGGGCCGTAGAGCTGTGAGACACGCACCCACAGGTCGTACTTGTACTCCGCCCAGCCCTCTGCAGCGCCTCTGCCACTCCCTGATGGGGGGGGAGGAGGGCAGCAGGGGAAAGGGGGGTGGTGGGGCGGGGAGGGCATGGTTAGCGTGTAGAGCTGTGAGACAGGCACCCACAAGTCGTACTTGTACACTGCTCCTGCACGCTGCAGTGCGTTCGCCACGCCCTGCTCGCCACACACATGGAGGACGGGGTGGGGGGAGGGGGGGATGGGACGGAAGAGGGGGGCATGGAGGGGGTGTTGCTGTGAGGTAGGGTGGGAGAGGAGGCAGAGAGAGCACGGCTGTGTGAATGTGTGAGTAGGAGTGGAAGGAGAAACGGGCTGGCAGGGGAAGTGAGACAGCGTGACAGGCGACATTTCACCCCTTCTCCCCAAGGTGACAGCGCCACTCACTCAGGGGGCTGCCATGTCACCGCATCTCACCTCGCGCAGGTGCCAGATGGCAGCGGCCTGGGTGTAGTCATGAGCCACAGTGCCCGCCCGCCTCCATAACCCCTTCCAGATGCATGTTGGCAAGTGCCATGTATGTCACCGTGTCGCATCTCACCTCGCGAAGGTGCCAGATGGCAGCGGCCTGCGTGGAGTCATGAGCAACGGTGCCGTCCTCCACGGCGCCATCCTCCATCACGCCCTCCAGAAACGCGTCTAGCTTCACCCTGCGCCGCCGCACAGGGGTGTGGGGAGTGTGGTGGGGGGGGGGAATGGTGAGAGGGTGTGGTTTCAATCCTGAGACTTCTCAAAAGTGAATCCCACGGTCCTCAACTGCTCCCTGCTCCATCACGCCCTCCAGAAACGCGTCCAGCTTCACCCTGCACCGCCGCCCACAGGGGTGTTGGGTGCAAGTGGATGGCAAGTGGAAATGCGTGGCTTGAAGATACGCTTGTGCTGTGAGTAAGGCAAACATCTAGTCAGAGAAGGATAAAGTCTAATTAAACGTTGTATGCATGTCTCACCCACCGGTCGTGCTCGGGGTTGCTGCCAGACGTCTCAATGAGGACATAGAAGGGGTACTCCCCGTCTGGTAGCGGGTCCCTCGTGCCCTCATTGTGCTTCAGCACCTGCTCACACACGCCGCATGGCAGGCATGCAGAACAGCAGAGCAGAGCACGGGGTGACTTTTGAGTCAACTCAGAAGGGGTACTCCTTGTCTGGCAGCGGGTCCCTCGTGCCCTCGTTGTGCTTCAGCACCTGCTCACACCGCATGACAGGCAGGAGGACAGAAGAGCACGGGCGTGGCAGGGAAGGCGATGTGAGCACACATCAGAACGTTGTGTTGTGCTCGTATCATCATGCCATTTCCAAGCTACCATTTGAAGGGGCGTTACCATTTGAAGGGGCGTTACCATTTGAAGGGGCGTTACCATTTGAAGGGGCGTTACCATTTGCACGGGCGTTACCATTTGCAGGGGCGTTACCATTTGAAGGGGCGTTACCATTTGAAGGGGCGTTACCATTTGAAGGGGCGTTACCATTTGCAGGGACGTTACCATTTGAAGGGGCGTTACCATTTGAAGGGGCGTTACCATTTGAAGGCGCGTTACCATTTGAAGGGGCGTTACCATTTGAAGGGGCGTTACCATTTGAAGGGGCGTTACCATTTGCAGGGGCGTTACCATTTGAAGGGGCGTTACCATTTGAAGGGGCGTTACCATTTGCAGGGGCGTTACCATTTGAAGGGGCGTTACCATTTGCAGGGGCGTTACCATTTGCAGGGGCGTTACCATTTGAAGGGGCGTTACCATTTGAAGGCGCGTTACCATTTGCAGGGGCGTTACGATTTGAAGGGGCATTACCATTTGAAGGGGCGTTACCATTTGAAGGCACGTTACCATTTGAAGGGGTGTTACCATTTGAAGGGGGCGTTACCATTTGAAGGGGCGTTACCATTTGAAGGGGCGTTACCATTTGAAGGGGCGTTACCATTTGAAGGGGCGTTACCATTTGAAAGGGCGTTGCCATTTGAAGGGGCGTTACCATTTGAAGGCGCGTTACCACTTGAAGGGGCGTTACCATTTGAAGGGGCGTTACCATTTGAAGGGGCGTTACCATTTGAAGGGGCGTTACCATTTGAAGGGGCGTTACCATTTGAAGGGGCGTTACCATTTGAAGGGGCGTTACCATTTGAAAGGGCGTTACCATTTGCAGGGGCGTTACCATTTGAAGGAGCGTTACCATTTGCAAGGGTGTTATCATTTGAAGGAGCGTTACCATTTGCAGGGGCGTTATCATTTGAAGGAGCGTTACCATTTGCAGGGGCGTTACTATTTGAAGGCGCGTTACCATTTGCAGGGGCGTTACTATTTGAAGGGGCGTTACCATTTGCAGGGGCGTTACCATTTGAAGGGGCGTTACCATTTGAAGGGGCGTTACCATTTGAAGGGGCGTTACCATTTGAAGGGGCGTTACCGTTTGAAGGCGCGTTACCATTTGAAGGGGCGTAACCGTTTGAAGGCGCATTACCATTTGAAGGGGCGTTACCATTTGAAGGGGCGTTACCATTTGAAGGGGTGTTACCATTTGAAGGGGCGTTACCATTTGAAGGGGCGTTACCATTTGAAGGGGCGTTACCATTTGAAGGGGCGTTACCATTTGAAGGGGCGTTACCATTTGAAGGGGCGTTACCATTTGAAGGGGCGTTACCATTTGAAGGGGCGTTACCATTTGAAAGGGCGTTACCATTTGCAGGGGCGTTACCATTTGAAGGAGCATTACCATTTGAAGGGGCGTTACCATTTGAAGGGGCGTAACCGTTTGAAGGCGCATTACCATTTGAAGGGGCGTTACCATTTGAAGGGGCGTTACCATTTGAAGGGGTGTTACCATTTGAAGGGGCGTTACCATTTGAAGGGGCGTTACCATTTGAAGGGGCGTTACCATTTGAAGGGGCGTTACCATTTGAAGGGGCGTTACCATTTGAAGGGGCGTTACCATTTGAACGGGCGTTACCATTTGAAGGGGCGTTACCATTTGAAGGGGCGTTACCATTTGAAGGGGCGTTACCATTTGAAGGGGCGTTACCGTTTGAAGGCGCGTTACCATTTGAAGGGGCGTAACCGTTTGAAGGCGCATTACCATTTGAAGGGGCGTTACCATTTGAAGGGGCGTTACCATTTGAAGGGGTGTTACCATTTGAAGGGGCGTTACCATTTGAAGGGGCGTTACCATTTGAAGGGGCGTTACCATTTGAAGGGGCGTTACCATTTGAAGGGGCGTTACCATTTGAAGGGGCGTTACCATTTGAAGGGGCGTTACCATTTGAAGGGGCGTTACCATTTGAAAGGGCGTTACCATTTGCAGGGGCGTTACCATTTGAAGGAGCATTACCATTTGAAGGGGCGTTACCATTTGAAGGGGCGTTACCATTTGCACGGGCGTTACCATTTGCAGGGGCGTTACCATTTGAAGGGGCGTTACCATTTGAAGGGGCGTTACCATTTGAAGGGGCGTTACCATTTGCAGGGACGTTACCATTTGAAGGGGCGTTACCATTTGAAGGGGCGTTACCATTTGAAGGCGCGTTACCATTTGAAGGGGCGTTACCATTTGAAGGGGCGTTACCATTTGAAGGGGCGTTACCATTTGAAGGGGCGTTACCATTTGAAGGGGCGTTACCATTTGAAGGGGCGTTACCATTTGAAAGGGCGTTACCATTTGCAGGGGCGTTACCATTTGAAGGGGCATTACCATTTGAAGGGGCGTTACCATTTGAAGGCACGTTACCATTTGAAGGGGTGTTACCATTTGAAGGGGGCGTTACCATTTGAAGGGGCGTTACCATTTGAAGGGGCGTTACCATTTGAAGGGGCGTTACCATTTGAAGGGGCGTTACCATTTGAAAGGGCGTTGCCATTTGAAGGGGCGTTACCATTTGAAGGCGCGTTACCACTTGAAGGGGCGTTACCATTTGAAGGGGCGTTACCATTTGAAGGGGCGTTACCATTTGAAGGGGCGTTACCATTTGAAGGGGCGTTACCATTTGAAGGGGCGTTACCATTTGAAGGGGCGTTACCATTTGAAAGGGCGTTACCATTTGCAGGGGCGTTACCATTTGAAGGAGCGATACCATTTGCAAGGGTGTTATCATTTGAAGGAGCGTTACCATTTGCAGGGGCGTTACTATTTGAAGGCGCGTTACCATTTGCAGGGGCGTTACTATTTGAAGGGGCGTTACCATTTGCAGGGGCGTTACCATTTGAAGGGGCGTTACCATTTAAAGGGGCGTTACCATTTGAAGGGGCGTTACCATTTGAAGGGGCGTTACCGTTTGAAGGCGCGTTACCATTTGAAGGGGCGTTACCGTTTGAAGGCGCATTACCATTTGAAGGGGCGTTACCATTTGAAGGGGCGTTACCATTTGAAGGGGTGTTACCATTTGAAGGGGCGTTACCATTTGAAGGGGCATTACCATTTGAAGGGGCGTTACCATTTGAAGGGGCGTTACCATTTGAAGGCGCGTTACCATTTGCAGGGGCGTTACCATTTGAAGGGGCATTACCATTTGAAGGGGCGTTACCATTTGAAGGCACGTTACCATTTGAAGGGGTGTTACCATTTGAAGGGGGCGTTACCATTTGAAGGGGCGTTACCATTTGAAGGGGCGTTACCATTTGAAGGGGCGTTACCATTTGAAGGGTCGTTACCATTTGAAAGGGCGTTGCCATTTGAAGGGGCGTTACCATTTGAAGGCGCGTTACCACTTGAAGGGGCGTTACCATTTGAAGGGGCGTTACCATTTGAAGGGGCGTTACCATTTGAAGGGGCGTTACCATTTGAAGGGGCGTTACCATTTGAAGGGGCGTTACCATTTGAAGGGGCGTTACCATTTGAAGGGGCGTTACCATTTGAAGGGGCGTTACCATTTGAACGGGCGTTACCATTTGAAGGGGCGTTACCATTTGAAGGGGCGTTACCATTTGAAGGGGCGTTACCATTTGAAGGGGCGTTACCGTTTGAAGGCGCGTTACCATTTGAAGGGGCGTAACCGTTTGAAGGCGCATTACCATTTGAAGGGGCGTTACCATTTGAAGGGGCGTTACCATTTGAAGGGGTGTTACCATTTGAAGGGGCGTTACCATTTGAAGGGGCGTTACCATTTGAAGGGGCGTTACCATTTGAAGGGGCGTTACCATTTGAAGGGGCGTTACCATTTGAAGGGGCGTTACCATTTGAAGGGGCGTTACCATTTGAAGGGGCGTTACCATTTGAAAGGGCGTTACCATTTGCAGGGGCGTTACCATTTGAAGGAGCATTACCATTTGAAGGGGCGTTACCATTTGAAGGGGCGTTACCATTTGCACGGGCGTTACCATTTGCAGGGGCGTTACCATTTGAAGGGGCGTTACCATTTGAAGGGGCGTTACCATTTGAAGGGGCGTTACCATTTGCAGGGACGTTACCATTTGAAGGGGCGTTACCATTTGAAGGGGCGTTACTATTTGAAGGCGCGTTACCATTTGAAGGGGCGTTACCATTTGAAGGGGCGTTACCATTTGAAGGGGCGTTACCATTTGAAGGGGCGTTACCATTTGAAGGGGCGTTACCATTTGAAGGGGCGTTACCATTTGAAAGGGCGTTACCATTTGCAGGGGCGTTACCATTTGAAGGGGCATTACCATTTGAAGGGGCGTTACCATTTGAAGGCACGTTACCATTTGAAGGGGTGTTACCATTTGAAGGGGGCGTTACCATTTGAAGGGGCGTTACCATTTGAAGGGGCGTTACCATTTGAAGGGGCGTTACCATTTGAAGGGGCGTTACCATTTGAAAGGGCGTTGCCATTTGAAGGGGCGTTACCATTTGAAGGCGCGTTACCACTTGAAGGGGCGTTACCATTTGAAGGGGCGTTACCATTTGAAGGGGCGTTACCATTTGAAGGGGCGTTACCATTTGAAGGGGCGTTACCATTTGAAGGGGCGTTACCATTTGAAGGGGCGTTACCATTTGAAGGGGCGTTACCATTTGCAGGGGCGTTACCATTTGAAGGAGCGTTACCATTTGCAGGGGCGTTACCATTTGAAGGGGCGTTACCATTTGCAGGGGCGTTACCATTTGAAGAAGGGGCGTTACCATTTGAAGGGGCGTTACCATTTGAAGGGGCGTTACCATTTGCAGGGGCGTTACCATTTGAAGGGGCGTTACCATTTGAAGGGGCGTTACCATTTGAAGGGGCGTTACCATTTGAAGGGGCGTTACCATTTGAAGGGGCGTTACCGTTTGAAGGCGCGTTACCATTTGAAGGGGCGTAACCGTTTGAAGGCGCATTACCATTTGAAGGGGCGTTACCATTTGAAGGGGCGTTACCATTTGAAGGGGTGTTACCATTTGAAGGGGCGTTACCATTTGAAGGGGCGTTACCATTTGAAGGGGCGTTACCATTTGAAGGGGCGTTACCATTTGAAGGGGCGTTACCATTTGAAGGGGCGTTACCATTTGAAGGGGCGTTACCATTTGAAGGGGCGTTACCATTTGAAAGGGCGTTACCATTTGCAGGGGCGTTACCATTTGAAGGAGCATTACCATTTGAAGGGGCGTTACCATTTGAAGGGGCGTTACCATTTGCACGGGCGTTACCATTTGCAGGGGCGTTACCATTTGAAGGGGCGTTACCATTTGAAGGGGCGTTACCATTTGAAGGGGCGTTACCATTTGCAGGGACGTTACCATTTGAAGGGGCGTTACCATTTGAAGGGGCGTTACTATTTGAAGGCGCGTTACCATTTGAAGGGGCGTTACCATTTGAAGGGGCGTTACCATTTGAAGGGGCGTTACCATTTGAAGGGGCGTTACCATTTGAAGGGGCGTTACCATTTGAAGGGGCGTTACCATTTGAAAGGGCGTTACCATTTGCAGGGGCGTTACCATTTGAAGGGGCATTACCATTTGAAGGGGCGTTACCATTTGAAGGCACGTTACCATTTGAAGGGGTGTTACCATTTGAAGGGGGCGTTACCATTTGAAGGGGCGTTACCATTTGAAGGGGCGTTACCATTTGAAGGGGCGTTACCATTTGAAGGGGCGTTACCATTTGAAAGGGCGTTGCCATTTGAAGGGGCGTTACCATTTGAAGGCGCGTTACCACTTGAAGGGGCGTTACCATTTGAAGGGGCGTTACCATTTGAAGGGGCGTTACCATTTGAAGGGGCGTTACCATTTGAAGGGGCGTTACCATTTGAAGGGGCGTTACCATTTGAAGGGGCGTTACCATTTGAAGGGGCGTTACCATTTGCAGGGGCGTTACCATTTGAAGGAGCGTTACCATTTGCAGGGGCGTTACCATTTGAAGGGGCGTTACCATTTGCAGGGGCGTTACCATTTGAAGAAGGGGCGTTACCATTTGAAGGGGCGTTACCATTTGAAGGGGCGTTACCATTTGCAGGGGCGTTACCATTTGAAGGGGCGTTACCATTTGAAGGGGCGTTACCATTTGAAGGGGCGTTACCGTTTGAAGGCGCGTTACCATTTGAAGGGGCGTTACCGTTTGAAGGCGCATTACCATTTGAAGGGGCGTTACCATTTGAAGGGGCGTTACCATTTGAAGGGGCGTTACCGTTTGAAGGCGCGTTACCATTTGAAGGGGCGTTACCGTTTGAAGGCGCATTACCATTTGAAGGGGCGTTACCATTTGAAGGGGCGTTACCATTTGCAGGGGCGTTACCATTTGAAGGAGCGTTACCATTTGCAGGGGCGTTACCATTTGAAGGGGCGTTACCATTTGCAGGGGCGTTACCATTTGAAGGAGCGTTACCATTTGCAGGGGCGTTACCATTTGAAGGAGCGTTACCATTTGCAGGGGCGTTACCATTTGAAGGAGCGATACCATTTGCAAGGGTGTTATCATTTGAAGGAGCGTTACCATTTGCAGGGGCGTTACTATTTGAAGGCGCGTTACCATTTGCAGGGGCGTTACTATTTGAAGGGGCGTTACCATTTGCAGGGGCGTTACCATTTGAAGGGGCGTTACCATTTGAAGGGGCGTTACCGTTTGAAGGCGCGTTACCATTTGAAGGGGCGTTACCGTTTGAAGGCGCATTACCATTTGAAGGGGCGTTACCATTTGAAAGGGCGTTGCCATTTGAAGGGGCGTTACCATTTGAAGGCGCGTTACCATTTGAAGGGGCGTTACCATTTGAAGGGGCGTTACCATTTGAAGGGGCGTTACCATTTGAAGGGGCGTTACCATTTGAAGGGGCGTTACCATTTGCAGGGGCGTTACCATTTGAAGGAGCGTTACCATTTGCAGGGGCGTTACCATTTGAAGGGGCGTTACCATTTGCAGGGGCGTTACCATTTGAAGGAGCGTTACCATTTGCAGGGGCGTTACCATTTGAAGGAGCGTTACCATTTGCAGGGGCGTTACCGTTTGAAGGCGCGTTACCATTTGAAGGGGCGTTACCATTTGAAGGGGCGTTACCATTTGCATGGGCGTTACCATTTGAAGGGGCGTTACCATTTGCATGGGCGTTACCATTTGAAGGGGCGTTACCATTTGAAGGGGCGTTACCATTTGAAGGGGCGTTACCATTTGAAGGGGCGTTACCATTTGAAGAGAGCTGCGGTCAAAGAACTCCGCGGCAGATAGCACCTCCCCCAGGTGGCGCCTGCTGGCGCAGAACACCTGCTGCACGGCGTCGAATGAGGAGCACCCCAGCAGCGCCACGTGCACTGAGGGCGAGCGGGGGGGCGCCAGCAGCACCACCCTCGTCACCACGCCTAGCATGCCCTCCGCCCCTGGTGGCGGGGACATGTGGAAGGGGCGTGTGGGGGGGACACAGAGAGGTGGGGTTGAGAACGTGTTGTGTGCACTGTGCTGCATCACAACCAGATCACACCCTCACCATGCCGTGCGATTACATGTGACCACATACCACATGACATGCCACGACATGGCCTCATACGCCATCACAGTGATGAGCCCATCCCCAGCTGTACCGATGAAGAGCTGCTTGAGGTCGTAGCCGGTGTTGTCCTTCCTCAGCGCTCTCGTCATGTCCACCACCGTGCCATCCGCCATCACCACCTCCAACCCTGCTCGTGTCGTGCTCCCATGGGCCATGGGAGGGGCAGGCGGAGAGAGGAGGGAGAGGTGGGGAGAGAAGGGGCAGGTGAAGCAGAGATGAGCGGGAAATGGATGGACTGAACGGTTCGCTTCGACACAAAGTTGTGTGTGCAGATTGACTGGGCTCAACGCGCTGTGACCGACAGGGCTTTGAGGTAGTGAGGCCGGTTCAGGGCTTGGTGCTCACCGAGCATGGAACCGTGCAAAGGCATGCGCCAAGTGAGCAAGGCAGTGAGCAACCAAGTGAGTTAGCAGTAAGTGAGCTATGAAGGGAGCAGGCGGGGACACGCACCGAGCACGGAGCCATGCAGGGAGCCGTATCGGAGGAGGCGGATGCCACCCGCGTTGGTGGACACATTGCCGCCGATCTGGCAGCTGCCCTTGGCGCCTAGATCCAACGGCATCACGAACCTGGCAGGGCGGAGGGATGGTGCAGACGGCTGGCCCACGTGTCTGAGGCTTGGCGGCCAGGATAGAGAAGGGATTTGCATGTGACCTGTGTGTGTGTGTGTGTGTGTGTGTGTGTGTGTGTGTGTGTGTGTGTGTGTGTGTGTGTGTACGAGTGTGCGTGTGTATGCATGGGCGTGTGTGCAGTGTGCGCGTGTGTGCATGCATGTGTGTGCATGCATGTGTGTGCATGCATGTGTGTGCGCGTGTGTGCATGCATGTGTGTGCATGCATGTGTGTGCGCATGCACATGGCTCACCCCTTGTCAGCAAGGAATGTGTCGAGGGACTCGAGGATGCACCCCGCCTCGCAGTCCAGGATGCCGCTCACCTGATGCCCCCACCGCACACATGGCGTGCATGGCATGCACCCACAGTGGCCCGAGAGTGGGGGATGGAGAGAGAGAGAAGGGAGGGAGGGGAGTGGGGGCGGAAGCAAGGAGACGAAACAGGGACTGATATGTGTATGGGTTGTCATGGGAAGGCGTTCAGTCAATAAACCAGGGATGACAGATTGTTGCATGTGAGAGCCAGTGCCACCTTCAAGAATGGATGTGATGGGCAGGTGGGATGGGGAGTGGAGGGGCATGAGAGAGCAAGAGGTGTGCATACCTCATCAAATGAGATGATCTTGTTCATCCCTGCGAGGCTCAAGATTATCTGTCAGGCCATGCCATGCCATGCCATGCCATGCCATACCATGCCATGCCAGCCGTGTCATGCCATGCCGTGCAATGCCATGCAATCATGATCACCATGCCGCGCACGCAGCAGGCGGGTGGGAAAGGAGCAGCAGTGAGATGGAGAAAGAGGCCACTGCCTCGCCTCCTGTGCCTCTGTTCAGTAGCCTCCTCACGCAATCTAGATCCACCAGTGCCCTTGATATTGCAAATAACTGCCTTGTATGCCGATTCATAGTGACCGAGGGAGAGTGCACTGAGTGGAACTACTTTGACTGACATTGACACTGGCTGACATTGACACTGATAGATGAGCATAGATTGACCCGAACACTGATGGGTTGCCGGTCATTACATGATAGGCATTCACAACGATTGACTGACATTGACCGGCATTAGCTTGTCAACGATGGCTGAACTCTTTGACCTCCCTCTGTCACCCGCTACAGCAACACCGCATGGCAACCGCACTCACCTCATCGAACACAGGCACACTGCCGCCCACCAACCCCGTGTTGCCACCCTGAGGCACCACAGCCAACCGCCTCTCATTGCAGTACTTCAGAACGTCCGCCACGTGGCTTGTTGTGGTTGGTCGTAGTAACAGCTTGCTATTCCCCTTGTACTTGCCCATCCAGTCCACGTTGGCTGCTGCCACGGCGTCAGGGTCCGTGATCACGCCACGTTCGCCTAGAATCCCCTTGAAATATTCCACGTCAGCATCTTCCAACGTGGCAAATTGCGGGTCTCTGGAGACTGCCACCGTGGCGTATCCTGCCCGTGCTGAGGCGCCAGACGGGAGGGACTCAGGACCGTGAGGCAGAAGCGCGCGCAACCCAACCCGTGTAGAAGGAAGTGCGGGGACGCTAGCGGTGGCTGAGGGGGTTTGGTGGAGCGGGAGGCCAGCGGACATTGCGCGGAGTAATTGCAGATTCGGCGGAGCAGGCGCGGAGGGTGATGGGGGTGGATGGAGCGCGGAGCTGGGCGAGGCACGGGGAAGAAGGCCAGCTTGGCGGAACAAGGCGGAGGTTGCGCGGATTGCGCGACCACGCTGAGAGGAAGCCATGGTGCGCTGCACTGGCGCTGGCGATTTCCTGACGTCACGAGACTAGGCGAACAGCAATGACAGAAGCGGCTACTGAGAGCGATGCGACGCGGTCAGACGAGCACTGAAAGCAGACGCGCGACTTGCACGAGCAACTGGGTTAACGGAACACTAGTAACGGTGAAAGCACTTCCAGTAATGGCGGCTCGGCGGCGCTGTAACGACTGTGGCCAGTCGAAGGTGCGGCGGAAGAGTGAACGGTGCGGACGGTTAGACAGACTTAGCACGAGTAGTCTAATCGCACGCGAGCGCTACGTTAGAATGTAGTCTACGAACGCGGAGGCTTCTCGATGGGAAGGGTGGACAAGTGGCAGTGGAGCGAGCAGACAGGCTCTGGTCTGGTCTGGTCCTGAACACGTCTAGAAAATCAGACATGCCAGTCTTGTCAAAGAGGCGTTCCTCAACTGACTGATGGCGGTTGGCGGGAACGACCATGGCTTCAGGAAGGTGAACTCGAGCTCGCTCCAGCACTGCAGCACATTTGCGGTGGGCAATTCCCGAGGTGCTGGCGAGAGGCGCGCATTGGTGCTTCCTGCCCCTCGAGAACTGCGGCGACTAGTGCGGCCCATTCGCATGCTTTCCCACACATCCCCGCTGGCATCGCACATGCATTGACGATTTTGCTAAAAATGGATGTGTTACAAATCGGAGAGATGAAATTGATAATCACGCTAGCTAGTTTTATGTGCCCTTGTATGTGTGTGCCTTATCGCGCTTTTATGTTCCCAATCCCCGGTAAAAGTCGCTTTTGCTGATGTGGTGCCACATGTGCCTTTGGATGAGGTCTGGCAAATTCTGTGCCTCGTCTCAACTTCCACTCCTGCAGATCGACTCCCACTGACGCTCTGACGCGTGGAAGCGAAATGTCCCCCCTTTCTGGACAACCATAGCCAGTCAGAGGTTACCGTATCAACCAATGTTTCGCCAATTCAAATGTGTTGAGGCAAGAACAAACTCCAGGCCGACGATTCAAATCTCGCGAACATTTCAACGGCCGGATGTGTTCAGAGTTTCGTCCAAGCAGTGTGGAATTCCCCAGGGCTGCCTGACTAGGCATCTAGCAGGGAGGTATGGAAAACTGATCCGCCAGAGGCACTTTGGAGTCCCTTCCACCTGCATCTCGGACCAGGCTGGTCTGGTCTAGAGCTTAGACTTGCCGCCATGGCTAAGGATGATGTTCCGCAAAAGGCGGCGCCTTCGCAGCTAATCTCTAAGAAATCTCCCGCGCAGGAGCCGCAGAAGAAGATGAGTCCAGGCGAGGAGATGGAGAGCGAGTGGCAGCAGATAGTGGACTATTACGACCCGGCCAATGTGGAGAAGCGCGCGGAGGAGGCGAGGAAGAAGGAGCTGCAGGCTCTTCAGTCCGCCATGGAGGCGAATCGTGAGCAGGAACAGGTTAGAACTTATAGTTACACGTTGATTTGGAAAAAGGTCGTAGATGCTCGTACCAGGTCAGCATGTAGCTGTTCGTCGCGATTCAGGGGTTTAATCTGACTGGAACTAAAGGCTTACAAAAATAGGCGTACCTCAATGCGTCGAGCTGATGTTAGATGCGCAACCGTTCCAACGTGCTACAGTGGTCGTGTCAGATCCGATTTGGAACGTAACCAGTATGTAGCACAGGCCGTGACTATACTAAAAGACTTAAGTGGTGAGTCGTCTGGGGTTTCTCCCGTTGATTTTACCAAGCCTGACGAAATCGTATAGCTGAGACTACATTGTTCTACCCGCTTTCGTCATCCTTGCTCCTCGACCACCTATGCAAGCCATGACCTCCATCGTTCCCCATTCTCGCGCCACGCGCCTTTACCACCTTCCGTAGATTCTGGAGGAGTTCTACGGCATCAAGCCGCGGCCGAAGCAGTCGCTGGAGGAGCTCGAGGCGGCGGCGGCGGAGGTGGCGGAGGACGAGGAGTGGAACTTCCCGCAGGACCCGGACAAGTGGACGGAGGCGGATCTGGGCGAGGAGTGGGCGGACGCGCCCGCTGACGCCAAGGTGCCGTTCTACGACCCGCTCCTCGGGCTCTCCGCGCTCGATGCCGCCGATGACGACGCCGACGCTGACGACGGCCGGCGCAGGTGAGGAGACTCACCGAGGATCTTTCTCTTCGCATCTGCAGATCCAATGCCGCTCACAGGCAACCCGGACGTATCTCATCACTTCGCACGCCGCTTGCGCTGCGCATTCCCATATGGCATGTCCTTCCCCCACCCTGCGCTGCCTCCCCCCTACTCTCCTCTTCCGCCCTCCGCCCCAACCAGGCGCAAGGCTCCGCGCAAGCAGCAGCGCGCGAAGCTGCCGCACTCGGAGGACCGGTTTGTGCCGTACCGGCAGGGGCTGCCGCCCGTGAACGAGATGGACGACGGCAGCTCGGGCGCGCTGAAGGCGCTGGAGGAGCTGGAGATGGAGGAGGAGTTCCTCCAGTGGGCCTCCTACGTCTTCCGCGACGGCGCCTCGTGAGTGCTGGCCCCCGCGTGGGTGTTGCCCCCCCCACAAGTGTTGGTCCCAGTTTTGAACATTGTATGATGGAAGATGTACGGTTTTGCTGTGATGGCTGTTTCTCCGTGTCCAACCACAGATTACCATAGCCATCTATCGAGCCACTATCTTCAAGCTCCCTCTCTTCTCCACCCCCCTCCCTCTACCCTCTCTCTTCGTTTTCTTCCTGCTTCTCACCATCCCCGCTGCTCTCTGTGTGGATGTCCTGTCGGCAGGTACGAGGGCACGGTGTGGAACGACATGGCGCAGGGCAAGGGAGTCTACACCACGCCCCTCGAGCTCTGCAAGTGAGTGCTGCTCGCCGCTCGACCTCTGCCAATGAGTTTTGTGCGCCCGGTGATTGACGAATACAACAAGCCACTCCGCACCAACCGTAAACAGCTCTCACATCCACTCCCCCTCTTCACGCTCACGCGCTCTCCTCCGTGTCCTCCCACTCTCCTCCTTCCTCCTCCGCTCCCTCCCGTCTGTCCACCGCTGCGTGTGCGCCTCTCTCTGTGCGTGCGTGCGTGCGTGCGTGCGTGCGTGCGTGTGTGCGTGCGTGCATGTGAGGTTGGAGCAGGTACGAGGGCGAGTGGGTGCAGAACATGATGCAGGGCCATGGCGTCGTCTCCGTTGACGTCCCTGCGCGCCTCCCGCCGCCAGACTCCGAGTGAGCCTCCTCGCAACCCCATGCGCTCTTCTTTCCCCGCCGAGCCGCTTTTCCCCTCCTTCCTGCCCTCCTGGTTCTTGTTAAACCCTCAACCTCTACACCCGATCATTGTCGCCCTTCCCCCTGCGCCTCCCCTCTCACCATTCGCCTCCCCTCCCCCACGTCGACCCTCCGTCCCTGCGTCTCCCCCTCCCCTGTCTCCGCCTCTGCGCGTGGTGTGCTTGCGGCAGGGCGTGGCGGAAGCTGAAGGCGGAGGGGAGGGTGTTTGAGGACGAGGAGATGAGCGCGGAGGACAGGGAGTGGCTGCGCATGGACCTCGAGGACCTCTCCACCCAGGAGACGGACGCCAAGAAGGCTCAGGGGGGCGCGGAGGGCGCGGGGGCGGTGGAGGACCCCACGGACGCCGTGCCCTTTGAGGACCACCCCGGCTGGCTCAAGGTCTTCGGCCGCAAGCCGTGAGTGCTCTGCTGTGTGGGGGCTGGGCGTTAGTGCCTGCTCTGTGGGGATTGCACGCGGGTTCAAAGGAAAGGGGAATTGATGAAACGGGGTCAGCAGGGGTCTGTGAGTGACGCGTTGCCTTATGCCATGTGTGCGCAGGGAGAAGGGGCACTACGAGTACGCGGGGCAGATGAAGCAGAACAAGTTCCATGGCTGCGGTGTCTTCACCCTCAACGGCAAAATGCACTTCGTGAGTCACTGAACAGCACATTTGCATCTCATTACCACCATCTTGCCCTCCCTCATCCTGCGTACTGTCTGCATGTCACTGCGCCGTGTCTGTGTCCTCTAGCTATGCCCATCGTGCTGCATTCGATGCCATACCATTCCATCCGAATGCCGCCACCCCATGCCCTCCCGTCCCATGCCATGCCGTGTCACCGGCAGGGCAAGTTCCGCTTTGGCGAGTTTCTGCGCAACAAGGACGAGTGCGACGCACACACCTCCGGGGTGAGTGCAACCAGGGGTGTACCGCTGGGGGGGGTTTGCAGGCATGGGTGTCAGACGGGGGAAGGGGGATGGGTGAGGGGATAAGAGGATGGACAGGGCAGAGAGAGTTGCGGTGTGGGCAGCTCCTGTCAACGTTGCTGCTGTGTGCATGCCTTGCCATAACGCTTCATCCTCTGGATCGCTCGTACATGTATATCCTTACCCTCTCCCGCGCTACCTGTTAACACTGCCATCCTTCCCCTCCACCCTGCCCTCCCCCACTCAGTTCCATGCGGGCATGGCGCGAGTGGCAGCAGCCAAGGCGCGCATGTTCGTCAACAAGCCCGATGGCAGTAAGTCCCTTTCATCCCACCCCCCTGCTCTCCACTCCTCTCCCTTGCCCTGCTCCATCCACGCTGTCCGCCTTTTCCTGCCCCTGCACCGTCTAGCGCCCCCACTTACAACGAATGCTCGCCTTATTATGCGAGCTCAGCAGGGCATCCCCACCATTCAACCGCAACCCCCTGCTGTGATGCTGCCTCTCGCCCCTCCATCTCCCATGACCCCCAATCACCTCAACCCCAAACTCGATTATCACTCGCCCGGCCGTCCCCGATCCGTGTTCGTTCATCCACGAGTTCCACTCTCCCATCCCATCTCCCCCCATGCGTGTGTGTGCAGTGGTGCGCGAGGTGAAGGGGCCGTACAACGAGCCATCTCACCCATACCTGTATGACGAGGACGACATGTGGCAGGCGCCCATCCCGTGTCGCTCTAACCCCAAAACCCGTGTACCACTTTCCTGTCTCTCCTCCCTTCTCTGCGCAGTGGTGCGGGAGGTGAAGGGCCCATACAACGAGCCGTCACACCCGTACCTGTACGACGACGATGACATGTGGCAGGCGCCGGGGTTCATCCACGAGTTCCATGCCGTGCCCGCCGTGTGGCGCAAGTACGCCGACGAGGTGGACGGCGAGCGCCAGCTGTGGCTCAACTCCTTCAAGAAGGCGCCGCTGCGCCTCCCCTCGCCCTCCGAACTCTCCTACCTCTGGGACCAGAGTGAGTGCTGGTACTTACGAGACGAGATCAAGTGGGGGTGTCTAGGGTTGGAATATGGAAACACAGAGATTGTGACACATGGAAACACAGGGAAGGTGTCCCCATGAGCACTCCATCAGCACTTCGGTGTCCTTTCCCCTCCTGGCACCTGGCCCTCCTCCTTGGCCTTGGCACTGCATGGCCATCGCTGCCACATGCCCACGCAAGGACATGCTGCTGTTGTTTCCGTCAGTGTCACAATCTGCGTGCTATGTGACGACCCCCCCCTTCTGGGACCCATTCTTGTAACGTCTTAGCCCACCTTGCTTCCACGCCTCCCTCCCTCGCCCTCCTCCCTGCCCCCCACCACATGCGCAGAGGAGGAGTTTGTGGTGCTGCGCAACTCGCCACGGCTGCCGGAGCGGGTGGGGGAGAGTGCGGAGGAGGCGGAGATGAGGCGGGCGGACATGCAGGGGCAGGTGCTGGTGCACGTGCCGTCGCGGCAGATCATCAACTGGACCACGGACGACGAGGGCAAGCTGCGCCTCTTCGTGCAGCCCTTCACCAAGTGAGCTGTGTATAGCGTGGCCGGCCATGGCATGTGGTACCTTGAAATGGCATGGGATGGCATGTGATAGCATGGCTTGGCATGGCATGGCCTGGGATGGCATGTGCCCACCACCAAACTCACAGTCTCATATTCTTGTCTCGTGTTTCCGTACCTCTTCTTTACCCCCCTTGCGCACCTGTCCCATGCACGCATGCACTCATGCACTTTGTCACGCGAGCCCTCCTCACTATCTTCTTCCACACCCGTCCTTTCTACTCCCCCTCCCTCCATGGAACCCAGGGACGGCAAGGTGGACCCATCCAAGGCGCGCCCACTGCCACTGGGCTTTGACGAGTTCATCAAGGGCGAGGAGATGGAGCAGGAGGAGGAGGACGAGGAGGAGCAGGAGGAGAGTGAGGAGGCGTGGCGCCTCAAGACCCCCGAGCAGCTGCAGCGCGATGCAGAGCGCCGCCGGGCCAAGGCCGCGGAGGCGAGGCGGCGCCGCGTGGCGCGGTGGGAGCGGACTCTGCGCAACCGGGTGGCTGGGCGGAGGGAGCAGCGCGAGGAGGAGTGGGCGCGGCAGGATGCGGAGGAGGAGGAGCTGCGGCGGCTGGAGGAGGAGGAGTGGCAGCGCGAGGGCGACCTCATGGATGCCGAGTTTGAGGCCCGGCTCGATGCTGCCGAGGGGATCCTGCCCCCGGGGGAGGAGGAGGAGGAAGAGGGGATGGAGGGGACGGAGGGAGCGGAGCAGGGAGAGGGGGAGGAAGCGGCTGGCAAAGGGGTGGTGAAGGGCGGTGCTGCATCTGGGAAGGCTGCCGGCGTCAAGGCTGCTGGTGGTGCCTCTGGGGCGGGAGAGGAGGAGGAGGGGTCGGAGAGCGAGAGTGAGGGTGAGAGTGATGATGAGGATGACGATGAGGAGGAGAGGAAGCCACGGAGCTTTGGAACGGTGGCCATGGCGGTGGGAGGGAGCGAGGGCAGGGAGGAGGGCAGCGCAGGGGAGGGGTGGCTAAGGGGGCCGGCTGCAGCAGGCAGCACCACGGTGTTCGCCTCCATCTCGCTTTCCTCTCAGGTACGTGCGCCTGCTTGTCTCTGCTCCCTGGAGTTGACTCACAAGTCGCCATTCTCTGCTCTCATCTCACCACCCGTCTGCCCTCTCACCACCCCTTGTCCCTCTCACTCTCCCCCCTGCATCCCTCCCACCAGGTGGCACTGCAGCAAGCCATCCATCACGCCGCACGCTCCATCTCCTCCCTCCGCCGCCTCCTCCCTTCACCCTCCCCTTCCACCCCAACTGCGTCTCTCTCCCCCGCCGCTGCCCCCTTAGCCTCCCCCTCCCTGCCTCCCGCACTGGCACTAACGGTGCGCATGCCTGCCGTGCTGCCTCTCACGCCGTGCCTGCGTGCGTCAGCCCTGTCCTCTGCTGCACGCCGCGCACCCGTTGCTAAGAGCGGCTCACGTGGTGCTGCTAGAACCACCCACGCCCGCCAGGAGCAGCACCCCCAGGAGCTTGCGGTGGTGGGGGCCATTCTCTCCCTTGCTCTGCCACTGCCTGCCACTCCCTCCCTTGCCTAGTCTGTGTGAGGTGCTGCTGAGAAGGTGACACTAGTGCAACTGTGCAATTTAGACCTGGAACAGGCTTGCCAGACCACAGGTTTGAGAGATCTACAGTAATTAATAAACATCTAATGTAAGTTGTTGGACCACAAGCTATGTCTCTTGGTAACAATATTCAGCAGAAGCCATCAACTACAGCTTGGTTGCATTTGATTACATGGTTCGGTTCAGTATATTGGTTGGAACTTCCAGGGAGAAAAACAAGGGAAATGACTGAAACTCCCAGGTCAAAAGAAGCCAAGGCCAGAGTTTGATAAGTGACTTGACATTACATCCATCAAAAGCACCAGGCAGTTATCTTTCTGTACACCTGGTTTGATCAGTTCCCTATCATAATCGAAATCAATACTAATGCTGCAGCACTACAACCATACATCATAATGGTACAATCTCACAAGTGTTGAGATCCCGTTACTACTATATTTACTCCTTCCGACACTAAAAAAAAAACCTGCAAAGAGAGAAACAAAACACATGTTAGTCAAAGAAATTCAAGAAGAAAACGACAGAACCAGTGCAAAAAAAAGATGCCTACCTGAACCCCACAGAGCCAGTACCACACTGCACCTGTACCATACCTACACCTAGGGAAAGGCTCTGTGAGGTGTAAATGCTTGATACATTTGACCTTTGACCATGGAGCTGCTCCGCATCCTGATGATAAACCATGTTAAACGCCATGGTGCTGCTATGAGATCCTCCACAGCGTGCAGTGCAGAAATTAGCAGATCCTGCAAAGAGCAACACAAAACAGGTTAGTCAACGGCCGTGAATGAAAACGATAAAAGCAAACGACAAGAGCAGTGAAAAATAAGTGATGCCTACCTGAACCCCACAGAGCCAGTACCACACCTGCACCTGTACCATACCTACACCTAGGGGAAGGCTCTGTGAGGTGTAAATGCTTGATACATTTGACCTTTGACCATGGAGCTGCTCCTCATTCTCATGATGAACCATGCTAAACGTCATGGTGCTCCTATGAGATCCTCGGAAGCGTGCAGTGCATAAAATAGCAGATCCTGCAAAGAGCAACATAAAACAGGTTAGTCAACGGCCTTGAATGAAAACGATAAAAGAAAACGACAGGAGCAGTGAAAAAAAAGTGATGCCTACCTGAACCCCACAGAGCCAGTACCAACACCTGAACCTGTACCATACCTACACCTAGGGGAAGGCTCTGTGAGGTGTAAATGCTTGATACATTTGACCTTTGACCATGGAGCTGCACCGCATCCTCATGATGAACCATGTTAAACGCCATGGTGATCCTATGAGATCCTCCAAAGCGTGCAGTGCAGAAATTAGCAGATCCTGCAAAGAGCAACATAAATCAGGTTAGTCAACGGCCGTGAATGAAAACGATAAAAGCAAACGACAAGAATAAGTGATGCCTACCTGAACCCCACAGAGCCAGTACCACACCTACACCTGTACCATACCTACATCTAGGGGAAGGCTCTGTGAGGTGTGAATGCTTGATACATTTGAAGTTTGACCATGGAGCTGCTCCTCATCCTCATGATGAACCATGCTAAACGTCATGGTGCTCCTATGAGATCCTCGGAAGCGTGCAGTGCAGAAAATAGCAAATCCTGCAAAGAGCAACATAAAATAGGTTAGTCAACGGCCTTGAATGAAAACGAAAAAAAAGCAAACGACAGGAGCAGTGAAAAAAATGTTATGCCTACCTGAACCTCACAGAGCCAGTACCAACACCTGAACCTGTACCATACCTACACCTAGGGGAAGGCTCTGTGAGGTGTAAATGCTTGATACATTTGACCTTTGCCCATGGAGTTGCTCCACATCCTCATGATGAACCATGCTAAACGCCATGGTGCTCCTATGAGATCCTCCAAAGCGTGCAGTGCAGAAATTATCAGATCCTGCAAAGAGCAACAAAAAACAGGTTAGTCAACGGCCTTGAATGAAAACGAAAAAAGCAAACGACATGAGCAGCGGAAAAAATGTTATGCCTACCTGAACCCCACAGAGCCAGTACCAACACCTGAACCTGTACCATACCTACACCTAGGGGAAGGCTCTGTGAGGTGTAAATGCTTGATACATTTGACCTTTGACCATGGAGCTGCTCCGCATCCTGATGATAAACCATGTTAAACGCCATGGTGCTGCTATGAGATCCTCCACAGCGTGCAGTGCAGAAATTAGCAGATCCTGCAAAGAGCAACACAAAACAGGTTAGTCAACGGCCGTGAATGAAAACGATAAAAGCAAACGACAAGAGCAGTGAAAAATAAGTGATGCCTACCTGAACCCCACAGAGCCAGTACCACACCTGCACCTGTACCATACCTACACCTAGGGGAAGGCTCTGTGAGGTGTAAATGCTTGATACATTTGACATTTGACCATGGATCTGCTCCTCATCCTTATGATGAACCATGGTAAACGTCATGGTGCTCCTATGAGATCCTCGGAAGCGTGCAGTGCAGAAAATAACAGATCCTGCAAAGAGCAACATAAAACAGGTTAGTCAACGGCCTTGAATGAAAACAATAAAAGAAAATAACAAAAACGACAGGAGCAGTGGAAAAAAACAGCGTGAACATCATAACACGTGAAGAAAAAATGACGTGGAGTATTACTTGAGAGTGCAGGTGAGGTTGCTTGGCTATCGTGGCAGAAGTTCCATGCTCGAAAAAGTTGATTTTGCTCCATGATCGATTTGGTCAAGTGATGCAGGAGAGGCTGCCTGGAGGCGACGTGTGATGAGGAACCAAAAATACAGAGGAGGCGGTTGGTAACAAGCTTGAAGTTGGGAATGAGCAGAATGTTCCAGGGTAGAGCTGGAGAATGCCGTGGATAGTTGGAATGGATGTGGATCGGTGAGATCACAACGTTCTGATGTGATCTGAGGCGAAAACAGTCTGTGGTTGGAATCGTGCCTTGCTGGCATCTATGGTGGTCCCGAACATGCCACCCTGGATGAAGGAGGAACATACAAATTTGTCGACACTACGATAAAACGAGCTATGATTGGACCACCTCAGACTGAGTAGCCTATGAGTGATGGAAACGTAATCCTAGTGCCACCAAGTTGACCCACGTGTTATGTTTGAATGGCCAGAAAGCCACACGGTGGAGTCACCTACATTGACATGGATAGGAACTTCAATCACCTACGGTGGATGGAAACTAACCAGAGCGGTTCGTTTCCCGAAGCGTGCCGCTGAAAGCCGCTGAATTGCTCAGCAAGAGGATGAACGAAGAATTGGAGGGAAAGCCTGACACAAGTAGAGAGGAGCACCAGCCGAGAGGCAAGCAGAACCTAGGGAATTGGTGAGAGCAACCAGAAGCTGAAGCCCTCTGAGATCTAGGGAATTATCGAGAAGATACGCAACCCCTTGAGAGGAAGTGAGACTGTTCGTCCAATCACGTTTTGCGAATCCGCACGAACAAGCTCTCTGCGGGTGTGGGGTACCCTGAGAATGAAGTGCGCGGGTGTCGCAAATTACCAGGATACAAATGTAATGACGAAACAAGTTTCTCTCGAGAATTCGCTTGAACGGGGGCACGGTTGGGCTGCGAATGTCAGAATCAAATTTTCAGCGCGGTTAAACACGGTTCGTTTTTCCCAGTTCATTGCGCAGTGATTTTTTTTGTGCTCTCCTCGCCTCACACCTCAGCACTCCTCCCATGATTCGCTCAATCGCTCCCTATCGATTTCTTTCTTTCTCTCAGCCACTGCCGATACTATCCAGCTCCTGACACCTCAATCGCGTATCATTACCCCTAATCGCCCCTCCAGCCGTACTAGAAGCACCATGCGTGCTGTTCGTGCTTTCACATGGTTAGCTTCACGCGTGTCTCGCTCCCACCTGTACTCAACCGCCGAGCCGCCGAGCCGTCCACCGTACCCATGTATGAGCTCGTCGCTGCGAGGTTTTCCTCTATTTTGAATCTAAAAAACGCTGCAGCGACCGGACATGCACAATACACGATGCTTACTGCGGCGCGTTACCGAGAGTCGTACAGTGCCATGTCGCGTGCCGCTGCGATCCGCCATGCACGCGACCACGAAGCCACGATGTCGCTCCTCCAGCCACCCTCCCCATTCCGCGGCCGCCTCTCCATTTGCTACGATGACACGTACGACATCAAACGCTGTTCATCTCGCCGCAGTGTCGACGCATCCTAAACGACACGGCATGCACGCTGGCAGAATCTCCGATGCGCGATATTCCGCCGCAAGAAACGGCAGTTTGCCGCCCAATTTGGGCGCGCGTCGACCACTCTCAACCATTAGCCAGGATTTTAGGCTCGGGATGGTCGAATGTAAACAGCATTTGGAAGTAAAAGCGTGGCGCGTTCCCCATTCGACGCGCCCCGTGCATGCGACTCCCTCTGTACCTCGCGCCTCCTCGCCCATCCCGTACGTAGAAGCACGGCAGCGACGGCAGGTGGATGGGTATATGAGCTGCTCCAGCCGAGCCATCTTCACGCCAGCTTCTCGTCAACCGCTGCAGCGGAATCGGTCGGCCCTCGTCAGCTGCAAGCCTCGCTGCCTTCCCCGCTCCCCTTTCCCTCTCGGCCTTTGCCTCCCTGGAGTAACTGCAAAGACCGCTCTTCCACCTTACTTCATTTCTAGCGTTTTCGCCTAGAAGCTACTCGCAGCGCACAGCAGCGCCTGGGAATCTCTGCTCCGCTGCTTCCCTACCTGCCTGCCTGATCCTCCTCCACCGCTCTTGCCCCAGTGGCCCAAGTGCGCGCCAAGCGTGTCCGTGTCGTCCGCCCTTCTCTCTCCCATGGGGTCCGACGGGTGCTTCCAGTCACGGGTAGGCAGCGAGGAGGGAGTGAGCCTGGGGGTGCTTAGTCCTGCTGCCGTGGGTTTGGCTGACGACGCTTCTCCGCAGGGCAGGGCAACAGCGATTTCGCGGCGTCGGTTCTCAAGCCGTGCAGCAGCAGCTTCAAGGAAGATGCGGTGGCGGGGATAGGGAGGATGGGGTTGAGCGAGACGGGGAAGGAGGAGGGTGGTGCGACGAGTGGTGTGGAGGAGGGGGGCTGGGCCAAGTGGCCTGTGAACGGCACTGCAGGGGTGGAGAACGGTGCTACAGCCGTGAAGAACGGTTTAGTTCATCCCCACGCATGTACCAAACCCTTCAGCGCTGCTACTGGTTGCGCTTATAACGAGCCAAGGGGCAGCCTGCGACTGTAGCTCCCGAGTCCCACTGCGATTCCGCCGTGCCGAGAATGAACCCCTTAAAGCCCGGCAAGCCGGTGGCGTGTGAGCTGGGCATCGGTACAGCGAATCCGGACACGACTCGGCCGCAGGGGCAGTTTGCCAAGGAGTACCTCTCTCGGATGGGCTGCCACCATGCTGAGACTCAGGCCAAGTTCGAACGCATCTGTGAGTCGCACGTCGCACGCACCAAGGGGCCTTCAGAATTGATCCAACTAGGACCCAGGGAGTTTGAGCACATATGTGTGTTGCACGAAGGAGCATGGCAGCGTTTGAGGTGCATGAGAAGAGGAAAGAGATTGATTGGCATCGATTGATTGAACCTCTGTACTGTCGCTACTCGTTCAGCAGTCTGTCCCTCCCTTGTTCATCCTGCCCCCCCTCCCTCAGTCCGCCCTCACTCTCCCCCTTCCCTCTGCAAACAGGCAAGCATGGCATGGTCTCTCCTGCGGATCATGATATGTATATAACCCTCCTTCCTTCATTTCTTGTCTACTATCATCTTTTCTCCCTCTCTCCCATTTCCCCCCACCAGGCTACCACACGGGCATAGACAAGCGCCACATGGTGCTGCCATGGGACACCGCGGCCAACCCTCTGGTTTCTCCCATCCCTCTTTTGTCGTACACCTCCCTTCTCCCTCCTTTCTTTTTCCAATCCACCCCCCCTTTTACCCACCAGGCTACCACACGGGCATAGACAAGCGCCACATGGTGCTGCCATGGGACACCATCGCCGCCAACCCCTGCCTGCAGGAGTTCGGCGCGCCCTCCCTCGCCATGCGCCAGGACATCCTGCGCAGCGCACTGAGGACGTCAACTTCGCTGCTGCCGCCTGCGAACGCGCCCTCGCCGAGTGGGGCGGGGACAGAGCAGGCATGGGGGGAAGGGGAGGGGCAGGGGAGGAGGCGGGGGGTGTCAGTGGGGTGAACGGGGAAGGTGGCGTGCACCTGCCGGGTGGGGCCAGGGCAGGGAGGATAACGCACGTGGTGGTGGTGACGGTGAGCGGGGTGCACCTGCCCGGGCTGGACGTGCAGCTGGTGGAGGCCTTGGGGCTGCGCCGCTCCACCCAGTGCTTGCTGCTGCAGATGCTCGGGTGCTATGCGGGGGTGACGGCGCTGCGCATTGCCAAGGACCTCGCGGAGAAGAATGCGGATGAGGGCGCACGGGTGCTGCTCGTGTGCTCTGAACTCAACAGTCTCATCTTTCAGGTATGGTGTCATGACTCTTGGGGCCCCTCAAGAGTCGGATGTTCGGGTGCTACGCGGGGGTGACGGCCCTGCGCGTGGCCAAGGACCTCGCTGAGAATAATGCGGATGAGGGTGCACGGGTGCTGCTCGTGTGCTCTGAACTCAACAGTCTCATCTTTCAGGTATGGTGTCATAAGTTATGAGGTGCCTAAGAAGGCAGATGCTGGGGTGCTACGCGGGGGTGACTGCGCTGCGCATTGCCAAGGACCTGGCTCAGAATAACGCGGATGAGGGGGCGAGGGTGCTGCTCGTGTGCTCCGAACTCAACAGCATCATCTTCCAGGTGGGGTATGATCTAATCCTCCACATGCGCCTCGTCGCGCCGACGACGATCGTGCTGACTGACTGCTGACAGCATGGTAGCGAAAGGAGAGCGCGGCAGCGTGGTGGCGAAATGATCGCGTGGTAACGACTATCGACTGTACTCCGTCCCGCTACCTAGACATAGGGCGTGTGTAAGACATTTGACACGTGTCTACAGAAAACTGCACTTACGGCGCCTGTTTATGGCTACTAAGATATGCTTGCACTAATCCCAAGGTTCACTTTGGCCTGCTTGTGATTCCAGTTCTCGCTGTCGAATATCTTTCCATCCACTAAATATTGGAACTTCCGTTCTTTTATCAATATTGCTGAGGAGTGGATCAGAACGAGGATTTCACCTTGATGCTGTATTGCTAGCTAACCAGGCATTCCCACACCGGTATCCTCCATCAAGCAAGGCCCTTCGGTTTGTGAAACTAGCACACCCGAGCGTTGACACATCGTGTCACAACTACAGCAAGAACCAGCACCGTTAGAGCAGCCGTTGCGTTGCACCAACATTGTAGTCCATATGCTCAACCTGGCACTGCAATGGGTCCCACATAATGAGAGTTTCAAATTGCATGTCAGAAGTGTGCTGTTTCACTGCCTGAGTGCGATCTGTACACAAACTTTCGTATTGCACAATTCTGTAGTGGAATCAAGTGTCCTGAAGAAGATCCATTACCCAACTAAGCATCCATACGTACATCAAGACTTTATTCCTACACGCATGCCTTACACCATGTGTCCTTGCCTAACCATAAGCTACCACCAACACACCCTGTCCGCCCCGACCACAGTCAGGTCTCTCCGACCCCTCTACCACCGCCGTTCCGCCTAACAACCCCCCGCCCTGCACATATCCACGTGTGTGGAACAACCGCATGCGTGTGTGTGAGAGAGTGCACCCGGCAGCAGGCAGCAGCGAGTGGTTAGTACGGCTTTTCATCCCAGGCCCAGGAGCGCCAGTTGTTGCCGATGTAAGGCGGCTCGGGGTTCCAGTTCCAGGGGCGCCCGTTCACCTTGCCGCCGGGCGGCACGTACCCGTTGCCCACGAATAGCTCCTTGTAGCGCCCGCGGATGTTGGAGATGTAGCAGAGCTGCCGGCCGTCGCCGCGGTACGGCTGGCGCGCGCAGCGCATGAGCTCGGTTACCCAGGAGCTGTACCCCACGGATTCCAACCACTTGTTGCCGAACGCCATGCGCCCGAACACCGCCTGGTTGGGGCCCGGGCACGTGACGCCGATGCTCATGTTGACTGCGGGCTCCCAGTAGATTCCCACATCATTCGCCTGCATGGACGCGCACACGCACGTGTACCGGTACCACATGCCGTAGTCGCTGTTCTTGTCGCATTCGAACGGCTTGGTCAGGTCACTGCCCTTGATCGCCTCCGCGCCCAGCTTCCCCCCGCCGAGGCTGAGCGCCACCACCACCGCGCACAGCAGCGCCACGCGCACCGAGCGGAATCCCATGATTCGTGGCCAATTAGCTTAGGAGATCGCTAAAACGGAGTGGATGCGCAGAAGAATTGTGATATCGTCCAGAAGAGTTGTGTTCCCATTGATGACTCTAGCCCTAAGCAAGCATTCTTATACATCCTTCGGCTCAGTGGAATCGCCGAATCGTGCTGAGACGCGGCTCGCTGAGACCAAGAAAGGAAGATGCGAATTCATGTGAAATGGCGACTCGCGAGAGTTGCGAGAGGAGCAAGCGGAGGTTGCGGCAGAAAGGGACGGTTGATCTCCTGCAAGAGGTTGCCAACCGCTGTTCCACATAAAGTTGGTTTCGAGTTTCGGCATCATCGAGAACAGTGTATGTACACTATGTATCGTGAAGAAATACTTGTTGTCGTGAAAACTATATTTTGCGCGCAGATCTTTTTTCTGTGTGGCACAAATGCTTTCGATGCCTGCGTGGCAAGATGTCTGGTAACCAGCAAAAGGGGCTCTCGTAGCGACATTCGTCAAAGAGCCCACTCTCCAAATGGCGAGATCTCAGCGCTGGTTTCTTCTGACGTGGCTTGGTGGCGGATAGGGCTCCGCATCCCGCACACCACCCTCCGCCACACACGATTCTGCCAAACACCTTCCAGCTGGTGGCCTTCGGCAACTTCAGGGGCGGGCTGCTGTGGGACCTTCAGCGCGTTCCCCGCGCGTTGCATTTCCGCCCTCCGGACTTTTTGCCTGCAAGCTTTCACCTTCCCGCCCCCGCATCTCCCCTCCGCTTCCCCCCACCACCCCGACCCCACCAGCCCACGGCGCCTCTGTGTCCCTCGGGATCTCCTCCTTTCCCCCCCCTCGGTCATCCGCTACGATCGCTCCTTCCACCTTCCCTCCCACCACCACCACTGCTCTCACCTCAACCTTCTCTTGCTGTAGTCCCGCAGGCATCGCTTTTTGCTCCTGGTCTCCACGTCTGACTAGGTGATTCGCTGCAATGGCTGCCGTCGCTTCCACCATGGCCACCAGCCTCTCCGTGAGGAGCCTCAACACCGCCTTTGTCGGCGGAAAGAGCCTCCGTTCAGCTGCGAAGCTGCCGTCAGTCGTGAGCGCCGCTAGGTTGGTCGCGGAGGCCAGGCAGGAGAAGGCCGTCAGCAGCTCGTCCGTCGCGTCCGCCGCGTCGTCCGTCGTCGAGGGAATCTTCGGCGAGAAGGCGACGAGGCAGATGCACCACGCTGCGATCATTGCGATGAATGCGATGATCGCCATGCCAGCGTTCGCCGAGGAGGAGAAGGGAAAGATCTTCGACTTCAACCTGACCCTCCCCATCATCGTCGTCCAGTTCCTCCTCCTCATGGTTGCTCTCGATACCATCTGGTTCAAGCCCGTCTCCACGGTCATGGATTCCCGCGACGAGGAGATCAGGAAGAAGCTCATCGGCGTGAGGGACAACTCCGGCGAGATTAAGGACCTGCAGAGCCAGGCCGAGGCGCTCATCAAGGCGGCTCGCGCGGAGGCGTCAGGGCAAATGAACGCGATGAAGAAGGAGGTGGCTGCTGAGCTGGACGCGAAGCTGCAGGCGTACCGGGCGCGCATCGAGAAGGAGCTGGAGTCGGCGCTCGCGAACATGGAGACGCAGAAGGTGGCGACTCTCAAGAGCCTCGACTCGCAGGTGTCCGCTCTCAGCGACGAGATCGTGAACAAGGTCATTCCCTTCAAGGCGTGATACGTGTCGCACCATTGTACTTGCGTTAACCTATTATAAAGCCCGCATTTTCGAAACCCCAGTCGTTTGTTCGTTTGAGTCAGGCGGGGAAGCAGGGTGGTGTCAGCAGAGGCGTCTCTGAGCACAAGCATCCCCTCTTCCGAGAGCCAAACTCACTTGCACTCACACCCACTCACATCACACTCGCTCAGACTCGCTCACTCAAACATGGACACTCGGACTCAGGCGCTCACTCACTCACAGGGTTCTGTGTGAGTAGCAGGGTGCTGTCAGCACAGCCATCATTATGCATCGGCCTCACAAATGGAAGTACAAAAGATGCTGACCAATGTACAGGAAGGAACATAGGCATGATGGATGGCCACACGGGGAAGAATAAAACCTGTCCAGCACAGCTATGTCTACCTGAAACAACACTGGTGGTGGCTCCATCTACTGGAGGCGAGCTTGGGCTGTGTGAACAGCACGTCAAGTCTGTGGCAGCAAGCAAATGCATCTCCGGGCACTCCCTTCCCTGGTTCCATTCTATGGAGGGAAGAATACTGGTAGAAGCCTGAATCGAAAGGATGCTCCAGTAAGCAGCTTCAGTCTAGGTTGTGTGCATAGAATTATATAGAAGCTAGATTCATAAGGCCAATGCAAACAAAAACTTGGTGCGGGTGGGACGACGTCTCCCTCCCAATGTAACAATCAGGAGCATGTGTGTGCATCACCTACAGCTCGTCCTTCAACTCCTGTGACGGCCCTGCTACCTCCTCCCCTCTTCCAGAGTCTCCCTCTAAGTCCCTTCTCAGCTCCTCCTCCTCTGCCCTCGCAGTCGCATCTTCCCCCACCACATTCCCTCCAGCCGCTGCACCAGTAGCAGCCTCCCCACTAGAAGCACCCTCCCCACTGGCAGCTGTCTCAGCACCCCCTGGCTTCCCCTCCGCCTCCCCTCTCTCCCCCTCCACCGACTCACCCCCCTCTCCTTCCCGCACCACGCACGCGTCCCACGAGGCCCGACCGGCGCTCTCAGCATCCTTGCGGGGGGTGTGCCACGTGGCGTGCACCGCCATCTTGTGCGGCGGCTTGGAGTACGATGCTATCAGCTGCAGCTCCTCGGTGCCGTCGTTCACTATCTGAGGACCACATTGGTGGGGGAGTGTGGGGGAAGTGGGGAATGAGGGAGGAGGGGGTGGGGGGAGGAGTGTGGGTGGAAGCCAACAGACGGATGCAGGTTGTGGCATGTGAGGGCTTACATGAGGAGGGGTTGACAGGGAATGACAGCAGTGAATGAGGATTGGGGGAACCATATTGCGTAGCTTATGGGCACTAATAATTTCGCACAGCATTCATTAGGTGCATGCACAGCGTTCATCACCTGCTGAACAGCGCTCAGCGTACCTGGTGCAGGGCCTTGGGTTGGAAGGTGACGGTGGTGTTGCGCTTGACTGCATGCGAGGACGGCTCTGTCTTCTTCTCCTCCACCACCCACACCTTGCCCTCTCCACGCACAAACACCACCACCTCCTCCTGCCACCGCCACCACACCACCAAAAAGCAGCCGAACACAAGCACCACAACAGCACACAGCGCACAATGAGCGGCGCGCAGGATGCAATGAGAGGCGCACACGTACAGGCCAGTCAGTCACACAGCCATGGCGTGCTTGCACAGAGAAATTGTCGCACAGTGGAACGATCCACGGAAACCAAAGAGCGCCTGCAGGCATAAGGTTTGGAATAAGGCACAAAGGTCACGGCTCACCTGCGGGTGCGAGTGAATGGGGGTCTTGGCACCAGGCGCGAACGTCATGAGGAACACCTCGACGTGTTTCAGCCCGTGCTGCACCTTGCCGCCCAGCGTGATCACCGCCACGCCCTCCATGCCGTAGCTGTCCTGATACAGGGTCCGAATCTCGCGCACCAACGGGCCGCGCGACAGGTCCTCGCAGTACGGCTCAGGATCCGCCGCCACTGCCGCTTCCGACGCCGCTTCCGCTGGTGTTTCTGCTGTTGCGCCGGTTGCGCCTGCTGCCGCCGCTTCCGCTGTTTCCGCGGGTGAATGCTGTGTCCCGTCAGCCGCTGACGCGTCAGCGGCGACCATGATAGGCGATGCCGCGAGCGATAGCGCAAGAAGCAGCGCGACGACGAGGAGTTGTCGCACGGCAAGGCGAGCGGAGCCGTGGGCGTCGATCGGAGCCATGACGTCGCACACTACCACTCGAAAGAGGTGAGACTATATGGATAGCAGTGCTAAATGTTTCGGGCGTGCGTAGGCTGCGTTGCGACCAAGGGTGGAAGTCGGAATCGGAAGGGTGGACAATCATGTTCGCTGTGGCGCTGAAAGGAAGCTTCAAGAAATCTCTCCAGAATTGGAATGCTTCCCGGTTGAGAGGAAAAACCTGGGAATAATCTTGCAATGAGGCGAAAATGCAGTTTTATAGCAGACTTCAAACGACAATATTTTAGACTGGCTAACTTTTCATCACATGCCGTACGACTGTGCATGCAAGAGGAAAAGCGGATCACACCACAGCACATCCGTCTCCCAACACACCCCCTCCCCACCACCTTTCCCCCCATCAGCATCAGCATCAGCATTAGCCTGCATAACATCTGAGAGCACACTCTGCAGGATGGGATTCACAGGCATCTCCTGCAGCCTCCTCGCAGCTGCCTTGACCAGCTTCCTTGTCCTCCGCACTTCCTTGCCTGTTGCTTGCAACACACTCGCTGCTGCTGTGCACTCACTCCCATCCCCACTGCTGCTCGCAGCGCACTGCTTTTCAATCTCCGCTCTGCTCTTATTTCTCCAACCCAGTGGGAGACACTCGGCACGCCCAGCTCCTAAGGACACTTTGCTAAGCGCCCACAACCCAAGGAGCGGCCGGATCAGGGCAGAAAAAGAGTCCTGGTGAAACGTCGGCCCGCCCACCCACTTCATCGACTTGCACAGCCGGGCAGCTTGGGCAGCCTCGGTGAAAAACCTCTTTGCAAAGACCAGTTTCCAGGTGGTGATTGCTTTGAGGAGCGCGCGGGAAGGCGGGCAGAGGAGCAGCGCTTGCTGCAGGTGCAGGCAGCAGAGGTGTGCGAGCAGCAGCGGCTCCTCGTGGTGGTTATCCACCTCTCTGTCAAACAGCCTCCGCACAAACCCCGGCACTGCCCGCACTGCTGCCGCTGCTCCTTCCTCCCTTGGTCTCGTTTCCCCGTCCCTCCTCTCACTCTCTGCTGCGCTCTCCTCCTCCTGCTCCTCCTCATCCTCCTCACCCACCGGCTCATCACCCAGGCGATCCAAGGCAGTGAGGCGCTGAAAGCCCGAGGGGGAGACAAAGTCCGGGTGCAACACCCAGGCTGCCAGGTGTGCGGGCAGCAGCGCGGGCGGGCAGGCACGCAGGCACAGCGACACGTGCGCCAACGCTGCTTCCACTGCTCGCTCCACCTGCGCCGGCACAAAGGCCGACGATACTGCTGCTGTAGTGGATGGTGCGTGTGGGTGTGCGGCGTCAGCAGCGGCAGTGGTGGTGATGGTGAGGACGGCAGTGGCGAGGGACTTGCGGAGCGTCTCATCTTCATCCTCCATCACTCGAATCACTGTCAGCCATGCTCGCACCACCACCCTTGCATACTCCATCACTGCACCCTCCCCTCCTTCCTCTCCATCCTTCACCATACCACGCTCTCCCTCTCCCACACTCCCTCCTCCGACCACATTCTTCCCCCCTGCCGCAGGTTCACAGCGCAGTGCATGCCCCATTCTACCCACCTCCAGCAGCAGTCCTGACGACACCACCGCCTCTGCTGCCGCCCGCCGCACACTCACCGGCCGGTGCGCCGCGCTCTGCTCGCCAATCAGCTGCAGCCACGTGGCAGCCAGCTGCAGCAGGTTCCCCGTGCCCCTGCCCTGGCCCAGGGGGAAGTCTCCTGAAGTCAACCCCCGCTCCACAGACTGCTTCGCGCCCTCCTGCTGCCAGGCACCTTGCTCCTGCTGCTGCTGCTCCAGTCCACACCCGACCAGGCGGCCATGCTGGGAGAGCAGCAGGCGGAAGCAGTGCCCCAGGCACCTCAGTGCCGCCTCCCTCGTTTTCAGCACACGTGCCGTCTCAAATACCTCCAGCACCACCGCCCACAGCGCTGCACACCCGCTCCTATTGCTGCCAGCTGCAGAGCTGTCAGGCACGTCGGAGGGGCCACCAGGGTGCCTCTCCTCTGCTGTCCCTGGCAGTGCTGCTTCCGCGGGCTGCAGGGCGTGGGGCAGCAGGGGCAGCAGGAGGGGCTGCAGGGAGGGCAGGGAGAGCGCGGGCAGCAGCACCTTGAGCAGGCGTCGGCACCGCATCTCGTCCCGCCCCTGTGCCTCCCTCTCCTGCTGCACCCCCTGCACCACCGCCAGCAGCACTGCACCCACTTCGCCCTCACTACTGCTGTTGTGGTGTGGCGCGGTGTGGAGCGGTGGCAGCAGCGGCGCGAGCAAGCGAGGGGAGGCGAGGAGGTGGGAGAGGGAGCGGAGAGCAGAGAGTTGCACGTCCCGACAGGGGTCTTGAACTGCTGACACTGCCACCCTCCAAAACACACTCGCACTGCTGCACTCCCCACCCTCTCCCACCCTGGCTTCTCCCTTTATACCCCCTTCAACCGAACCCAGCCCGTCCCACAGGCCTCGGCCCGCCAGGCACACAGCCTCTGGGGAGAGAAGCAGGGAGGCGGCGGTTTTCCTGAGGGCGAGCGCTGTGGGGTCTAGAATGGCGAAGCGGAGAGGCGGGTGGAAGGAGAAGGCACGCAGGGCGAGCGGGAGGAAGGCGGCCGCTGTGGCGTGCACCATGGGGGTGAGGGGTGGTGCAGAGGAGTTAGGGGCGGTGGGGAGAGGGGTGGAGAGGGGAGGGGAGGAAAGGGAAGTGGAGGAGTGGAGGGCGGAGGAGAGGAGGGCGGAGAGGGGAGGGGAGGAGTGGAGCGCGGAGGAGAGGAGGAGGTGGGAGACGGTGAGATACTCTGCAACCACAGAGGGGCAGCAGCACATGTGGGGGTCGCCCAGCCAGCGCCGCTGCTGCAGCGCCTGCAGCACCTCTTGCACGTCTGCTGCCTTGCTGCTCCCCTCCCCCCCGCCCTGCTGCTGCTGCTGCGCCTGGCCTGTGCTGCCGGCAACCCAGTAGGCGGCAAGCAGGTGGCGCATCTGCAGCAGCACACCATGCACCGCATTGTACCCCATTGCTTCACTCGCCCTCCCACCCTCATCTTCACCTCCCCTCTCACATTCCTCCTCCTTGTCCTCCTCACTTCTTCTCTCGACAATTCCAACCATCCCACCCCTCCTTCCCCACTCCTCAGGGAGGCTGCAAGCCAGCTTCAGCAGCATCCCTGAAACTTCCGTGGAGGCCAAGATGGGGACAAGCGCGCGGGCGGCGAGCTCTCGGACGTGCATGTGGGGGTGGGCGGCGCAGAGCGAGACGGGCGGCACGAAGGCGGAGGGGGAGAGGAAGGAGGAGGGCGAAGGGGAGGTGAGGGTGGACGGCTTGAGGCGCGAGAGCAGGATGAGCGCGGGGGCCAGGGCGGGGTGCAACGGCTGGGAGGAGGAGGAAGTGGAGGTGATGGTGGTGGCACTGGCAGTGGTGGCGGAGGAGGGGGAAACGTCAGCAGGGGGGTGGGGTAGATCCGCAGGGGGGTTCTCAACAAGGAGGTGCTGAGCAGGAGGCAGGAAGGCGAGGGCGGCCTCTCGAAGGTGGCGGAGGAAGAAGGCATGCAGGTCAGGGTAGCGCAGGAAGAACTCCAGAGCTGTCATGCTCTGCCTCGCCGTCTGCTTACACACCACCTGCTCCCGCGCCCACGGCCGCCCGGCTCTCGGCACGTTCTTAAAGCCCAGCATGCGGTGCAGCAGCGCCACCAGGCACAGCCCGCCCGCGTTGCGCACCTCCCAGTGGGGCGAGCGGGCGGCGGCGACGGCGGCTTGCAGGGCGGGGGAGCAGAAGGCGGAGGTGTCGGTGGCAAGGTGGGTGTCGTGGAAGGCCAGGCGCAGCACGTTCCATGCGTGCACCGCTGCTACCACTCCCTCTTCTCGTGCCTTGAGGGATAGTGCTGGTGCTGTTGCTGCTGCTTGCACCCCTGGTGCTGCTGTTGCTGGTCCTGGCACCAGCGCTTCTCCTGCCTGCTCTGCACGCCCACCTTTCCAATCTTCCCCTCCTTCCCCTTCCGCATCATCCCCCATCCCCTTGGCGTCTCTCCCCACCCCACACCCTCTCTCCGTCCCCCGCACCACCTCCAGCAGCCACGCCACAGCGCGGGGCAGCAGCACCTTGGGCGCCCCTTGAGGCTCGCCCAGAAACAGCCCCAGGAACGCAGCGGGCAGGCCGGCGGACCTGCGGATGAGGTCAGTGAGGGTCTGGTGGGGCGCTGTGAGGCGGCGCTGCAGTGTGGTGAGCCAGGCGCGCGGGAGGGCGTTGAGGGCGGGCGAGGGGCAGCGCAGCAGGCGGTCTGTGAGGGCTATGAAACCGGCTCTTGTCTTGTCCACGGCCCCGTTGTGCTTCATGGCTAGGAGGAGGGAGACGAAGTGATCTCCCACTTGCTGCAATGGGGGGAGAGGCGGATGAAAGGAGACAAACGGGAGGTGAGAGGGCCGGAAGAGGGGGGAGAGAGAGGTGGGAGGAGCCGGCCCTCGTCTTGTCCACGGCCCCGTTGTGCTTCATGGCCAGGAGGAGGGAGACGAAGTGATCTCCCACTTGCTGCAATGGGGGGAGAGGCGGATGAAAGGAGACAAACGGGAGGTGAGAGGGCCGGAAGAGGGGGGAGAGAGAGGTGGGAGGAGCCGGCCCTCGTCTTGTCCACGGCCCCGTTGTGCTTCATGGCCAGGAGGAGGGAGACGAAGTGATCTCCCACTTGCTGCAATGGGGGGAGAGGCGGATGAAAGGAGACAAACGGGAGGTGAGAGGGCCGGAAGAGGGGGGAGAGAGAGGTGGGAGGAGCCGGCCCTCGTCTTGTCCACGGCCCCGTTGTGCTTCATGGCCAGGAGGAGGGAGACGAAGTGATCTCCCACTTGCTGCAATGGGGGGAGAGGCGGATGAAAGGAGACAAACGGGAGGTGAGAGGGCCGGAAGAGTGGGGAGAGAGAGGTGGGAGGATCCGGCCCTCGTCTTGTCCACGGCCCCGTTGTGCTTCATGGCCAGGAGGAGGGAGACGAAGTGATCTCCCACTTGCTGCAATGGGGGAAGAGGGAGGGAGGAGGAAGAGTTGAACGAGGGGGTGCGGAGGAGGAAGAGGGCGGTGAGAGGGTGAAGGGGGGGCATTAGGGAGATGGGTGTGTAACAAGGAGAGAAGAGGTATGGAGAGAATAAATGGTGGCACTATCACATGCACCTGCAAGCATATACGCTGCACCACAAGCATATACGCTGCACCACAAGCATATACGCTGCAGCACAAGCATATACGCTGCAGCACAAGCATATACGCTGCAGCACAAGCATATACGCTGCAGCACAAGCATATACGCTGCAGCACAAGCATACACGCTGCAGCACAAGCATATACGCTGCAGCACAAGCATATACGCTGCACCGCAAGCATATACGCTGCACCGCAAGCATATACGCTGCACCGCAAGCATATACGCTGCAGCACAAGCATATACGCTGCAGCACAAGCATATACGCTGCAGCACAAGCATATGCGCTGCAGCACAAGCATATACGCTGCAGCACAAGCATATACGCTGCAGCACAAGCATACACGCTGCAGCACAAGCATATACGCTGCAGCACAAGCATATACGCTGCACCGCAAGCATATACGCTGCACCGCAAGCATATACGCTGCACCGCAAGCATATACGCTGCAGCACAAGCATATACGCTGCAGCACAAGCATATACGCTGCAGCACAAGCAAATACGCTGCAGCACAAGCATATACGCTGCAGCACAAGCATATACGCTGCAGCACAAGCATATACGCTGCAGCACAAGCATATACGCTGCACCGCAAGCATATACGCTGCAGCACAAGCATATACGCTGCAGCACAAGCATATACGCTGCAGCACAAGCATATACGCTGCAGCACAAGCATATACGCTGCAGCACAAGCATATACGCTGCAGCACAAGCATATACGCTGCAGCACAAGCATATACGCTGCAGCACAAGCATTTACGCTGCGGCACAAGCATTTACGCTGCAGCACAAGCATATACGCTGCACCGCAAGCATTTACGCTGCGGCACAAGCATTTACGCTGCAGCACAAGCATATACGCTGCACCGCAAGCATATACGCTGCACCGCAAGCATACACACTGCACCGCAAGCATATACGCTGCACCGCAAGCATATACGCTGCAGCACAAGCATATACGCTGCAGCACAAGCATATACGCTGCACCGCAAGCATATACGCTGCACCGCAAGCATATACGCTGCAGCACAAGCATATACGCTGCAGCACAAGCATATACGCTGCAGCACAAGCATATGCGCTGCAGCACAAGCATATACGCTGCAGCACAAGCATATACGCTGCAGCACAAGCATATACGCTGCAGCACAAGCATATACGCTGCAGCACAAGCATATACGCTGCAGCACAAGCATATACGCTGCAGCACAACCACAAGCATATACGCTGCAGCACAAGCATATACGCTGCACCGCAAGCATTTACGCTGCGGCACAAGCATATACGCTGCAGCACAAGCATATACGCTGCACCGCAAGCATATACGCTGCACCGCAAGCATATACGCTGCACCGCAAGCATATACGCTGCAGCACAAGCATATACGCTGCAGCACAAGCATATACGCTGCAGCACAAGCATACACGCTGCAGCACAAGCATATACGCTGCAGCACAAGCATATACGCTGCAGCACAAGCATATACGCTGCACCGCAAGCATATACGCTGCACCGCAAGCATATACGCTGCAGCACAAGCATATACGCTGCAGCACAAGCATATACGCTGCAGCACAAGCAAATACGCTGCAGCACAAGCATATACGCTGCAGCACAAGCATATACGCTGCAGCACAAGCATATACGCTGCAGCACAAGCATATACGCTGCCCCACAAGCATATACGCTGCACCGCACGCACATACGCTGCAGCACAAGCATATACGCTGCCCCACAAGCATATACGCTGCACCGCACGCACATACGCTGCACCGCCCGCTCATATGCTGCACCTTAAGCATATAAGCTGCACCGCACGCACATACGCTGCATCACCGCACGTTCATACGCTGCACCACCCGCTCATACGCTGCACTGCGCGCTCATACGCTGCACCGACCGCTTACCCTGCACCGCCCACTCATACGCTGCACCGTCCGGTCATACGCTGCACCGCCCGCTCATACGCTGCACCGCCCGCTCATACGCTGCACCGCACGCTCATACGCTGCACGGCACGCTCATACGCTGCACCGCCCGCTCATACGCTGCACCGCCCGCTCATACGCTGCACCGCCCGCTCATACGCTGCACCGCCCGCTCATACGCTGCACCGCCCGCTCATACACTGCACCGCACGCTCATACGCTGCACCGCCCGCTCAAACGCTGCACCATCCACTCATACGATGCACCGCCCGCTCATACGCTGCACCGCCCGCTAAAACGCTGCACCGTCCACTCATACGCTGCGCCGCCCGCTCATACGCTGCGTCGCCCGCTCATACGCTGCACCGCCCGCTCAAACGCTGCACCGCCCGCTCATACGCTGCACCGCCCGCTCATACGCTGCACCGCCCGCTCATACGCTGCACCGCCCGCTCATACGCTGCACCGCCCGCTCCTACGCTGCACCGCCCGCTCCTACGCTGCACCGCCCGCTCGTACGCTGCACCGCCCGCTCGTACGCTGCACCGCCCGCTCATAGGCTGCATCGCCCGCTCGTACGCTGCACCGCCCGTTCGGACGCTGCACCGCACGCTCGTACGCTCCACCGCACGCTCATACGCTGCACCGCACGCACACACACTGCACCGCAAGCACATGCACTGCACTGCAAGCACACACACTGCACCGCAAGCACACACACTCCATCCCAGGTGCAGGCGAGCACATACCTTGAGCTGCGCAGCATCCAGCAGTTCCCCCCCACCCTCCACCTCCCCTCCCTCTCCCCTCCTCCCCGTCTCCCGCCCTCCCTCCTCCCCATCCACCTCCTCCTCGCCTGCCCCCACATGGCCTTGCAGCGGCACGGAGCGGGCGAGGGTGCCGAGGAGCAGAGAGGCCTCCTTCATGGAGAGCCAGCACGCCACCATCACCATCTGCTCCACTGGCGCCAGCTGCTGCCCACTGCCATCGCCGTCACCCGCTCCCATCATATCATCCTCAGCAGCATCATAATCAGCAGCATCAGCATCACCGAGACCACCGTCAGCACCGCTGCCCTCTTCCTCCTCATCTTCGCCTTCCTCCTCCCCCTCATTCTCCTCCACTCGCCCCTCACGGCACACAGCACTGGTCTCTTTTGCATCCTTGTCGCTCACTTGCAGCCGCCCCCCCTCCCCCACGTCCACGCGCAGCCCATCTGCTGCCACCACCCACAGCGCCAGCCCCGTCACTCGCAGCACCAGCGCTAGCACCCGCCTCAGCACCCCCCTCATGCCCCCTGCTGCCTGCGCCTCCTGCGCAGCCCCATCAGAACCATCAGCAGCAGCGGTGTGCACGGATGGTTCGGTCCAGTCAACCTCTTCAAGCGTGTATCGGAGCAGCAGCAGCACACCGTGCACGAGGCTGTGGCGGCACGCCCCTATCAGGTCCCTCTCGCCCTCGTCCACCAGCGCTGCCAGCCACTCGTTCAGCGACCGCACATACTCCACCACTGCCCCTTGCCCACTGCTGCTGCTGCTGCTGCTGCTGCCCCGAGACTCAACAGCACAGTCAGCAGCAGCGGCACCACCAGCGGCACCAGCAGCAGCAGCAGGAGCAGGAGGCGTGACAGTAACAGCAGGGAACACCCGCACTTGCCACCCCAACCCCACGACATACTTTTTAAACACCAGCTTCAGCACGAGCGCACCCGCGTCACTCTCCCTCACCCGTGGGCTCATCACGAGCCCACACGCCCACTCCACCACCTCCGCCACCTGCCCTGCACTCTCTAACCCCGGCAGCGGCGCCGGGTACTTGAGCAGAACCCCCAGCGCCGCCTCTCTCAGCCGGTCCCAGCTGTCCACCGCTGCCGCCAGCAGCAGGTGCGTGCTGCCGGGGGCCAGCGCACCGGGTGGGTAGGGAGAGAAGGTTGGGAGGTGTGGGGTGGTGAGAGGAGACGGTGTAGCGGCAGTGTGCGGGGGGAGGAAGTGATGCGGGCTCCACACGTCCATGAGCGCGGAGAGGGTGTCGAGCGCCATGCTCTTGCGCTCGTAGGGCGCTGAGGGGTACAGCGAGGAGAAGAGCAGCGCCGTGAGCCACTGCATGAACGCCTGTACCTCCTCCACGCTCGCCCCCTCCTCCCTCTCCTCCCCCTCCTCCCTTTCCCCGTCCTCCTGCTCCTCACCTCCTCCCGGAGCATCGCCTCCTTTCCCTGCTTCACCTCCCCCCACTCCCCCCAGCGCAACCGTTCTCTGGCGGCGGGTGACAGCAGCCATCCTCTCCTGCCGTTCCACGGCGGCGCGGACACGGGAGAAGAAGCGGCGCACGGTGGAGCACCAGCGCATGCGCAGGTGGGGCGAGGAGCAGCGCAGGTTGAGGGGGAAGGCAAGTCCCAGCAGGCGCAGCTCGGGGGGGGACGGCATGGCCGTGGTGCGGAAGGAAATGCACAGCAGCTCTGCCACGTCCACTCGTACCGCCTCGTCAGCGTGCCACGTCGCCCGCTCCAGCATCCACGTCAGCACGGTCTGCGGCCCGCCGGACCAATCCCTCCTCGCCACCTCCTCTCCTTCGCCCCTCCCTCTCTCCCCATCCCCACTCTCTTCCTCCTCCTCCTCCTCCTCCTCCTCCTCCTCCTCCTCCTCCTCATCCCCTGAACGCGCCCTCTGCGCCCTCAACTCCCTCCCCCCCTTACCAGCGGCCTCCAGAGGTCCATCCAGCACGCCCATGCCTCGCCCCATGCGCAGCAGCGCCACCACCGCCCCCACGCGCGCGTCCACACTCGCCCCCCACGGGTACTCCCCATGCGGCCCTCCCCTCCCGTCCGCCAGCTCCGGCCACTGCTCCCACACTGCCTCCACGCTGCCCTCTCTGCCCTCAATGCCCTCTCCTCCTTCGCTGCGTGGGGGCAGGGCGGTGAGGAAGGAGAGGAGGGGCCAGAGCGAGGGCGGGTCGAGGGAGAGCAGCACGGGGAGGGCGTAGGTGGCCACGTTGCTGCGGTGCAGAGATGACCCCGCCACCAGCCCGCACAGCACTGCCGGCATCCACACCCTCCGCCATCCTACGTCGCCTCCCCCCTCCCCTCCGCCCTCCCGCCCCTCCAGTCCCTCCCGTCCCTCTCCCCCTCCTGCTGTCCCTGCTGTGCCTGCTGTGACGGCCCAGCACTCCTCACGGAGGCGGGAGAGGAAGGGGGAGAGGAAGGAGGCGACAGCACAGCACACACCCTCGTCACCCATGGCTGCTAGGGCGTCACCCAACACACCCACCGGGAATCGCACGCCCCCTGCTGCTCCATCCATACCCACTGCTGCGCCCTCCCTCTCACCCCTCTCACACCCCTCCGCCGTCCCGCCCTCCTCGCCCCCTGAGCGCCCCTGCTTGCTCATCCATAGCAGGCGAGCAGCACCCAAGCGGAGGGCCAGGGACGCCAAGGGCACGTACCGCCCCTTCCTGTGTGGCCCTGTTGCCAGCACCTCCTGAGCCAGCTGCTCCGCAAACCGCCGAAACTCGCCGCCCACGCTGGACGCGCCATTCCCTGAATCAACCTCCTCGTCCTTCCCTTCCCCAGCTTCGGCCACCTCTCCTGACGAAGTGATCAGCCTCGCCTCTGCCGTCCCATTCTGCTTCGCCTCCTCTCCCTCTCCGTGCTCCTCCCCCTCTCCCTGCTCCTCCCCCTCTCCCTGCTCCTCCTCCATCATAAACCCCAACCCCTCCACCACATCCTCCTCCTCCTCTTCCTCCCTCCCTCTCTCCTCCCCATCTTTCACACCATCACCTACCAAACCAGCAGCATCTGTTCCCCTCATATCCTCTCCACTGCTCGTCTCTTCCTCCATAGCCCCCACGCCCCTCTCCTCTCCCCCCCCTTTCTCAAGGCACTCCACCACGTCCAGCAGCAGGTCCAGTGCCACGTGGGCCTGCCTGGCCGTCTGAGTCAGCGGGTCCTCCCAGTGGCCCCACACCGCACCCAGGATCCGATCCACAATGCCACGTGGCATCTCCTCATACGCTGGCACGCCGCCATCCTGCGTCAACTTTTCCACCAATGAGCGTAGAGGAGATTTATCAGCCTCCTGACCTCCTCTCACTGCTGCAGCTGCTGCTGCTGCTGACTCCTCCGCTCCGCCAGTCCCTGCCAGCCACGTGGCGCGAATCTGAGCCACCTGGCGGGTGAACAGTGCGCGGGAGGCGACGCAGGTGCCGTCCAGCAGGCTTGTCTTGATCTGGTGGAGGCAGATCTGGAGGGCGGTGAGCGCATGGAACTTGGTGTGTGCGTCGGAGGAAGCTTCACAGAAGGAGAGGACGCGGGGCAGCAGCCCGTCAAAGAGTAGAGACCAGCAGCGCACCTCCACTGCCTGGGGAGTCAGTGCCTCCCCTGCTGCTGCTGCACCTACTACACCTGCTGCGTCTTGTGCTTCTGCATGTGCTGCTTCATGTGGCTGTGCGTGCAGGGGCGTGGGCAGCAGCAGGAGGTGAGTGAGGGCTTGTCGGGGAACAGCGGTGAGCATGCCTCGGATGCAGCACAGCTGGCTGAACAGAGGAAAGCCCCCCATCTCCACCAACCATGCACGCGACTGCTCTGCTGCTGGCCCCTGCCTCGTTTTAAGCGCCTCCAGTACTGTCAATGGATCCACAAACTCGCTAGCAGCCGCTAAGCCGGTTGCTGGCGCTGCAGACACAACAGGGGTGGGACTCGCGACAGCAGCTGATGGCAGCATGGCAGGAGGGGAAGGGGAGGAAGAGGAGGCAGAGGAGGCGAAGAAGGAGCGTGCTAGAGCCACAGCCAGTCGCCCTTCCCTCCGCTCCTCCTCCTCCTCCTCCTCCTGCTCGCCCTTCTCTCCCACTGCTGTTGCAACAGAGCTCGTTTCTGATTGGACGACAGGCAGCAGGGCGCAGAGAGCTACAGCTGCAGCTACAGTGGCGTCTCTGGAAAGCACCCCCGTTTGTAGCACTCTCACTACAGCGCCGTGCACTGACAGCAGCTCCGCACACACGCCCTTGCTCTCAACACACCCGTTGCTCTCACTGCTCTCAACGCCCCCATTCCTCACACTGCCTTGACTGCTCAGCTCGCCTTGCCCTTGGGTGCTGGAAGGGCGCGAGGCAAACTGTTGAGGGTAGCGCTGCAGCAGGTAGTAGAGCGTTGACAGTGCCTCCTGACACAGCTCCATCGTTGCTGGCACCACGTGCCCCCCCCCTTCCGAACCTGCTCCCGAACCTGCTCTCAAACCTGCTCCCAAACCTGCTTCTGAGGCTTCTTCGGCAGCTGTTTGCCCGACGTCAGCCATGCCAGCAGCATCAGAGACCCCCTCATTATCGTCGCATGTGCTGCTCCTGCTCCCCGTTGGCAACCTGTCCTCACTGCTGCCACGTGGCTGCATGTGGTCCACCACTGCTGCCACGTCTGCACTCAGCACGTGCGCCAGCTGTCGCGCCACGAGGCGAGATGAGCTGTCAAAGGGTGCCTGGAAGGAAGGGAATGGGCACAACCGTGGATGGGGGCGGATGGCATGAGTGGCCAGCATACGAGATGGTGCAGCAGCATAGAGGGTGAGGGACGCCGTGGGTTGAAAGCAAGAGAGGGTTGAAGGTTTAGGGTGCGGGAGGAGAAAGGAGGAGGGGCGGGGGAGAGGAACGAGTAGAGTGCCATGAATGTGAGTAGGAGTGAGAGGGGGAGAGGAACGAGTAGAGTGCCATGAATGTGAGTAGGAGTGAGAGGGGGAGAGGAACGAGTAGAGTGCCATGAATGTGAGTAGGAGTGAGAGGGGGAGAGGAACGAGTAGAGTGCCATGAATGTGAGTAGGAGTGAGAGGGGGAGAGGAACGAGTAGAGTGCCATGAATGTGAGTAGGAGTGAGAGGGGGAGACGAACGAGTAGAGTGCCATGAATGTGAGTAGGAGTGAGAGGGGGAGAGGAACGAGTAGAGTGCCATGAATGTGAGTAGGAGTGAGAGGGGGAGAGGAACGAGTAGAGTGCCATGAATGTGAGTAGGAGTGAGAGGGGGAGAGGAACGAGTAGAGTGCCATGAATGTGAGTAGGAGTGAGAGGGGGAGAGGAACGAGTAGAGTGCCATGAATGTGAGTAGGAGTGAGAGGGGGAGAGGAACGAGTAGAGTGCCATGAATGTGAGTAGGAGTGAGAGGGGGAGAGGGAGAGGGGCGGCAAGAGCAGACCTGGAACTGGGCGGCAGTGATGGAAGCCCCTGCTGCAGCTGCAGCGAACTGCCGCCTCTTGGGACCACCAACGCCGTACTCGTTACAGCACAACGCGATAACACTCTCCACTATCGCCCTCGCTCTCCCTGCAACACTCTCCCCATCCTCCTCTCCGTATCCCCTCCTCACTCCTCCATCTCCCAACCCCCTCTCTGCCTGGCTACCCCCCACACTTGCACCTCTCTCTGCCTGCTCGCCCTTTTCTTTCTTTCTCTTCCCCTCCTTCTTCCCCTTCCGCCCTCCTCCTCCTCCGGCTCCGCCCTTCCCCCTGCCCCGCCCCGCTGCGCCAACCCCATGGAGCGCGAAGATGCGCACGAGCGCGGAGAGCAGCGCGCGGTGAAGCGGGCGGGAGTTCTCGAGGAATAGAATCTCCAGGTACAGGCGCGTGGCTGGAACGGCGGTGGGGGAAAGGATGAGGGCAGACGAAGAAAAGAGAAGGTGTGAGACTGGACGAAAGAAAGCGGGAAACAGGGAGGCTAACTGGCATGGGGGCGAAACGGGTAGGGCGCAGAACGCTGGGGGTTTAGCGGGGTGAAGCGAAGCAGAGAACGGGTTTTAGCGGGGGACAAAGGAGGTTCTAGCAGAAAGTAGGCTGATCTCTTCCCACTCTAGTCCGCTAACAGCCAGACCCAACCAGTGTGCGGAGAACCCGCACAGAAATCGACCTACCGCATCGCGCCTCCACCTGCTCGTCACATTCCCACCTGGGATGAGCTCCCGCTCCTCTGAGCCGTCGCTGCTGGCGGAACCAGTCGCGACGCCACTGATCGAATCACGCCAGCTGACGAATAATGCATCTAGGGAATCGGAGAGCTCCTTAATATGCGGAATCTCGGCGAATGTCGATCTGAACCTGGTCAGCTGCAGCAGCGCGCTGCCGAACCGCCTTAGCTCCGCCGATCCGGGTATTGCACTCGGAGGAACTACATCTGAATCTCGCCGCATTGCTACCCCGCAGGCATTTCTAAGCGAGTCAGCTTGTACCGAATACAATCTATGATAAAGCTCCGGCTCGTCTGGCACTTCTCCAAGCGAAAGAGCTGCGGCTCGCGAGACGTAACTTGGCGGAAATGCCGTTCCCGCGTCGGACCATCGCTTCCGCTGCTGCTGGCGACGGAACTTAGACGCCATTGCCTGAGGAGCGCAAGGCGACGCATGCGATTCCGAACAACTAGAATTGATGGCAGCAAGAGTAATCAAGTCAACAAGTCCTGGGACTCGCGTTCCTGAATCTGATTATTGATCCGTGGGCTGCTGAAACTGATGCGGGTGGGTCGAGTCGTGAATATAAAAACTGATACTGATAGTACACATTTCACAAGTTCATTAGGCTGCACCTATATATTTTCCAATACAAAAAAATCAGTGTCAAACATAAAGCTCTCAACAATCACCCCACCCCCCAATAATGTTTAAAGTTTTAGAGAGAGTGGTGCTCTATTACCACGAATAAATTATTCCCCCAGGAAACAAAAAAAAACCCTATGTCAGAAAGGTGGTTTGACAGCACTATCCCTTAGCACCAGATGGGCTGCCCCTCATTGGGCTTTCATAACCCTTGATGTTCTTCTTGGCATCCGCATGTGAGGCCACAAATTGCCGGCCGCCAAGATCGCATGCCGTGATACCCTTGTTCAGAGGACCCTTGTTGTACACAATATTCTTGATATTCGTCTCTGCTTCCTTCTCCTGGAAAAACTTCTTCGACTGCAGCAGCAGCATGATGAATCAAGGGCAGAGGATGGAAAAAGCAGGGGAGCGCTGAGCGGCCTTGGAAATTTGAGCCAATACCAGAAACAAAGCACAACAAGCACAGAGCAGAAACAATAATCCAGCAAAGAGTAAAGAACCCTGTAGAGGCTTCTGTACCGAAATTGCATTCAAATGTGTGATGGGAGGAGGGACTACAGGCAAGTTAAACAGAAAATCAGTGTCCCTAATGTGCCGTACCAAGGACTTGTAGCTGTCGGAGTTGCCGGCCTGCACGCCCATGCGGATGTTCCCCATGTCGTAGTTGGCACCGCCCGCCATCTTCAGCGTGTCATCAATATCCTTCTGCAGGCTCGCCAGGGCCTCCCTCTCGTACAACTGCTTCTCAATATGGAAGCCCTGATCATGGGGAGATAGCGCGGGAAGAGGGTTGCCAGTGAGTGGGAGGAGATAATTAGTTGCGAGTGAGGATAAAACAGGAGGTAATTTGGTGGAGAAACTGCAATTTTCTAGTACACATTCGCATTTTTTTACGTTGCAACTCCGCCTAAGATTCTCTGAGCTGAATTGCAGGATAGTCACATCAGTTTTGGAATGTGTGTGAAGGGAATGTCGAACGGCATGCGCAAACAGTGTGCGTAAGATGGCATGTGTCAGCGTGTGTCAGAGGCACGTGCCAGCAGCGTATGTTAAATGACACGTGCCAGTAGAGTGTGTCAGAGGCATGTGTCAGTAGCGTGTGTCAGTAGCGTGTGTCAGTAACGTATGTCAGAGGTATGTGTGCGGTGCGATGACAGGTGCGATGGCAGCACGAGCCCGCATTCACCAACAATTTACATACTGTCGCCGCATTGATTAGCACGAGTCACGGGTGGGGAACCGCCGTGACATCGCACAGCCCTCAAATGAGACCTGGTCAAACGGCTGCCCCGTATCTGCAGCGCGCTTACCTTATCAGCCGTTCAGAACGGTCGCTGAACCAGATTGTTTGCGCCAAACGCCTTAACGATACTGGACTAAGCGCCAAGCACCAACTCTTAATAGTATGCGCCCTCTGATGTGCGAATTCCCCGTGGATCGCACCTTAAATAGAGTTGCGCAATCCTTCTTGTGAAGAGCGACCTTCCCCTTCTTGAGCGGCGACGCGCTCTCGCCGACCCACGTGATGAAGACGAACTTCACGCGCTTCGAGTCGCCGCCGTCGTCCATCTTGACCAATCGTAGCAAACCGTACAGAATGTTGTTGTCCTCGCACTGCGTATACACAATGCGCGCCGATCGAGGGAGGAAAAACGTGTCGAGAATGAGAACAGGTTCAATCCGATAGGTTCTTCTGCTTCCCCGAGCGGGATAAAACCGTACTGCTCTGGACGATGGCTAGGCCACGGGATACCGAAAACGGCGAATCGTGGAAAGCAATCAAGGTGAGAAGACAATGCAGGAGGCTAGTCACGAATAGAAACCATTTGACGGAATCAGTGATAGAGTTTTCTAGGGATGTAAACAGCAATTTCACCTTTGTAACCATGTCGTTGACGTCGCCAGTGCCGGTCCCTATCGGGACGAGGGAGTTGCCCTCGTAGCCTACCCAGCACCATGTTTCAGGTGTGTCGTCTGAAAATACGGCGAGATATGCCTCCGAGCAACCCGGCTTAAACAACGACGCCATCAACCGAAGGAGGTCAGCAGATGAGGGAGCGAGTAGCAAGCGCCGCGAAAACAATGCCGGACAAGGCTTCTACTCGTTGAGCAATTGGTTTAGTTGATTCGTGCACGGTTGCAGTGAATGATTAGGGGGTCGTGGCGAAATGGCGGTGTGCTAAGGGGTCTGGACAGAACGAGCTTGTGGGGAGTGAAGGAGCAGTGGATTCAGTGAGGAGTTTGTGGATAGGAGAATGAATGAGCGCCATGGCTGGCGGAGCTACTCATACCACCAGCTGGACCGCTGGAGGGAACAGGGGGGGACGAGGATGACGAATTCCGGGTTGCGCGGAGTGGAAACGAGAGGAGCGGGAATCCCAAGAGCTCGCAAGCGCGGCACTTGGGGGAGGTGCGGTCAGCCTGTGATTGGATGAGGCGATTGAGAGGCGCAGAAGGTCCCCGAAAATGGGGCTGGTTGTTGGGATTGGAGAGGTGGTTGGGCAAATGTTGGAACTTTTGGCGAGGACGTAGCGACGGCCTTACAGCGAATTCAATATTTCAGCCTCGAAAAACGTTACAGAGCCATCTACTTTTGAGGTTAACAGGAAGAAGAATGTTGAGGGGAGGAAGAATATGCTACTAGAATGTTGTGGAGAATTTTTGCGACTGGTAAGGTAATCAGTCCACCGAGTCGTAACCTCACACAGCGCCGTCTGTGCTGATGTCATCACGCTGCGAGGGAAGTCACCAGGAAGGTTCGCCCCTGCTGCAGGTACACTGCACCCTCGTACAGCTGGGCATGGGGAGATGAGGGTAAAGGAATAAACAACTTGTTAGGCACGGCACGGCTACGAACTGCATGACTGAATCCGCGTGACCGAACTCGCGAATACGTACCGCAAAGAATGCCTTGCTCTCTTCGAATCTCCTCCAGCACCCTCCCAGTCCTCGCCCCCACCACCGCATACGTGTTCGAGTCGATCGCCCGCACCGGGACAAACTGCGCCGGCCGCTTCCCCGCCCCAATATACCTCCACCCACGGTCCACCTTGGGATTCTCCGGACTCCTCCCGAGCGCACCCCTCCCTGCCAGCTCAGCAATCCTCTCGGCCAATGACGGGCCAAAGAACCTCCCATCCACATCCTCCAGAAGCGGCATCTCCGCTGCAGCGCACTGCAGCTGCTGCCGCATCACCAGGGGATTCTCTGTCCAGCTGGCAGCGCTCGATTGGCCGGGAGAACAGCCTGTCAGGAGCAGTCATGAAGTACTGATCCAGAGGCCCGTCGAAGGCAACGTAGATGGAGAGAGACGCCTTTTCCCTGCGGCCTGCCCGGCCGGCGTGCTGCCAGAGGCTGGCGGTGGAGCGGTGGAAGGCGAGGTGGAGAGTGGCGTCTAGGGCACCCACGTCCACTCGTAGCTCCCATGCGATGCGCTTGTTGCTGCCACGGCACGGAGGCGCCCGCGGAAGAGCTCCCTCTCTCTGCGCCGCCGGTTCTGATGGGATGGGGGAGTGAGTGGAACGGGTAGGTGAGGGAACGGAGAATGGCTTCTGTGAGGCGAGCCACAGGGTGCTGGTGGCAGCGGTGGGATGGATGCGCCCTACCCTGTGGCGTGCCCTGCCCCGAGGGAGGTGGCAGTGGGAGGTGGCAGTGGGAGGCAGGAGCGGGAAGACTTGTCCAGTATGCTTACCAAAGTATGCAGACACTGTGTTTGGCTCACACAAGAGAGGTAGGTGACTCATCTAAGCATTGTACTTAGCACAGCAAGGCGTACCAATGCTGCTACGCACACAGACTGACCTGAGCGGTGTACTTAGCAAGGCAGCTCCCACACTCCCTGCCACGTCAGCCTCTGTCATATTGCCAGCCCCCAGCATTGTTCCACTGCCCTCGCCCATATCATCTGCCCCATTTCCTTCCCCGTCCCAACCCACCAACGCATGCAGTGCTCGCAGCTGGTCCTGAGCTAGAGCCTTTTGGGTTCAGCGACAGACAGGGAGGTTTGGCAAAAGAGAGCATCAGAAATGGAAGATTAGGTTGAAGATAGGTGAGGAGACTAGCAAGGAAAATGTTAGAGGGGAACGAAGTAAAAAAGAGGATTACGTGCGGGGGGTTGCAAGCGGGGAGTTGCATGCAAGGAGGTTGCGTGCAAGCGGCGTCCCTGGCGCCTCACAGAGAAGCGGCGCCCGCCTCACACCACAGAGGAGTGGCGCCCGTCTCACATCACAGAGGAGTGGCGCCCGCCTCACACCACAGAGGAGTGGCGCCCGAGTCACACCGCAGAGGAGTGGCGCCCGACTCACACCACAGAGGAGTGGCGCCCGAGTCACACCGCAAAGGAGTGGCGCCCGAGTCACACCGCAGAGGAGTGGCGCCCGAGTCACACCACAGAGGAGTGGCGCCCGCCTCACACCCCAGAGGAGTGGCGCCCGACTCACACCGCAGAGGAGTGGCGCCCGAGTCACACCGCAGAGGAGTGGCGCCCGACTCACACCGCAGAGGAGTGGAGCCCGAGTAACACCACAGAGGAGTGGCGCCCGAGTCACACCACAGAGGAGTGGCGCCCGAGTCACACCACAGAGGAGTGGCGCCCGAGTCACACCACAGAGGAGTGGCGCCCGACTCACACCACAGAGGAGTGGCGCCCGAGTCACACCACAGAGGAGTGGCGCCCGAGTCACACCACAGAGGAGTGGCGCCCGAGTCACACCACAGAGGAGTGGCGCCCGACTCACACCACAGAGGAGTGGCGCCCGACTCACACCACAGAGGAGTGGCGCCCGACTCACACCACAGAGGAGTGGCGCCCGACTCACACCACAGAGGAGTGGCGCCCGAGTCACACCACAGAGGAGTGGCGCCCGACTCACACCGCAGAGGAGTGGCGCCCGAGTAACACCACAGAGGAGTGGCGCCCGACTCACACCACAGAGAAGTGGCGCCCGAGTCACACCACACAGAAGTGGCGCCCGAGTCACACCACAGAGGAGTGGCGCCCGAGTCACACCCCAGAGGAGTGGCGCCAGAGTCACACCACAGAGGAGTGGCGCCCGAGTCACACCACAGAGGAGTGGCGCCCGACTCACACCACAGAGGAGTGGCGCCCGACTCACACCGCAGAGGAGTGGCGCCCGCCTCACACCACAGAGGAGTGGCGCCCGAGTAACACCACAGAGGAGTGGCGCCCGAGTCACACCGCAGAGGAGTGGCGCCCGACTCACACCGCAGAGGAGTGGCGCCCGACTCACACCCCAGAGGAGTGGCGCCCGAGTCACACCACAGAGGAGTGGCGCCCGAGTCACACCACAGAGGAGTGGCGCCCGAGTCACACCACAGAGGAGTGGCGCCCGCCTCACACCACAGAGGAGTGGCGCCCGACTCACACCGCAGAGGAGTGGCGCCCGAGTCACACCGCAGAGGAGTGGCGCCCGACTCACACCGCAGAGGAGTGGAGCCCGAGTCACACCACAGAGGAGTGGCGCCCGAGTCACACCACAGAGGAGTGGCGCCCGAGTCACACCACAGAGGAGTGGCGCCCGAGTCACACCACAGAGAAGTGGCGCCCGAGTCACACCACAGAGGAGTGGCGCCCGACTCACACCACACAGGAGTGGCGCCCGACTCACACCACAGAGGAGTGGCGCCCGAGTCACACCACAGAGGAGTGGCGCCCGACTCACACCACAGAGGAGTGGCGCCCGAGTCACACGACAGAGGAGTGGCGCCCGACTCACACCGCAGAGGAGTGGCGCCCGAGTCACACCACAGAGGAGTGGCGCCCGACTCACACCACAGAGAAGTGGCGCCCGAGTCACACCACAGAGGAGTGGCGCCCGACTCACACCACAGAGGAGTGGCGCCCGAGTCACACCACAGAGGAGTGGCGCCCGAGTCACACCACAGAAGAGTGGCGCCCGAGTCACACCGCAGAGGAGTGGCGCCCGAGTCACACCACAGAGGAGTGGCGCCCGAGTCACACCGCAGAGGAGTGGCGCCCGAGTCACACCACAGAGGAGTGGCGCCCGAGTCACACCACAGAGGAGTGGCGCCCGAGTCACACCACAGAGGAGTGGCGCCCGAGTCACACCACAGAGGAGTGGCGCCCGACTCACACCACAGAGGAGTGGCGCCCGAGTCACACCACAGAGGAGTGGCGCCCGACTCACACCACAGAGGAGTGGAGCCCGAGTCACACCACAGAGGAGTGGCGCCAGAGTCACACCACAGAGGAGTGGCGCCAGAGTCACACCACAGAGGAGTGGCGCCCGGCTCACACCACAGAGGAGTGGCGCCCGAGTCACACCACAGAGGAGTGGCGCCCGAGTCACACCACAGAGGAGTGGCGCCCGAGTCACACCACAGAGGAGTGGCGCCCGAGTCACACCACAGAGGAGTGGCGCCCGAGTCACACCACAGAGGAGTTCACACCACAGAGGAGTGGCGCCCGAGTCACACCACAGAGGAGTGGCGCCCGACTCACACCACAGAGCAGTGGCGCCCGAGTCACACCACAGAGGAGTGGCGCCCGAGTCACACCACAGAGGAGTGGCACCCGAGTCACACCACAGAGGAGTGGCGCCCGAGCCACACCACAGAGGAGTGGCGCCCGAGTCACACCACAGAGGAGTGGCGCCCGAGTCACACCACAGAGGAGTGGCGCCCGACTCACACCACAGAGGAGTGGCGCCCGAGTCACACCACAGAGGAGTTCACACCACAGAGGAGTGGCGCCCGAGTCACACCACAGAGGAGTGGCGCCCGACTCACACCACAGAGCAGTGGCGCCCGAGTCACACCACAGAGGAGTGGCGCCCAAGTCACACCACAGAGGAGTGGCACCCGAGTCACACCACAGAGGAGTGGCGCCCGAGCCACACCACAGAGGAGTGGCGCCCGAGTCACACCACAGAGGAGTGGCGCCCGAGTCACACCACAGAGGAGTGGCGCCCGACTCACACCACAGAGGAGTGGCGCCCGAGTCACACCACAGAGGAGTGGCGCCCGAGTCACACCACAGAGGAGTGGCGCCCGACTCACACCACAGAGGAGTGGCGCCCGAGTCACACCACAGAGGAGTGGCGCCCGAGTCACACCACAGAGGAGTGGCGCCCGAGTCACACCACAGAGGAGTGGCGCCCGACTCACACCACAGAGGAGTGGCGCCCGACTCACACCACAGAGGAGTGGCGCCCGAGTCACACCACAGAGGAGTGGCGCCCGACTCACACCACAGAGGAGTGGCGCCCGAGTCACACCACAGAGGAGTGGCGCCCGAGTCACACCACAGAGGAGTGGCGCCCGACTCACACCACAGAGGAGTGGCGCCCGAGTCACACCACAGAGGAGTGGCGCCCGAGTCACACCACAGAGGAGTGGCGCCCGAGTCACACCACAGAGGAGTGGCGCCCGACTCACACCACAGAGGAGTGGAGCCCGAGTCACACCACAGAGGAGTGGCGCCCGACTCACACCACAGAGGAGTGGCGCCCGAGTCACACCACAGAGGAGTGGCGCCCGACTCACACCACAGAGGAGTGGCGCCCGCCTCACACCACAGAGGAGTGGCGCCCGAGTCACACCACAGAGGAGTGGCGCCCGAGTCACACCGCAGAGGAGTGGCGCCCGACTCACACCGCAGAGGAGTGGCGCCCGACTCACACCCCAGAGGATTGGCGCCCGAGTCACACCACAGAGGAGTGGCGCCCGAGTCACACCACAGAGGAGTGGCGCCCGAGTCACACCACAGAGGAGTGGCGCCCGCCTCACACCACAGAGGAGTGGCGCCCGACTCACACCGCAGAGGAGTGGCGCCCGAGTCACACCGCAGAGGAGTGGCGCCCGACTCACACCGCAGAGGAGTGGAGCCCGAGTCACACCACAGAGGAGTGGCGCCCGAGTCACACCACAGAGGAGTGGCGCCCGAGTCACACCACAGAGAAGTGGCGCCCGAGTCACACCACAGAGGAGTGGCGCCCGAGTCACACCCCAGAGGAGTGGCGCCAGAGTCACACCACAGAGGAGTGGCGCCCGACTCACACCACAGAGGAGTGGCGCCCGAGTCACACCACAGAGGAGTGGCGCCCGAGTCACACCACAGAGGAGTGGCGCCCGAGTCACACCACAGAGGAGTGGCGCCCGACTCACACCACAGAGGAGTGGAGCCCGAGTCACACCACAGAGGAGTGGCGCCCGACTCACACCGCAGAGGAGTGGCGCCCGAGTCACACCACAGAGGAGTGGCGCCCGACTCACACCACAGAGAAGTGGCGCCCGAGTCACACCACACAGAAGTGGCGCCCGAGTCACACCACAGAGGAGTGGCGCCCGAGTCACACCCCAGAGGAGTGGCGCCAGAGTCACACCACAGAGGAGTGGCGCCCGAGTCACACCACAGAGGAGTGGCGCCCGACTCACACCACAGAGGAGTGGCGCCCGACTCACACCGCAGAGGAGTGGCGCCCGCCTCACACCACAGAGGAGTGGCGCCCGAGTCACACCACAGAGGAGTGGCGCCCGAGTCACACCGCAGAGGAGTGGCGCCCGACTCACACCGCAGAGGAGTGGCGCCCGACTCACACCCCAGAGGAGTGGCGCCCGAGTCACACCACAGAGGAGTGGCGCCCGAGTCACACCGCAGAGGAGTGGCGCCGAGTCACACCACAGAGGAGTGGCGCCCGAGTCACACCACAGAGGAGTGGAGCCCGAGTCACACCACAGAGGAGTGGCGCCCGAGTCACACCACAGAGGAGTGGCGCCCGAGTCACACCACAGAGGAGTGGCGCCCGAGTCACACCACAGAGGAGTGGCGCCCGACTCACACCACAGAGGAGTGGAGCCCGAGTCACACCACAGAGGAGTGGCGCCAGAGTCACACCACAGAGGAGTGGCGCCAGAGTCACACCACAGAGGAGTGGCGCCCGGCTCACACCACAGAGGAGTGGCGCCCGACTCACACCACAGAGGAGTGGAGCCCGAGTCACACCACAGAGGAGTGGCGCCCGAGTCACACCCCAGAGGAGTGGCGCCAGAGTCACACCACAGAGGAGTGGCGCCCGACTCACACCACAGAGGAGTGGCGCCCGAGTCACACCACAGAGGAGTGGCGCCCGAGTCACACCACAGAGGAGTGGCGCCCGAGTCACACCACAGAGGAGTGGCGCCCGACTCACACCACAGAGGAGTGGAGCCCGAGTCACACCACAGAGGAGTGGCGCCCGACTCACACCGCAGAGGAGTGGCGCCCGAGTCACACCACAGAGGAGTGGCGCCCGACTCACACCACAGAGAAGTGGCGCCCGAGTCACACCACACAGAAGTGGCGCCCGAGTCACACCACAGAGGAGTGGCGCCCGAGTCACACCCCAGAGGAGTGGCGCCAGAGTCACACCACAGAGGAGTGGCGCCCGAGTCACACCACAGAGGAGTGGCGCCCGACTCACACCACAGAGGAGTGGCGCCCGACTCACACCGCAGAGGAGTGGCGCCCGCCTCACACCACAGAGGAGTGGCGCCCGAGTCACACCACAGAGGAGTGGCGCCCGAGTCACACCGCAGAGGAGTGGCGCCCGACTCACACCGCAGAGGAGTGGCGCCCGACTCACACCCCAGAGGAGTGGCGCCCGAGTCACACCACAGAGGAGTGGCGCCCGAGTCACACCGCAGAGGAGTGGCGCCCGAGTCACACCACAGAGGAGTGGCGCCCGAGTCACACCACAGAGGAGTGGAGCCCAAGTCACACCACAGAGGAGTGGCGCCCGAGTCACACCACAGAGGAGTGGCGCCCGACTCACACCACAGAGGAGTGGCGCCCGAGTCACACCACAGAGGAGTGGCGCCCGAGTCACACCACAGAGGAGTGGCGCCCGAGTCACACCACAGAGGAGTGGCGCCCGACTCACACCACAGAGGAGTGGAGCCCAAGTCACACCACAGAGGAGTGGCGCCCGACTCACACCACAGAGGAGTGGCGCCCGAGTCACACCACAGAGGAGTGGCGCCCGAGTCACACCACAGAGGAGTGGCGCCCGACTCACACCACAGAGGAGTGGCGCCCGAGTCACACCACAGAGGAGTGGCGCCCGAGTCACACCACAGAGGAGTGGCGCCCGACTCACACCACAGAGGAGTGGCGCCCGAGTCACACCACAGAGGAGTGGCGCCCGAGTCACACCACAGAGGAGTGGCGCCCGACTCACACCACAGAGGAGTGGCGCCCGACTCACACCACAGAGGAGTGGAGCCCGAGTCACACCACAGAGGAGTGGCGCCCGACTCACACCACAGAGGAGTGGCGCCCGAGTCACACCACAGAGGAGTGGCGCCCGAGTCACACCACAGAGGAGTGGCGCCCGAGTCACACCACAGAGGAGTGGCGCCCGAGTCACACCACAGAGGAGTGGCGCCCGAGTCACACCGCAGAGGAGTGGCGCCCGAGTCACACCACAGAGGAGTGGCGCCCGAGTCACACCGCAGAGGAGTGGCGCCCGAGTCACACCACAGAGGAGTGGCGCCCGAGTCACACCACAGAGGAGTGGCGCCCGAGTCACACCACAGAGGAGTGGCGCCCGAGTCACACCACAGAGGAGTGGCGCCCGACTCACACCACAGAGGAGTGGCGCCCGACTCACACCACAGAGGAGTGGCGCCCGAGTCACACCACAGAGGAGTGGCGCCCGACTCACACCACAGAGGAGTGGCGCCCGAGTCACACCACAGAGGAGTGGCGCCCGACTCACACCGCAGAGGAGTGGCGCCCGAGTCACACCACAGAGGAGTGGCGCCCGACTCACACCACAGAGAAGTGGCGCCCGAGTCACACCACACAGAAGTGGCGCCCGAGTCACACCACAGAGGAGTGGCGCCCGAGTCACACCCCAGAGGAGTGGCGCCAGAGTCACACCACAGAGGAGTGGCGCCCGAGTCACACCACAGAGGAGTGGCGCCCGACTCACACCACAGAGGAGTGGCGCCCGACTCACACCGCAGAGGAGTGGCGCCCGCCTCACACCACAGAGGAGTGGCGCCCGAGTCACACCACAGAGGAGTGGCGCCCGAGTCACACCGCAGAGGAGTGGCGCCCGACTCACACCGCAGAGGAATGGCGCCCGACTCACACCCCAGAGGAGTGGCGCCAGAGTCACACCACAGAGGAGTGGCGCCCGAGTCACACCACAGAGGAGTGGCGCCCGAGTCACACCACAGAGGAGTGGCGCCCGAGTCACACCGCAGAGGAGTGGCGCCCGACTCACACCGCAGAGGAGTGGAGCCCGAGTCACACCACAGAGGAGTGGCGCCCGAGTCACACCACAGAGGAGTGGCGCCCGAGTCACACCACAGAGGAGTGGCGCCCGAGTCACACCACAGAGAAGTGGCGCCCGAGTCACACCACAGAGGAGTGGCGCCCGACTCACACCACACAGGAGTGGCGCCCGAGTCACACCGCAGAGGAGTAGCGCCCGAGTCACACCACAGAGGAGTGGCGCCCGAGTCACACCACAGAGGAGTGGCGCCCGAGTCACACCACAGAGGAGTGGCGCCCGAGTCACACCACAGAGGAGTGGCGCCCGAGTCACACCACAGAGGAGTGGCGCCCGAGTCACACCACAGAGGAGTGGCGCCCGAGTCACACCACAGAGGAGTGGCGCCCGACTCACACCACAGAGGAGTGGCGCCCGAGTCACACCACAGAGGAGTGGCGCCCGAGTCACACCACAGAGGAGTGGCACCCGAGTCACACCACAGAGGAGTGGCGCCCGAGCCACACCACAGAGGAGTGGCGCCCGAGTCACACCACAGAGGAGTGGAGCCCGAGTCACACCACAGAGGAGTGGCGCCCGACTCACACCACAGAGGAGTGGCGCCCGAGTCACACCACAGAGGAGTGGCGCCCGAGTCACACCACAGAGGAGTGGCGCCCGACTCACACCACAGAGGAGTGGCGCCCGAGTCACACCACAGAGGAGTGGCGCCCGAGTCACACCACAGAGGAGTGGCGCCCGAGTCACACCACAGAGGAGTGGCGCCCGACTCACACCACAGAGGAGTGGCGCCCGACTCACACCACAGAGGAGTGGCGCCCGAGTCACACCACAGAGGAGTGGCGCCCGACTCACACCACAGAGGAGTGGCGCCCGAGTCACACCACAGAGGAGTGGCGCCCGACTCACACCGCAGTGGAGTGGCGCCCGAGTCACACCACTGAGGAGTGGCGCCCGACTCACACCACAGAGAAGTGGCGCCCGAGTCACTCCACACAGAAGTGGCGCCCGAGTCACACCACAGAGGAGTGGCGCCCGAGTCACACCCCAGAGGAGTGGCGCCAGAGTCACACCACAGAGGAGTGGCGCCCGAGTCACACCACAGAGGAGTGGCGCCCGACTCACACCACAGAGGAGTGGCGCCCGACTCACACCGCAGAGGAGTGGCGCCCGCCTCACACCACAGAGGAGTGGCGCCCGAGTCACACCACAGAGGAGTGGCGCCCGAGTCACACCGCAGAGGAGTGGCGCCCGACTCACACCGCAGAGGAGTGGCGCCCGACTCACACCCCAGAGGAGTGGCGCCCGAGTCACACCACAGAGGAGTGGCGCCCGAGTCACACCACAGAGGAGTGGCGCCCGAGTCACACCACAGAGGAGTGGCGCCCGCCTCACACCACAGAGGAGTGGCGCCCGACTCACACCGCAGAGGAGTGGCGCCCGAGTCACACCGCAGAGGAGTGGCGCCCGACTCACACCGCAGAGGAGTGGAGCCCGAGTCACACCACAGAGGAGTGGCGCCCGAGTCACACCACAGAGGAGTGGCGCCCGAGTCACACCACAGAGGAGTGGCGCCCGAGTCACACCACAGAGAAGTGGCGCCCGAGTCACACCACAGAGGAGTGGCGCCCGAGTCACACCCCAGAGGAGTGGCGCCAGAGTCACACCACAGAGGAGTGGCGCCCGACTCACACCACAGAGGAGTGGCGCCCGAGTCACACCACAGAGGAGTGGCGCCCGACTCACACCACAGAGGAGTGGCGCCCGAGTCACACCACAGAGGAGTGGCGCCCGAGTCACACCACAGAGGAGTGGCACCCGAGTCACACCACAGAGGAGTGGCGCCCGAGCCACACCACAGAGGAGTGGCGCCCGAGTCACACCACAGAGGAGTGGCGCCCGAGTCACACCACAGAGGAGTGGCGCCCGACTCACACCACAGAGGAGTGGCGCCCGAGTCACACCACAGAGGAGTGGCGCCCGAGTCACACCACAGAGGAGTGGCGCCCGACTCACACCACAGAGGAGTGGCGCCCGAGTCACACCACAGAGGAGTGGCGCCCGAGTCACACCACAGAGGAGTGGCGCCCGAGTCACACCACAGAGGAGTGGCGCCCGACTCACACCACAGAGGAGTGGCGCCCGACTCACACCACAGAGGAGTGGCGCCCGAGTCACACCACAGAGGAGTGGCGCCCGACTCACACCACAGAGGAGTGGCGCCCGAGTCACACCACAGAGGAGTGGCGCCCGACTCACACCGCAGTGGAGTGGCGCCCGAGTCACACCACTGAGGAGTGGCGCCCGACTCACACCACAGAGAAGTGGCGCCCGAGTCACTCCACACAGAAGTGGCGCCCGAGTCACACCACAGAGGAGTGGCGCCCGAGTCACACCCCAGAGGAGTGGCGCCAGAGTCACACCACAGAGGAGTGGCGCCCGAGTCACACCACAGAGGAGTGGCGCCCGACTCACACCACAGAGGAGTGGCGCCCGACTCACACCGCAGAGGAGTGGCGCCCGCCTCACACCACAGAGGAGTGGCGCCCGAGTCACACCACAGAGGAGTGGCGCCCGAGTCACACCGCAGAGGAGTGGCGCCCGACTCACACCGCAGAGGAGTGGCGCCCGACTCACACCCCAGAGGAGTGGCGCCCGAGTCACACCACAGAGGAGTGGCGCCCGAGTCACACCACAGAGGAGTGGCGCCCGAGTCACACCACAGAGGAGTGGCGCCCGCCTCACACCACAGAGGAGTGGCGCCCGACTCACACCGCAGAGGAGTGGCGCCCGAGTCACACCGCAGAGGAGTGGCGCCCGACTCACACCGCAGAGGAGTGGAGCCCGAGTCACACCACAGAGGAGTGGCGCCCGAGTCACACCACAGAGGAGTGGCGCCCGAGTCACACCACAGAGGAGTGGCGCCCGAGTCACACCACAGAGAAGTGGCGCCCGAGTCACACCACAGAGGAGTGGCGCCCGAGTCACACCCCAGAGGAGTGGCGCCAGAGTCACACCACAGAGGAGTGGCGCCCGACTCACACCACAGAGGAGTGGCGCCCGAGTCACACCACAGAGGAGTGGCGCCCGAGTCACACCACAGAGGAGTGGCGCCCGAGTCACACCACAGAGGAGTGGCGCCCGACTCACACCACAGAGGAGTGGAGCCCGAGTCACACCACAGAGGAGTGGCGCCCGACTCACACCGCAGAGGAGTGGCGGCCGAGTCACACCACAGAGGAGTGGCGCCCGACTCACACCACAGAGAAGTGGCGCCCGAGTCACACCACACAGAAGTGGCGCCCGAGTCACACCACAGAGGAGTGGCGCCCGAGTCACACCCCAGAGGAGTGGCGCCAGAGTCACATCACAGAGGAGTGGCGCCCGAGTCACACCACAGAGGAGTGGCGCCCGAGTCACACCACAGAGGAGTGGCGCCCGACTCACACCGCAGAGGAGTGGCGGCCGAGTCACACCACAGAGGAGTGGCGCCCGACTCACACCACAGAGAAGTGGCGCCCGAGTCACACCACACAGAAGTGGCGCCCGAGTCACACCACAGAGGAGTGGCGCCCGAGTCACACCCCAGAGGAGTGGCGCCAGAGTCACATCACAGAGGAGTGGCGCCCGAGTCACACCACAGAGGAGTGGCGCCCGACTCACACCACAGAGGAGTGGCGCCCGACTCACACCGCAGAGGAGTGGCGCCCGCCTCACACCACAGAGGAGTGGCGCCCGAGTCACACCACAGAGGAGTGGCGCCCGAGTCACACCGCAGAGGAGTGGCGCCCGACTCACACCGCAGAGGAGTGGCGCCCGACTCACACCCCAGAGGAGTGGCGCCCGAGTCACACCACAGAGGAGTGGCGCCCGAGTCACACCACAGAGGAGTGGCGCCCGAGTCACACCACAGAGGAGTGGCGCCCGAGTCACACCACAGAGGAGTGGCGCCCGACTCACACCACAGAGGAGTGGAGCCCGAGTCACACCACAGAGGAGTGGCGCCCGACTCACACCGCAGAGGAGTGGCGCCCGAGTCACACCACAGAGGAGTGGCGCCCGACTCACACCACAGAGAAGTGGCGCCCGAGTCACACCACACAGAAGTGGCGCCCGAGTCACACCACAGAGGAGTGGCGCCCGAGTCACACCACAGAGGAGTGGCGCCCGAGTCACACCACAGAGGAGTGGCGCCCGAGTCACACCACAGAGGAGTGGCGCCCGACTCACACCACAGAGGAGTGGAGCCCGAGTCACACCATAGAGGAGTGGCGCCCGAGTCACACCACAGAGGAGTGGCGCCCGAGTCACACCACAGAGGAGTGGCGCCCGACTCACACCACAGAGGAGTGGCGCCCGAGTCACACCACAGAGGAGTGGCGCCCGACTCACACCACAGAGGAGTGGCGCCCGACTCACACCACAGAGGAGTGGCGCCCGAGTCACACCACAGAGGAGTGGCGCCCGACTCACACCACAGAGGAGTGGCGCCCGACTCACACCACAGAGGAGTGGCGCCCGAGTCACACCACAGAGGAGTGGCGCCCGAGTCACACCACAGAGGAGTGGCGCCCGAGTCACACCACAGAGGAGTGGCGCCCGACTCACACCACAGAGGAGTGGAGCCCGAGTCACACCACAGAGGAGTGGCGCCCGACTCACACCACAGAGGAGTGGCGCCCGCCTCACACCACAGAGGAGTGGCGCCCGAGTCACACCACAGAGGAGTGGCGCCCGAGTCACACCACAGAGGAGTGGCGCCCGACTCACACCACAGAGGAGTGGCGCCCGAGTCACACCACAGAGGAGTGGCGCCCGAGTCACACCACAGAGGAGTGGCGCCCGAGTCACACCACAGTCGAGTGGCGCCCGAGTCACACCACAGAGGAGTGGCGCCCGAGTCACACCACAGAGGAGTGGCGCCCGAGTCACACCACAGAGGAGTGGCGCCCGAGTCACACCACAGAGGAGTGGCGCCCGAGTCACACCACAGAGGAGTGGCGCCCGACTCACACCACAGAGGAGTGGCGCCCGACTCACACCACAGAGGAGTGGCGCCCGAGTCACACCACAGAGGAGTGGCGCCCGAGTCACACCACAGAGGAGTGGCGCCCGAGTCACACCACAGAGGAGTGGAGCCCGAGTCACACCATAGAGGAGTGGCGCCCGAGTCACACCACAGAGGAGTGGCGCCCGAGTCACACCACAGAGGAGTGGCGCCCGACTCACACCACAGAGGAGTGGCGCCCGAGTCACACCACAGAGGAGTGGCGCCCGACTCACACCACAGAGGAGTGGCGCCCGACTCACACCACAGAGGAGTGGCGCCCGAGTCACACCACAGAGGAGTGGCGCCCGAGTCACACCCCAGAGGAGTGGCGCCAGAGTCACATCACAGAGGAGTGGCGCCCGAGTCACACCACAGAGGAGTGGCGCCCGACTCACACCACAGAGGAGTGGCGCCCGACTCACACCGCAGAGGAGTGGCGCCCGCCTCACACCACAGAGGAGTGGCGCCCGAGTCACACCACAGAGGAGTGGCGCCCGAGTCACACCGCAGAGGAGTGGCGCCCGACTCACACCGCAGAGGAGTGGCGCCCGACTCACACCCCAGAGGAGTGGCGCCCGAGTCACACCACAGAGGAGTGGCGCCCGAGTCACACCACAGAGGAGTGGCGCCCGAGTCACACCACAGAGGAGTGGCGCCCGAGTCACACCACAGAGGAGTGGCGCCCGACTCACACCACAGAGGAGTGGAGCCCGAGTCACACCACAGAGGAGTGGCGCCCGACTCACACCGCAGAGGAGTGGCGCCCGAGTCACACCACAGAGGAGTGGCGCCCGACTCACACCACAGAGAAGTGGCGCCCGAGTCACACCACACAGAAGTGGCGCCCGAGTCACACCACAGAGGAGTGGCGCCCGAGTCACACCACAGAGGAGTGGCGCCCGAGTCACACCACAGAGGAGTGGCGCCCGAGTCACACCACAGAGGAGTGGCGCCCGAGTCACACCACAGAGGAGTGGAGCCCGAGTCACACCATAGAGGAGTGGCGCCCGAGTCACACCACAGAGGAGTGGCGCCCGAGTCACACCACAGAGGAGTGGCGCCCGACTCACACCACAGAGGAGTGGCGCCCGAGTCACACCACAGAGGAGTGGCGCCCGACTCACACCACAGAGGAGTGGCGCCCGACTCACACCACAGAGGAGTGGCGCCCGAGTCACACCACAGAGGAGTGGCGCCCGACTCACACCACAGAGGAGTGGCGCCCGACTCACACCACAGAGGAGTGGCGCCCGAGTCACACCACAGAGGAGTGGCGCCCGAGTCACACCACAGAGGAGTGGCGCCCGAGTCACACCACAGAGGAGTGGCGCCCGAGTCACACCACAGAGGAGTGGCGCCCGACTCACACCGCAGAGGAGTGGCGCCCGACTCGCACCACAGAGGAGTGGCGCCCGAGTACCACAGAGGAGTGGCGCCCGAGTCACACCACAGAGGAATGGCGCCCGCCTCACACCACAGAGGAGTGGCGCCGGCCTCACACCACAGAGGAGTGGCGCCCGACTCACACCACATAGGAGTGGCGCCCGAGTCACACCACAGAGGAGTGGCGCCCGACTCACACCACAGAGGTGTGGCGCCCGAGTCACACCACAGAGGAGTGGCGCCCGACTCACACCACATAGGAGTGGCGCCCGAGTCACACCACAGAGGAGTGGCGCCCGACTCACACCGCAGAGGAGTGGCGCCCGACTCGCACCACAGAGGAGTGGCGCCCGAGTCACACCACAGAGGAGTGGCGCCCGAGTCACACCACAGAGGAGTGGCGCCCGCCTCACACCACAAAGGAGTGGCGCCCGCCTCACACCACAGAGGAGTGGCGCCCGACTCACACCACATAGGAGTGGCGCCCGAGTCACACCACAGAGGAGTGGCGCCCGACTCACACCACAGAGGTGTGGCGCCCGCCTCACACCACAGAGGAGTGGCGCCCGCCTCACACCACAGAGGAGTGGCGCCCGCCTCACACCACAGAGGAGTGGCGCCCGACTCACACCACAGAGGAGTGGCGCCCGCCTCACACCACAGAGGAGTGGCGCCCGCCTCACACCACAGAGGAGTGGCGCCCGCCTCACACCACAGAGGAGTGGCGCCCGCCTCACACCACAGAGGAGTGGCGCCCGAGTCACACCACAGAGGAGTGGCGCCCGACTCACACCACAGAGGAGTGGCGCCCGAGTCACACCACAGAGGAGTGGCGCCCGAGTCACACCACAGAGGAGTGGCGCCCGACTCACACCACAGAGGAGTGGCGCCCGAGTCACACCACAGAGGAGTGGCGCCCGAGTCACACCACAGAGGAGTGGCGCCCGCCTCACACCACAGAGGAGTGGCGCCAGAGTCACACCACAGAGGAGTGGCGCCCGACTCACACCACAGAGGAGTGGCGCCCGACTCACACCGCAGAGGAGTGGCGCCCGAGTCACACCGCAGAGGAGTGGCGCCCGAGTCACACCGCAGAGGAGTGGCGCCCGACTCACACCACAGAGGAGTGGAGCCCGACTCACACCACAGAGGAGTGGCGCCCCACTCACACCACAAAGGGTGGCGCCCGACACACACCACAGAGGAGTGGCGCCCGCCTCACACCACAGAGGAGTGGCGCCCGACTCACACCACAGAGGAGTGGCGCTCGCCTCACACCACAGAGGAGAGGCGGCCGACTCACACCGCAGAGGAGAGGCGGCCGACTCACACCGCAGAGGAGTGGCGCCCGAGTCACACCACAGAGGAGTGGCGCCCGACTCACACCGCAGAGGAGTGGCGCCCGCCTCACACCACAGAGGAGTGGCGCCCGAGTCAACCCATAGGCGTCTCTTAGAGGAGAGGAGCGACTTAGAGGAGAGGCGCGACTTAGAGGAAAGGCGCCCCTTCCATGAGAGGCGCCCCATAGAGGAGGAAGCGTGGGGAGTGGAGGAAGCGAGGTGGGAGAGGAAGGCTGGATGGCTATTGGGAGGAGAAAGCGAAGGGAGTGGAGGAAGCGAGGTGGGAGAGGAGGGCTGGATGGCCCTTGGGAGGAGGAAGCGAGGGGAGTGGAGGAAGCGAGGTGGGAGAGGAGGGCTGGATGGCCGTTGGGAGGAGGAACCGTGGGGAGTGGAGGAAGCGAGGTGGGAGAGGAGGGCTGGATGGACCTTGGGAGGAGGAAGCGAGGGGAGTGGAGGAAGCGAGGTGGGAGAGGAGGGCTGGATGGCCCTTGGGAGGAGGAAGCGTGGGGAGTGGAGGAAGCTAGGTGGGAGAGGAGGGCTGGATGGCCCTTGGGAGGAGGAAGCGTGGGGAGTGGAGGAAGCGAGGTGGGAGAGGAGGGCTGGATGGCCCTTGGGAGGAGGAAGCGAGGGGAGTGGAGGAAGCGAGGTGGGAGAGGAGGGCTGGATGGCCCTTGGGAGGAGGAAGCGTGGGGAGTGGAGGAAGCGAGGTGGGAGAGGAGGGCTGGATGGCCCTTGGGAGGAGGAAGCGAGGGGAGTGGAGGAAGCGAGGTGGGAGAGGAGGGCTGGATGGCCCTTGGGAGGAGGAAGCGTGGGGAGTGAAGGAAAGCGAGGTGGGAGAGGAGGGCTGGATGGCCCTTGGGAGGAGGAAGCGAGGGGAGTGGAGGAAGCGAGGTGGGAGAGGAGGGCTGGATGGACCTTGGGAGGAGGAAGCGAGGGGAGTGGAGGAAGCGAGGTGGGAGAGGAGGGCTGGATGGCCCTTGGGAGGAGGAAGCGTGGGGAGTGGAGGAAGCGAGGTGGGAGAGGAGGGCTAGTTGGACCTTGGGAGGAGGAAGCGAGGGGAGTGGAGGAAGCGAGGTGGGAGAGGAGGGCTGGATGGCCCTTGGGAGGAGGAAGCGTGGGGAGTGGAGGGAGCGAGGTGGGAGAGGAGGGCTGGATGGCCCTTGGGAGGAGGAAGCGTGGGGAGTGGAGGAAGCGAGGTGGGAGAGGAGGGCTGGATGGCCCTTGGGAGGAGGAAGCGAAGGGAGTGGAGGAAGCGAGGTGGGAGAGGAGGGCTGGATGGCCCTTGGGAGGAGGAAGCGTGGGGAGTGGAGGAAGCGAGGTGGGAGAGGAGGGCTGGATGGCCCTTGGGAGGAGGAAGCGAGGGGAGTGGAGGAAGCGAGGTGGGAGAGGAGGGCTGGATGGCCCTTGGGAGGAGGAAGCGTGGGGAGTGGAGGAAGCGAGGTGGGAGAGGAGGGCTGGATGGCCCTTGGGAGGAGGAGGCGTGGGGAGTGGAGGAAGCGAGGTGGGAGAGGAGGGCTGGATGGCCCTTGGGAGGAGGAAGCATGGGGAGTGGAGGAAGCGAGGTGGGAGAGGAGGGCTGGATGGCCCTTGGGAGGAGGAAGCGTGGGGAGTGGAGGAAGCAAGGTGGGAGAGGAGGGCTGGATGGCCCTTGGGAGGAGGAAGCGTGGGGAGTGGAGGAAGCGAGGTGGGAGAGGAGGGCTGGATGGCCCTTGGGAGGAGGAAGCGTGGGGAGTGGAGGAAGCGAGGTGGGGGAGGAGGGCTAGTTGGCCCTTGGGAGGAGGAAGCGAGGGGAGTGGAGGAAGCGAGGTGGGAGAGGAGGGCTGGATGGCCCTTGGGAGGAGGAAGCGTGGGGAGTGGAGGAAGCGAGGTGGGAGAGGAGGGCTGGATGGCCCTTGGGAGGAGGAAGCGTGGGGAGTGGAGGAAGCGAGGTGGGAGAGGAGGGCTGGATGGCCCTTGGGAGGAGGAAGCGTGGGGATTGGAGGAAGCGAGGTGGGAGAGGAGGGCTGGATGGCCCTTGGGAGGAGGAAGCGTGGGGAGTGGAGGGAGCGAGGTGGGAGAGGAGGGCTGGATGGCCCTTGGGAGGAGGAAGCGTGGGGAGTGGAGGAAGCGAGGTGGGAGAGGAGGGCTGGATGGCCCTTGGGAGGAGGAAGCGAGGGGAGTGGAGGAAGCGAGGTGGGAGAGGAGGGCTGGATGGCCCTTGGGAGGAGGAAGCGTGGGGAGTGGAGGAAGCGAGGTGGGAGAAGAGGGCTGGATGGCCCTTGGGAGGAGGAAGCGTGGGGATTGGAGGGAGCGAGGTGGGAGAGGAGGGCTGGATGGCCCTTGGGAGGAGGAAGCGTGGGGAGTGGAGGGAGCGAGGTGGGAGAGGAGGGCTGGATGGCCCTTGGGAGGAGGAAGCGTGGGGATTGGAGGGAGCGAGGTGGGAGAGGAGGGCTGGATGGCCCTTGGGAGGAGGAAGCGTGGGGAGTGGAGGAAGCGAGGTGGGAGAGGAGGGCTGGATGGCCCTTGGGAGGAGGAAGCGTGGGGAGTGGAGGGAGCGAGGTGGGAGAGGAGGGCTGGATGGCCCTTGGGAGGAGGAAGCGTGGGGAGTGGAGGGAGCGAGGTGGGAGAGGAGGGCTGGATGGCCCTTGGGAGGAGGAAGCGTGGGGAGTGGAGGAAGCGAGGTGGGAGAGGAGGGCTGGATGGCCCTTGGGAGGAGGAAGCGTGGGGAGTGGAGGAAGCGAGGTGGGAGAGGAGGGCTGGATGGCCCTTGGGAGGAGGAAGCGTGGGGAGTGGAGGAAGCGAGGTGGGAGAAGAGGGCTGGATGGCCCTTGGGAGGAGGAAGCGTGGGGATTGGAGGGAGCGAGGTGGGAGAGGAGGGCTGGATGGCCCTTGGGAGGAGGAAGCGAGGGGAGTGGAGGGAGCGAGGTGGGAGAGGAGGGCTGGATGGCCCTTGGGAGGAGGAAGCGTGGGGAGTGGAGGAAGCGAGGTGGGAGAGGAGGGCTGGATGGCCCTTGGGAGGAGGAAGCGTGGGGAGTGGAGGGAGCGAGGTGGGAGAGGAGGGCTGGATGGCCCTTGGGAGGAGGAAGCGTGGGGAGTGGAGGAAGCGAGGTGGGAGAGGAGGGCTGGATGGCCCTTGGGAGGAGGAAGCGAGGGGAGTGGAGGAAGCGAGGTGGGAGAGGAGGGCTGGATGGCCCTTGGGAGGAGGAAGCGTGGGGAGTGGAGGAAGCGAGGTGGGAGAAGAGGGCTGGATGGCCCTTGGGAGGAGGAAGCGTGGGGATTGGAGGGAGCGAGGTGGGAGAGGAGGGCTGGATGGCCCTTGGGAGGAGGAAGCGTGGGGAGTGGAGGGAGCGAGGTGGGAGAGGAGGGCTGGATGGCCCTTGGGAGGAGGAAGCGTGGGGATTGGAGGAAGCGAGGTGGGAGAGGAGGGCTGGATGGCCCTTGGGAGGAGGAAGCGTGGGGAGTGGAGGGAGCGAGGTGGGAGAGGAGGGCTGGATGGCCCTTGGGAGGAGGAAGCGTGGGGAGTGGAGGAAGCGAGGTGGGAGAGGAGGGCTGGATGGCCCTTGGGAGGAGGAAGCGAGGGGAGTGGAGGAAGCGAGGTGGGAGAGGAGGGCTGGATGGCCCTTGGGAGGAGGAAGCGTGGGGAGTGGAAGAAGCGAGGTAGAAGAAGAGGGCTGGATGGCCCTTGGGAGGAGGAAGCGTGGGGATTGGAGGGAGCGAGGTGGGAGAGGAGGGCTGGATGGCCCTTGGGAGGAGGAAGCGTGGGGATTGGAGGGAGCGAGGTGGGAGAGGAGGGCTGGATGGCCCTTGGGAGGAGGAAGCGTGGGGAGTGGAGGAAGCGAGGTGGGAGAGGAGGGCTGGATGGCCCTTGGGAGGAGGAAGCGTGGGGAGTGGAGGAAGCGAGGTGGGGGAGGAGGGCTAGTTGGCCCTTGGGAGGAGGAAGCGAGGGGAGTGGAGGAAGCGAGGTGGGAGAGGAGGGCTGGATGGCCCTTGGGAGGAGGAAGCGTGGGGAGTGGAGGAAGCGAGGTGGGAGAGGAGGGCTGGATGGCCCTTGGGAGGAGGAAGCGTGGGGAGTGGAGGAAGCGAGGTGGGAGAGGAGGGCTGGATGGCCCTTGGGAGGAGGAAGCGTGGGGATTGGAGGAAGCGAGGTGGGAGAGGAGGGCTGGATGGCCCTTGGGAGGAGGAAGCGTGGGGAGTGGAGGGAGCGAGGTGGGAGAGGAGGGCTGGATGGCCCTTGGGAGGAGGAAGCGTGGGGAGTGGAGGAAGCGAGGTGGGAGAGGAGGGCTGGATGGCCCTTGGGAGGAGGAAGCGTGGGGAGTGGAGGAAGCGAGGTGGGAGAGGAGGGCTGGATGGCCCTTGGGAGGAGGAAGCGAAGGAAGTGGAGGAAGCGAGGTGGGAGAGGAGGGCTGGATGGCCCTTGGGAGGAGGAAGCGTGGGGAGTGGAGGAAGCGAGGTGGGAGAGGAGGGCTGGATGGCCCTTGGGAGGAGGAAGCGAGGGGAGTGGAGGAAGCGAGGTGGGAGAGGAGGGCTGGATGGCCCTTGGGAGGAGGAAGCGTGGGGAGTGGAGGAAGCGAGGTGGGAGAGGAGGGCTGGATGGCCCTTGGGAGGAGGAAGCGTGGGGAGTGGAGGAAGCGAGGTGGGAGAGGAGGGCTGGATGGCCCTTGGGAGGAGGAAGCGTGGGATGTGGAGGAAGCGAGGTGGGAGAGGAGGGCTGGATGGCCCTTGGGAGGAGGAAGCGTGGGGAGTGGAGGAAGCGAGGTGGGAGAGGAGGGCTGGATGGCCCTTGGGAGGAGGAAGCGTGGGGAGTGGAGGGAGCGAGGTGGGAGAGGAGGGCTGGATGGCCCTTGGGAGGAGGAAGCGTGGGGAGTGGAGGGAGCGAGGTGGGAGAGGAGGGCTGGATGGCCCTTGGGAGGAGGAAGCGTGGGGAGTGGAGGAAGCGAGGTGGGAGAGGAGGGCTGGATGGCCCTTGGGAGGAGGAAGCGTGGGGAGTGGAGGAAGCGAGGTGGGAGAGGAGGGCTGGATGGCCCTTGGGAGGAGGTAGCGTGGGGAGTGGAGGAAGCGAGGTGGGAGAAGAGGGCTGGATGGCCCTTGGGAGGAGGAAGCGTGGGGATTGGAGGGAGCGAGGTGGGAGAGGAGGGCTGGATGGCCCTTGGGAGGAGGAAGCGTGGGGATTGGAGGGAGCGAGGTGGGAGAGGAGGGCTGGATGGCCCTTGGGAGGAGGAAGCGTGGGGAGTGGAGGAAGCGAGGTGGGAGAGGAGGGCTGGATGGCCCTTGGGAGGAGGAAGCGTGGGGAGTGGAGGGAGCGAGGTGGGAGAGGAGGGCTGGATGGCCCTTGGGAGGAGGAAGCGTGGGGAGTGGAGGGAGCGAGGTGGGAGAGGAGGGCTGGATGGCCCTTGGGAGGAGGAAGCGTGGGGAGTGGAGGAAGCGAGGTGGGAGAGGAGGGCTGGATGGCCCTTGGGAGGAGGAAGCGTGGGGAGTGGAGGAAGCGAGGTGGGAGAGGAGGGCTGGATGGCCCTTGGGAGGAGGAAGCGTGGGGAGTGGAGGAAGCGAGGTGGGAGAGGAGGGCTGGATGGCCCTTGGGAGGAGGAAGCGTGGGGAGTGGAGGAAGCGAGGTGGGGGAGGAGGGCTAGTTGGCCCTTGGGAGGAGGAAGCGAGGGGAGTGGAGGAAGCGAGGTGGGAGAGGAGGGCTGGATGGCCCTTGGGAGGAGGAAGCGTGGGGAGTGGAGGAAGCGAGGTGGGAGAGGAGGGCTGGATGGCCCTTGGGAGGAGGAAGCGTGGGGAGTGGAGGAAGCGAGGTGGGAGAGGAGGGCTGGATGGCCCTTGGGAGGAGGAAGCGTGGGGAGTGGAGGAAGCGAGGTGGGGGAGGAGGGCTAGTTGGCCCTTGGGAGGAGGAAGCGAGGGGAGTGGAGGAAGCGAGGTGGGAGAGGAGGGCTGGATGGCCCTTGGGAGGAGGAAGCGTGGGGAGTGGAGGGAGCGAGGTGGGAGAGGAGGGCTGGATGGCCCTTGGGAGGAGGAAGCGAGGGGAGTGGAGGGAGCGAGGTGGGAGAGGAGGCCTGGATGGCCCTTGGGAGGAGGAAGCGTGGGGAGTGGAGGAAGCGAGGTGGGAGAGGAGGGCTGGATGGCCCTTGGGAGGAGGAAGCGTGGGGAGTGGAGGGAGCGAGGTGGGAGAGGAGGGCTGGATGGCCCTTGGGAGGAGGAAGCGTGGGGAGTGGAGGAAGCGAGGTGGGAGAGGAGGGCTGGATGGCCCTTGGGAGGAGGAAGCGTGGGGAGTGGAGGAAGCGAGGTGGGAGAGGAGGGCTGGATGGCCCTTGGGAGGAGGAAGCGTGGGGAGTGGAGGAAGCGAGGTGGGAGAGGAGGGCTGGATGGCCCTTGGGAGGAGGAAGCGTGGGGAGTGGAGGAAGCGAGGTGGGGGAGGAGGGCTAGTTGGCCCTTGGGAGGAGGAAGCGAGGGGAGTGGAGGAAGCGAGGTGGGAGAGGAGGGCTGGATGGCCCTTGGGAGGAGGAAGCGTGGGGAGTGGAGGAAGCGAGGTGGGAGAGGAGGGCTGGATGGCCCTTGGGAGGAGGAAGCGTGGGGAGTGGAGGAAGCGAGGTGGGAGAGGAGGGCTGGATGGCCCTTGGGAGGAGGAAGCGTGGGGAGTGGAGGAAGCGAGGTGGGGGAGGAGGGCTAGTTGGCCCTTGGGAGGAGGAAGCGAGGGGAGTGGAGGAAGCGAGGTGGGAGAGGAGGGCTGGATGGCCCTTGGGAGGAGGAAGCGTGGGGAGTGGAGGAAGCGAGGTGGGAGAGGAGGGCTGGATGGCCCTTGGGAGGAGGAAGCGTGGGGAGTGGAGGAAGCGAGGTGGGAGAGGAGGGCTGGATGGCCCTTGGGAGGAGGAAGCGTGGGGATTGGAGGAAGCGAGGTGGGAGAGGAGGGCTGGATGGCCCTTGGGAGGAGGAAGCGTGGGGAGTGGAGGGAGCGAGGTGGGAGAGGAGGGCTGGATGGCCCTTGGGAGGAGGAAGCGTGGGGAGTGGAGGAAGCGAGGTGGGAGAGGAGGGCTGGATGGCCCTTGGGAGGAGGAAGCGAGGGGAGTGGAGGAAGCGAGGTGGGAGAGGAGGGCTGGATGGCCCTTGGGAGGAGGAAGCGTGGGGAGTGGAAGAAGCGAGGTAGAAGAAGAGGGCTGGATGGCCCTTGGGAGGAGGAAGCGTGGGGATTGGAGGGAGCGAGGTGGGAGAGGAGGGCTGGATGGCCCTTGGGAGGAGGAAGCGTGGGGATTGGAGGGAGCGAGGTGGGAGAGGAGGGCTGGATGGCCCTTGGGAGGAGGAAGCGTGGGGAGTGGAGGAAGCGAGGTGGGAGAGGAGGGCTGGATGGCCCTTGGGAGGAGGAAGCGTGGGGAGTGGAGGGAGCGAGGTGGGAGAGGAGGGCTGGATGGCCCTTGGGAGGAGGAAGCGTGGGGAGTGGAGGGAGCGAGGTGGGAGAGGAGGGCTGGATGGCCCTTGGGAGGAGGAAGCGTGGGGAGTGGAGGAAGCGAGGTGGGAGAGGAGGGCTGGATGGCCCTTGGGAGGAGGAAGCGTGGGGAGTGGAGGAAGCGAGGTGGGGGAGGAGGGCTAGTTGGCCCTTGGGAGGAGGAAGCGAGGGGAGTGGAGGAAGCGAGGTGGGAGAGGAGGGCTGGATGGCCCTTGGGAGGAGGAAGCGTGGGGAGTGGAGGAAGCGAGGTGGGAGAGGAGGGCTGGATGGCCCTTGGGAGGAGGAGGCGTGGGGAGTGGAGGAAGCGAGGTGGGAGAGGAGGGCTGGATGGCCCTTGGGAGGAGGAAGCGTGGGGAGTGGAGGAAGCGAGGTGGGAGAGGAGGGCTGGATGGCCCTTGGGAGGAGGAAGCGAAGGAAGTGGAGGAAGCGAGGTGGGAGAGGAGGGCTGGATGGCCCTTGGGAGGAGGAAGCGTGGGGAGTGGAGGAAGCGAGGTGGGAGAGGAGGGCTGGATGGCCCTTGGGAGGAGGAAGCGAGGGGAGTGGAGGAAGCGAGGTGGGAGAGGAGGGCTGGATGGCCCTTGGGAGGAGGAAGCGTGGGGAGTGGAGGAAGCGAGGTGGGAGAGGAGGGCTGGATGGCCCTTGGGAGGAGGAAGCGTGGGGATTGGAGGGAGCGAGGTGGGAGAGGAGGGCTGGATGGCCCTTGGGAGGAGGAAGCGTGGGGAGTGGAGGAAGCGAGGTGGGAGAGGAGGGCTGGATGGCCCTTGGGAGGAGGAAGCGTGGGGAGTGGAGGGAGCGAGGTGGGAGAGGAGGGCTGGATGGCCCTTGGGAGGAGGAAGCGTGGGGAGTGGAGGGAGCGAGGTGGGAGAGGAGGGCTGGATGGCCCTTGGGAGGAGGAAGCGTGGGGAGTGGAGGAAGCGAGGTGGGAGAGGAGGGCTGGATGGCCCTTGGGAGGAGGAAGCGTGGGGAGTGGAGGAAGCGAGGTGGGAGAGGAGGGCTGGATGGCCCTTGGGAGGAGGAAGCGTGGGGAGTGGAGGAAGCGAGGTGGGAGAGGAGGGCTGGATGGCCCTTGGGAGGAGGAAGCGTGGGGAGTGGAGGAAGCGAGGTGGGGGAGGAGGGCTAGTTGGCCCTTGGGAGGAGGAAGCGAGGGGAGTGGAGGAAGCGAGGTGGGAGAGGAGGGCTGGATGGCCCTTGGGAGGAGGAAGCGTGGGGAGTGGAGGAAGCGAGGTGGGAGAGGAGGGCTGGATGGCCCTTGGGAGGAGGAAGCGTGGGGAGTGGAGGAAGCGAGGTGGGAGAGGAGGGCTGGATGGCCCTTGGGAGGAGGAAGCGTGGGGAGTGGAGGAAGCGAGGTGGGGGAGGAGGGCTAGTTGGCCCTTGGGAGGAGGAAGCGAGGGGAGTGGAGGAAGCGAGGTGGGAGAGGAGGGCTGGATGGCCCTTGGGAGGAGGAAGCGTGGGGAGTGGAGGGAGCGAGGTGGGAGAGGAGGGCTGGATGGCCCTTGGGAGGAGGAAGCGAGGGGAGTGGAGGGAGCGAGGTGGGAGAGGAGGCCTGGATGGCCCTTGGGAGGAGGAAGCGTGGGGAGTGGAGGAAGCGAGGTGGGAGAGGAGGGCTGGATGGCCCTTGGGAGGAGGAAGCGTGGGGAGTGGAGGGAGCGAGGTGGGAGAGGAGGGCTGGATGGCCCTTGGGAGGAGGAAGCGTGGGGAGTGGAGGAAGCGAGGTGGGAGAGGAGGGCTGGATGGCCCTTGGGAGGAGGAAGCGTGGGGAGTGGAGGAAGCGAGGTGGGAGAGGAGGGCTGGATGGCCCTTGGGAGGAGGAAGCGTGGGGAGTGGAGGAAGCGAGGTGGGAGAGGAGGGCTGGATGGCCCTTGGGAGGAGGAAGCGTGGGGAGTGGAGGAAGCGAGGTGGGGGAGGAGGGCTAGTTGGCCCTTGGGAGGAGGAAGCGAGGGGAGTGGAGGAAGCGAGGTGGGAGAGGAGGGCTGGATGGCCCTTGGGAGGAGGAAGCGTGGGGAGTGGAGGAAGCGAGGTGGGAGAGGAGGGCTGGATGGCCCTTGGGAGGAGGAAGCGTGGGGAGTGGAGGAAGCGAGGTGGGAGAGGAGGGCTGGATGGCCCTTGGGAGGAGGAAGCGTGGGGAGTGGAGGAAGCGAGGTGGGGGAGGAGGGCTAGTTGGCCCTTGGGAGGAGGAAGCGAGGGGAGTGGAGGAAGCGAGGTGGGAGAGGAGGGCTGGATGGCCCTTGGGAGGAGGAAGCGTGGGGAGTGGAGGAAGCGAGGTGGGAGAGGAGGGCTGGATGGCCCTTGGGAGGAGGAAGCGTGGGGAGTGGAGGAAGCGAGGTGGGAGAGGAGGGCTGGATGGCCCTTGGGAGGAGGAAGCGTGGGGATTGGAGGAAGCGAGGTGGGAGAGGAGGGCTGGATGGCCCTTGGGAGGAGGAAGCGTGGGGAGTGGAGGGAGCGAGGTGGGAGAGGAGGGCTGGATGGCCCTTGGGAGGAGGAAGCGTGGGGAGTGGAGGAAGCGAGGTGGGAGAGGAGGGCTGGATGGCCCTTGGGAGGAGGAAGCGAGGGGAGTGGAGGAAGCGAGGTGGGAGAGGAGGGCTGGATGGCCCTTGGGAGGAGGAAGCGTGGGGAGTGGAAGAAGCGAGGTAGAAGAAGAGGGCTGGATGGCCCTTGGGAGGAGGAAGCGTGGGGATTGGAGGGAGCGAGGTGGGAGAGGAGGGCTGGATGGCCCTTGGGAGGAGGAAGCGTGGGGATTGGAGGGAGCGAGGTGGGAGAGGAGGGCTGGATGGCCCTTGGGAGGAGGAAGCGTGGGGAGTGGAGGAAGCGAGGTGGGAGAGGAGGGCTGGATGGCCCTTGGGAGGAGGAAGCGTGGGGAGTGGAGGGAGCGAGGTGGGAGAGGAGGGCTGGATGGCCCTTGGGAGGAGGAAGCGTGGGGAGTGGAGGGAGCGAGGTGGGAGAGGAGGGCTGGATGGCCCTTGGGAGGAGGAAGCGTGGGGAGTGGAGGAAGCGAGGTGGGAGAGGAGGGCTGGATGGCCCTTGGGAGGAGGAAGCGTGGGGAGTGGAGGAAGCGAGGTGGGGGAGGAGGGCTAGTTGGCCCTTGGGAGGAGGAAGCGAGGGGAGTGGAGGAAGCGAGGTGGGAGAGGAGGGCTGGATGGCCCTTGGGAGGAGGAAGCGTGGGGAGTGGAGGAAGCGAGGTGGGAGAGGAGGGCTGGATGGCCCTTGGGAGGAGGAGGCGTGGGGAGTGGAGGAAGCGAGGTGGGAGAGGAGGGCTGGATGGCCCTTGGGAGGAGGAAGCGTGGGGATTGGAGGAAGCGAGGTGGGAGAGGAGGGCTGGATGGCCCTTGGGAGGAGGAAGCGTGGGGAGTGGAGGAAGCGAGGTGGGAGAGGAGGGCTGGATGGCCCTTGGGAGGAGGAAGCGAAGGGAGTGGAGGAAGCGAGGTGGGAGAGGAGGGCTGGATGGCCCTTGGGAGGAGGAAGCGTGGGGAGTGGAGGGAGCGAGGTGGGAGAGGAGGGCTGGATGGCCCTTGGGAGGAGGAAGCGAGGGGAGTGGAGGGAGCGAGGTGGGAGAGGAGGGCTGGATGGCCCTTGGGAGGAGGAAGCGAGGGGAGTGGAGGAAGCGAGGTGGGAGAGGAGGGCTGGATGGCCCTTGGGAGGAGGAAGCGTGGGGAGTGGAGGAAGCGAGGTGGGAGAGGAGGGCTGGATGGCCCTTGGGAGGAGGAAGCGAGGGGAGTGGAGGAAGCGAGGTGGGAGAGGAGGGCTGGATGGCCCTTGGGAGGAGGAAGCGTGGGGAGTGGAGGAAGCGAGGTGGGAGAGGAGGGCTGGATGGCCCTTGGGAGGAGGAGGCGTGGGGAGTGGAGGAAGCGAGGTGGGAGAGGAGGGCTGGATGGCCCTTGGGAGGAGGAAGCATGGGGAGTGGAGGAAGCGAGGTGGGAGAGGAGGGCTGGATGGCCCTTGGGAGGAGGAAGCGTGGGGAGTGGAGGAAGCAAGGTGGGAGAGGAGGGCTGGATGGCCCTTGGGAGGAGGAAGCGTGGGGAGTGGAGGAAGCGAGGTGGGAGAGGAGGGCTGGATGGCCCTTGGGAGGAGGAAGCGTGGGGAGTGGAGGAAGCGAGGTGGGGGAGGAGGGCTAGTTGGCCCTTGGGAGGAGGAAGCGAGGGGAGTGGAGGAAGCGAGGTGGGAGAGGAGGGCTGGATGGCCCTTGGGAGGAGGAAGCGTGGGGAGTGGAGGGAGCGAGGTGGGAGAGGAGGGCTGGATGGCCCTTGGGAGGAGGAAGCGTGGGGAGTGGAGGGAGCGAGGTGGGAGAGGAGGGCTGGATGGCCCTTGGGAGGAGGAAGCGTGGGGAGTGGAGGAAGCGAGGTGGGAGAGGAGGGCTGGATGGCCCTTGGGAGGAGGAAGCGTGGGGATTGGAGGAAGCGAGGTGGGAGAGGAGGGCTGGATGGCCCTTGGGAGGAGGAAGCGTGGGGAGTGGAGGGAGCGAGGTGGGAGAGGAGGGCTGGATGGCCCTTGGGAGGAGGAAGCGTGGGGAGTGGAGGAAGCGAGGTGGGAGAGGAGGGCTGGATGGCCCTTGGGAGGAGGAAGCGAGGGGAGTGGAGGAAGCGAGGTGGGAGAGGAGGGCTGGATGGCCCTTGGGAGGAGGAAGCGTGGGGAGTGGAGGAAGCGAGGTGGGAGAAGAGGGCTGGATGGCCCTTGGGAGGAGGAAGCGTGGGGATTGGAGGGAGCGAGGTGGGAGAGGAGGGCTGGATGGCCCTTGGGAGGAGGAAGCGTGGGGAGTGGAGGGAGCGAGGTGGGATAGGAGGGCTGGATGGCCCTTGGGAGGAGGAAGCGTGGGGATTGGAGGGAGCGAGGTGGGAGAGGAGGGCTGGATGGCCCTTGGGAGGAGGAAGCGTGGGGAGTGGAGGAAGCGAGGTGGGAGAGGAGGGCTGGATGGCCCTTGGGAGGAGGAAGCGTGGGGAGTGGAGGGAGCGAGGTGGGAGAGGAGGGCTGGATGGCCCTTGGGAGGAGGAAGCGTGGGGAGTGGAGGGAGCGAGGTGGGAGAGGAGGGCTGGATGGCCCTTGGGAGGAGGAAGCGTGGGGAGTGGAGGAAGCGAGGTGGGAGAGGAGGGCTGGATGGCCCTTGGGAGGAGGAAGCGTGGGGAGTGGAGGAAGCGAGGTGGGAGAGGAGGGCTGGATGGCCCTTGGGAGGAGGAAGCGTGGGGAGTGGAGGAAGCGAGGTGGGAGAGGAGGGCTGGATGGCCCTTGGGAGGAGGAAGCGTGGGGAGTGGAGGGAGCGAGGTGGGAGAGGAGGGCTGGATGGCCCTTGGGAGGAGGAAGCGAGGGGAGTGGAGGGAGCGAGGTGGGAGAGGAGGGCTGGATGGCCCTTGGGAGGAGGAAGCGTGGGGATTGGAGGGAGCGAGGTGGGAGAGGAGGGCTGGATGGCCCTTGGGAGGAGGAAGCGTGGGGAGTGGAGGAAGCGAGGTGGGAGAGGAGGGCTGGATGGCCCTTGGGAGGAGGAAGCGTGGGGAGTGGAGGGAGCGAGGTGGGAGAGGAGGGCTGGATGGCCCTTGGGAGGAGGAAGCGAGGGGAGTGGAGGAAGCGAGGTGGGAGAGGAGGGCTGGATGGCCCTTGGGAGGAGGAAGCGTGGGGAGTGGAGGAAGCGAGGTGGGGGAGGAGGGCTAGTTGGCCCTTGGGAGGAGGAAGCGAGGGGAGTGGAGGAAGCGAGGTGGGAGAGGAGGGCTGGATGGCCCTTGGGAGGAGGAAGCGTGGGGAGTGGAGGAAGCGAGGTGGGAGAGGAGGACTGGATGGCCCTTGGGAGGAGGAAGCGTGGGGAGTGGAGGGAGCGAGGTGGGAGAGGAGGGCTGGATGGCCCTTGGGAGGAGGAAGCGTGGGGAGTGGAGGAAGCGAGGTGGGAGAGGAGGGCTGGATGGCCCTTGGGAGGAGGAAGCGTGGGGAGTGGAGGAAGCGAGGTGGGAGAGGAGGGCTGGATGGCCCTTGGGAGGAGGAAGCGTGGGGAGTGGAGGAAGCGAGGTGGGAGAGGAGGGCTGGATGGCCCTTGGGAGGAGGAGGCGTGGGGAGTGGAGGAAGCGAGGTGGGAGAGGAGGGCTGGATGGCCCTTGGGAGGAGGAAGCGTGGGGAGTGGAGGAAGCGAGGTGGGAGAGGAGGGCTGGATGGCCCTTGGGAGGAGGAAGCGTGGGGAGTGGAGGAAGCGAGGTGGGAGAGGAGGACTGGATGGCCCTTGGGAGGAGGAAGCGAGGGGAGTGGAGGAAGCGAGGTGGGAGAGGAGGGCTGGATAGCCCTTGGGAGGAGGAAGCGTGGGGAGTGGAGGAAGCGAGGTGGGAGAGGAGGGCTGGATGGACCTTGGGAGGAGGAAGCGAGGGGAGTGGAGGAAGCGAGTTGGGAGAGGAGGGCTGGATGGCCCTTAGAGGAGAGGCGCCCCTTAGAGGAGAGGCGCCCCTTAGAGGAGAGGCATGGTCCAGGGGCTGGCAGGAGAAGAGGAGGAAATGGTGAATTGAGATCTATGGGTTAAAGTCCATATTTTGTTCTTATAGGCCATGCCTACTCGAGTAAAGAGGCGCACCTTAGTGGGGAAGAGGTAGAGGGCGGTGGCGTGGGGGTGGGAGAGCAGTGTGTGGAGGACCGGCACGTTGGAGCACAGCGACTTGCCACTCGCTGTCGCCGTCGCAATGATGGCATGCCGCCCGGCCAGTGCCGCGTCAATAGCCATCACCTGCAGAGCAAAGCAGGGAATCATCCAAAGGTAAAAGACATGGATCGGTAAGGCCTCACCAAACAAGAATGTTTTTTGGTCGTCTCACTGAAGGGAAAGGGGTTGAAGAGGCATGGAAAGGTACGAGCCATGTGTGCTTACCTGATGGGAATAGAGCTGGGAGACGCCCGCACGAGCCAAGGTGTGCCACGTGGCAGGGCATAACTGGCTGGCCAGGTTTCCATAGCGCGGTTTCCTCTGTGGCAGCTCCTCGCAGTGCACCACCTGATGGGGCAGATTGGAAGCAGAGCGGTAGATAGGCAGGCCGACAGGCAGGTAGGGAGGCAGGGAGGTAGGGAGGTAGGCCGACGGGGAGGTAGGGAGGTAGGCCGACGGGGAGGCAGGGAGGGAGGGAGACAGGGAGGTGGGCCGGCAGGGAGGCAGGGAGGCAGGGAGGTAAGGAGGTAGGGAGACCGGGACAGGGAGGTCGGCCGACGGTGAGGCAAGGAGGTTGGGAGACAGGGAGGAGAGCGTGTGGGGTGGGGTGTGTGGAGCAGGGAAGTGTGCATAACAGAGGAATAACGAGGCATGTGGTGGTAAAAAATTGGAGAATCGACCAGGCAACTCTTTGCACCCACTTGCCAACCAAGTATCCACCCGCCCAAGCAACCCTCCCTCCCTTGCAGCACCCTTCCCCCCTCCCTTGCAGCACCCTTCCCCCCTCCCTTGCAGCACCTTCCCCCTCTCCCCCACAGCCCTCACCCACCTGACCCAGTGATCCGAGTCCCTTGTTGAGATGCTCCAGCAGCTGCGGTGCACCCATGGGCTCCGTGCTCTGATGCCCAGCGCAACAGCGGGTGGGAGATGCGGGGGGGATGCGGAGAGACAACGGAGTTGCAGGAGAGGGAGTAGAACAGGTGTGAGGAGGAAGGGGGAGACGGATGACGAGTTCTGAGCTGGGTCGGCAGGAATGGAAAAGTGTGTGCTTAATGCTGTGAGTCACGTGGCAGCACTCACGTCACAGGAGCACTGACATTGCAAGGAGGCCCTTTTTTTAGTTGCCTGGGCGGACAAGGAGGTGTGTATCGTTGTGCCCCAATGCCTCCCTCATCATCCCACCCCTCCCACCCCTCACAACCAGCACCACCATCACTGCCTGCCTTCTTTTCACCCTCCTCTGCCCGTTCCCCACCCTCCATTGCACCTTCCTCCACCTCCCCAGTCTTATCAGACTCATCCCCAGCTGCCCCTCCTTTCCTCCGCTGCTTGTTCTGCCTCCCCACCCGTGCCTCCCTCTGCTGTTTCCCCTTCCCTCCCTTCGCACCTCTCCCTTGCCCAGCATGCCCATGAGTATCAGTATGCTGAGGGGAATGGAAGGAGGCCGCTTCAGCGAGCAGCATGGACACAGAGATGTCTTCAAACGGGAAGTCCGCATGCCAAGCCATGCTGCCCGCACTCTGCTTCACACCAGTACACCCCTGCTTCTTCCCCTTCCTCCTCTCACGATGCCACTCTCTTCCAAGTCAACTCCCCCTGCTTCAAAACGCCCCTCTTCCTCCATCCTCTCCTCTGCTGGCACCGCACTGCACTCCTGCTCACCCTTCTCCGCCTCGCTCCCCCTTTCCTCTGCACCAGCCGCCCCATGTTGACTCTCCTCTCCTCGCAGGCCTCTGCTGGCACAGCCCATGCCAGAAGCCGCGGCAACGGGGAAGGCCGAACGGCGGGACTGAGGCGACGGGTGAATGTGCGCGGCAGCGGGCTGTGACTGCGGCGCAGGAGGGAGAACGTGAGCGAGGAAGTCTTGGTGGATGCGGTGGAGGGATGCTGTGAGTGCCGAGTGGAAGGCGGCTCTCCTCTTGTCTGCCAGCCTCACAGCGCTGCGACGCGGTGCGCGTTGCTGTGTGCCTGGAGGGAAGTGGGGGACAATCGGAAAAGCGACAGAAGCACAGGAAGGAGAACGTGAGCGAGGAAGTCAGCGTGGATGCGCGGGAAGGCTGCTGTGAGTGCCGCGTGAAAGGCGGCTCTCCTCTTGCCTGCCAGCTTGACAGCGCAGCAACGCAGTTTGCGCTGTTGTGTGCCTGGAGGGAAATGGGGGACGACGGGGACTGAAAAACAGCGAGTCCACAAAACACAACATAAGCGAGAAGCAAACACGCCACAGGTGGCACTGGTATCCCCACAAACAACTTTTCAGCACACACCTTGCAGCAGCATGCCTCCATTTGTGCTGCTGGGGTTGATAATGCTGCTGGCGATGGTGGCGATGGTGGCAATGGAGGTGATGGTGACAGTGCTGGTGCTGGTGCTGGTGCTGGTGCTGATGGTGTTGGTGATGGCGGCGATGGTGCCGATGGTGGCAATGCTGATGGTCGTGCAGGATCTGGGTGTCCCTGTGCTGGAGATGGGGCCGAAGCTGATCGAGCTGATGATAAAATGTTTCTGCTGCTGCAGGCTGCAACCGGGGAAAGGAAATCTTCTATCGCCTGAGAGCCAATATCAACCTCAGCGGACCCATTCCGCTTTGCGCCTCCGTCCTTGCTCGTTTCAGCAAGTTCAGGAATGTTGCTACTGGCCCACTGCTCCACCACATCTACTGCACATCCCTTTTTTGCAGCAGCAGTGCTAGTCTGAGCTCTTCCCTTTTGAAGGAATCGCTGAATAGATGGTACAACGCAATGAGATGGGGGATGAGCAGATGGCGTAAACGGGATCGGATTTGGAATGCGAGGAGACCCAACGGCTGTGCCAGTGCCACGTGCAACATCCAATGTCATGGCAGCAGCAGCACGACATGGCGTTCCCCCGGGCTGCGAGGACAGCACAGGACCCATCTGTCGCTGCTCCTTCCGCTGGAAGCTCATCAGAACCAGGAAAGCGTCTGCTGGTGCAGATTCAGAGCCACAGGGCTTAGAGTCAGAGGCAGAAGCATGCGGCTCGCCAAGGGAACTCCCATTCATGGGGATGGAGCTGCCAGCACGGATAGATGGGATCTCTGGCGTAGCAGCGCTGACAGACGATGACTTGGCAGATCCAGGCTGGAGGAGGTCAGGAATGTCGACCAATCGAGTGGAGTCTTTGAGGCGAGATCCCTGCAAGAGGGGTGAATAGGGTTAGAGAAACCAGTGAAAACGGTGGAAAGGTGAGCAACGAAGGCAAGCCATGCAGCCAGGAGAGCGTGTGACGCATCGAGATCACCATTGTCGGTGAAGAACCTCCAAAGAGATAATAGTAAGGAAAAATCGCCGGCCTGGCTGTATTTAAGTCTGCTACACGGGAAAATTAGACACACTAAAGCCACTAGGGGAACAGAACGGCATCAATAGGACGTACTTTATGGATAATGACGTGTTTCAGCGACGCGTCCTTGTTCATTGCTCCAGCAGCGACTCGCTTCACGTCGCCCACTCGCATGTCGCACGTCGCCTCCACTGAAACGTGCTATCCGGTCAGATCCCTCACAACCACGCACGGTAGCTCGGTTCGATCCATGAAGGCTGAGGTGGCAGCACCAGACACATCGATCTGCTCCCGTCCTGCCATGTCAGCTTACTTGCAGAGTGGTTCTGGTGATTAGCCTATCTTATCGCTACTCTCTTACTCATTAAGACCGGTACGACGGCATTCAATCCGTGCACCTCGCGAGCTACCTAATTCAGAACCTAGAACAAACCAAGGATGATTAAGGTTCCTGACCCAGCAAGCGGGTTTCGCAAACAGATAATGAATTCTCGGAATTCGAAATAAGCAACCTTGAAATTCGAAGAACACGAAATGCTCCGACGATGCGTGGATGGACCTGAGATTATGCTTCCTAGGAAGGCAATGGCTATAACTCCTCCAGGGAAATGCTGAATCATGGGATTCTTATGCTAATGCTGAACTATGGGATTTTTATGCTAGTGCCGAATCATGGGATTCTAATGCTAATGCTGAATCATGGGATTCTTATTGCTGATGCTGAATGATGGGATTCTTATGCTAATGCTGAATCATGAGATTATTATGTTAATGCTGAATTATGGAATCTTTATGCTAACGTTGAATCATGGGATTCCAATGCTAGGGCCCTGTAAACCCTGCTCTCAGGCTTGATATTCTAGGACGCCGCAGCAAACATAATTTGATTTAGAACGACTAGATTGCTGGCGTATGCTTCATGAACTAGAATCTATGTTGACAGCAACAAGGGGATGAGAAAGCTGAATTCGGGCTCAGATTCAGGAAAACAGCGAAATCTGTCAGACCAGGGAAGCTCCGAGCGTCGTCACGGTTACGCTGAGACCGTAGCCTGCTTTCGGAAATATCCAGGACTCGTTCGCACTAGAGTTCACCTCGATTGTACTAACATTTTAATGTGCAACACCAGTGACCATACGGCTACACCTAGTCGTTTCCACATTAGCAAATGAGAGAAGCAACACGAGGTGGACTGGTTACTTTTGAGCCATCTAGTCGTTTCCATACTACCAGGTGTTATAAAGCCCGCAGCCCAAGTTGCACAATATTAGTAATCTTGATGGCTAAACACTTGGGCTTGCAAGAGGTTTCTAGACTGGTGCCTTCGTTTGCGCTTGTGTTTGTGCGGAAGTCCCAAGTTGCAGCACGATGTTCTTCAAGTTGAGTATGGAAACTAGGCTGGATTTCTGGAAAGTGTCGCCGGGCAACACATAGATTATCAAGATGTAATCTTGATGCCCGCAGCTTGCAACTGTTGAGTTACGTTGTTATCCAGCTTCATTTGATTATGAAAGTTTACTCACTGTAGTTCTTTAAAGACAAGTTCTTTGCTGGTTAGTAGGTAGTAGCCCTTTTCACAATCAGGGTAACAAAGATGATTGACAAGACCGTTTCTATCCACAATAGATTGGGCAAGCCACTTGAATAGGTTAATGAACGTTAATCGTTTGGCATCATTGGCAGGGAACTGCAGGAGCATCCCCAGCAACCACCTGGGACTGACACCGCTGTGTTTGTTGCAGTTCCTTCTTCTCCTGCTCCTTGGCAGCCCACATTGCATATAGATAGCGACCAGACCCCATGTCGACGATTGACATGAGCACGGCCCAAATGTGCGCCCAGATGGTCTTGCTCTGGTGACGGAATGTCAGGGAAGGGTGTACGATAAAAATCACATAAGTTAAGCTGATCTTACTGAAAGAACATCTATCAGTGAAAATTAGGGTTGAGCTTTAGGAGCACAACGCCTTGCATTTCAAGGAACGAAGTAGCACGCTTTGGAAGACGTTGCAAATGGCGACGGTCGGAGCAAACAAACCATTTCGGGCGAAGATAAATTCGCTCACCTTCTTGCTTTTACCCCGGCCCGACCGGACAAGAGGCTCCGACAACATCGCTGCATCCGTCTCCGAGCTCCCATCCCCATACGCGAAACAGCTCTCAGACGACTCGGAAGAGCGAAGGCTGTCGACGTCATCGACGCTCTTCCATGACCGCCATGTCATGTAGCCCGCGATGAACGCTGAGACCACCACGAGCACGACCCTCATCGGACACACCATCCTGACAGTCTCCGCCCCTGCTGTTAACGTTCAAATGATTCTGTACCGCTAGATAGCGTGCCTGAGCTAAGACAGAGTGGAAGGCGAAGAACAGCTATTATAGGTGGTTGTTTGTGAGCTGACGGAGAGGGTTACAACAAATTGAGCGGAGCGTGCTCAAGCAACCTTCGCTCTGGCCGCGTCCTAGAAACGAAAAGAAATAGCTGTCTTGTCAAAGTGCGTTGTACTTAGGAGGACGCGACCAACCACTACTGTCCTAGCTTGTAGAGCAGTCGTCAATATTCCTTCCCAGCAATTGGCAAAAGGGGGTGTTTCAAGAGGGGTGCCGCGGGGAGTGGGTTGGAGTGAACTGGATTGAGGAGGAAGCAGACTCAGAAAGGAAAGGGTTGACGGTAACTTCGAAGGTGTGCGACGAGCAGCGAACGGTCGCCAGGACATCGCACGAATCGAATGAGGCGAAGGTTCTGCTGAGGATGAGCGCAGTGCCTGGTTGGATGCAGGAGCTGACGGTGCCGCGCAAGCACAGAGAAGTCGGGAGTCGCGCGGTGCGGCGGTGTGCGACGTGGACTGCCAGCAAGGAAGGAGGTTTTGGCAGACCAGCTTGGCTCAGAAGCAGGCTCTTGCTCGTGGAAAACTGACGACTGGATTTGGGCAAGTTCAGCAGAGATAAACTGCCCGTATTAAAAGTTCACGACGAACCCGAAGCCAATATGTGTGGCATCGGTGATCTGCAAAGCTTGACATGGGTCATCGAGATTCGTGATTCGTGATTTCAGCCCATTTTCCATACCGACATGGTGTGCGGTGCACACACAAAAGGCGCGTGGTCGGTCCCACCAAGATGAGGTGACGTGGCAGTTGCGACTTATGGCGAGTACAACACTGTCGGGTTGACCAACGACCTTTCATTCCATTACCAACAGGGCTGTTTGCTTTGTATGGGTTTTTGTACCCCCTGGAAATTTTTAAATTTTAAATTTCCCTCGTCAGATGTCAGAATCGTCTAACTGCATAAACAGATGATGTGTTTTTCTTTGCCTCAGGTCCCCAGATACTCTCTTAGTTGGCAGTGGCATGTGCTGCAGGGATCGGAATTCTGTCAACATTGACACGAAAGAAGTCTCCTCCACATGGAAAAGCAGCTGTAAAATGGCAAGTGCTGCTTCGCCTTTGAATGGCATCACTCACATTCCCCCCTTATCCGTGGTTGGCCCGCTGCGCCTATGTTTCAGTTTGGGGTCCAGTGAGGGAAAATGAAGCCATCTCCTCCAGCCCGACTTCTCACTACAGACCGGCTCACGCGTCTCGTCCCACGTGCCCTCTGCTGCTGCCACGTCCAGCAGAAAGGCTGCCTGGTCCAAAGCCACCTGCAGGCGCATTGCATGGTAGGATCACCTGCTCACCGCTGCTGCGCCCACCTGGGACGAGGCCACCAGTACATGTTTCTTAGATTGACATCTACAACAAACGGCTCACGCATCGCTCATGCATCCTCCCCTCTCCCTGAACTTCTGCGCCCACCTGGTACGAGCCCCCCAGCCCAACGCTCTCATCCTCTCACCCCCCCGTTCCCCGCCACACGTGCTGAATGCATGGTTATGGCCCCCCGTGCAGCCATCGCCCTCCCTCCCTGGACCTGCTCGGAGTCATCTCAGCCTCTGTGCGCTGGGCTGCACTCTGGAGTCATCTCTGGGCTGCACTCTGGAGTCATCTCTGGGCTGCACTCTGGAGTCATCTCTGGGCTGCACTCTGGAGTCATCTCTGGGCTGCACTCTGGAGTCATCTCTGGGCTGCACTCTGGGGTCATCTCTGGGCTGCACTCTGGAGTCATCTCTGGGCTGCACTCTGGAGTCATCTCTGGGCTGCACTCTGGAGTCATCTCTGGGCTGCACTCTGGAGTCATCTCTGGGCTGCACTCTGGGGTCATCTCTGGGCTGCACTCTGGAGTCATCTCTGGGCTGCACTCTGGAGTCATCTCTGGGCTGCACTCTGGGGTCATCTCTGGGCTGCACTCTGGAGTCATCTCTGGGCTGCACTCTGGAGTCATCTCTGGGCTGCACTCTGGAGTCATCTCTGGGCTGCACTCTGGAGTCATCTCTGGGCTGCACTCTGGAGTCATCTCTGGGCTGCACTCTGGAGTCATCTCTGGGCTGCACTCTGGAGTCATCTCTGGGCTGCACTCTGGAGTCATCTCTGGGCTGCACTCTGGAGTCATCTCTGGGCTGCACTCTGGGGTCATCTCTGGGCTGCACTCTGGAGTCATCTCTGGGCTGCACTCTGGAGTCATCTCTGGGCTGCACTCTGGAGTCATCTCTGGGCTGCACTCTGGAGTCATCTCTGGGCTGCACTCTGGAGTCATCTCTGGGCTGCACTCTGGAGTCACCTCTGGGCTGCACTCTGGAGTCATCTCTGGGCCCAGGCCGTGCTGCCACACTGACGTCTGCTTTTGGGGCAGGGGCTGTGAACTGGGGCGAGTTCACAGGGGGCTGTGAACTGGGGATAGGGAACAGCCGGCAATTACAGGTGGGTGAGCTGAGTGAGAAAGCCAAGCTGATAGGAGAGCTCCCCCACCACTCTGCCCAGGTCCCCTAGCACACTGAAGGCGCAATAAGCAGGTTACAATTGAGTGGGTTACAAATTAGTGGGTTACAATTGAGTGGGTTACAAATTAGTGGGTTACAATTGAGTGGGTTACAAATTAGTGGGTTACAATTGAGTGGGTTACAACCAGAGACCGCTGAGGGTGGAGAGACCGCTGAGGGTGGAGAGACCGCTGAGGGTGGAGAGACCGCTGAGGGTGATGGGGTGATGGGGGTGATGGGGGTGATGGCGGTGATGGGGGTGATGGGGGTGATGGGGGTGATGGGGGTGATGGCGGTGATGGGGGTGATGGCGGTGATGGGGGTGATGGGGGTGATGGGGGTGATGGGGGTGATGGGGGTGATGGGGGATAATGGGGGTGATGGGGGTGATGGGGGTGATGGGGGTGATGGGGGTGATGGGGGTGATGGGGGTGACGGGGGTGACGGGGGTGATGGCGGTGATGGGGGTGACGGGGGTGATGGGGGTGATGGGGGTGATGGGGGTGATGGGGGTGATGGGGGTGATGGGGGTGATGGGGGTGATGGGGGTGATGGCGGTGATGGGGGTGATGGGGGTGATGGGGGTGATGGCGGTGATGGCGGTGATGGGGTGATGGGGGTGATGGGGGTGATGGGGGTGATGGCGGTGATGGGGGTGATGGGGGTGATGGGGGTGATGGGGGTGACGGGGGTGACGGGGGTGACGGGGGTGATGGGGGTGATGGGGGTGATGGGGGTGATGGGGGTGATGGGGGTGATGGGGGTGATGGGGGTGACGGGGGGTGATGGGGGTGATGGGGGTGATGGGGGTGATGGGGGTGATGGGGGTGATGGGGGTGATGGGGGTGACGGGGGTGACGGGGGTGATGGCGGTGATGGGGGTGACGGGGGTGACGGGGGTGATGGGGGTGATGGGGGTGATGGGGGTGATGGGGGTGATGGGGGTGATGGCGGTGATGGGGATGATGGCGGTGATGGGGGTGATGGGGGTGACGGGGGGTGATGGGGGTGATGGGGGTGATGGGGGTGACGGGGGGTGACGGGGGGTGATGGGGGTGATGGGGGTGATGGGGGTGATGGGGGTGATGGGGGTGATGGGGGTGATGGCGGTGATGGGGGTGATGGCGGTGATGGGGGTGATGGGGGTGACGGGGGGTGATGGGGGTGATGGGGGTGATGGGGGTGACGGGGGGTGATGGGGGTGATGGGGGTGATGGGGGTGATGGGGGTGATGGGGGTGATGGGGGTGATGGGGGTGATGGCGGTGATGGGGGTGATGGCGGTGATGGGGGTGATGGGGGTGATGGGGGTGATGGGGGTGATGGGGGTGATGGGGGTGATGGGGGTGATGGGGGTGATGGGGGTGATGGGGGTGATGGGGGTGATGGGGGTGATGGAGGTGATGGGGGTGATGGGGGTGATGGGGGTGATGGGGGTGATGGGGGTGATGGGGGTGATGGGGGTGATGGCGGTGATGGGGGTGATGGGGGTGATGGGGGTGATGGGGGTGATGGGGGTGATGGGGGTGATGGCGGTGATGGGGGTGATGGGGGTGATGGGGGTGATGGGGGATGATGGGGGTGATGGGGGTGATGGGGGTGATGGGGGTGATGGGGGTGATGGGGGTGATGGGGGTGATGGGGGTGATGGGGGTGATGGCGGTGATGGGGGTGATGGCGGTGATGGGGGTGATGGGGGTGATGGGGGTGATGGGGGTGATGGGGGTGATGGGGGTGATGGGGGATGATGGGGGTGATGGGGGTGATGGGGGTGATGGGGGTGATGGGGGTGATGGGGGTGATGGGGGTGATGGGGGTGATGGGGGTGAGGGGGGTGATGGCGGTGATGGGGGTGATGGGGGTGATGGGGGTGATGGGGATGACGGGGGTGATGGGGTGATGGGGGTGATGGGGGTGATGGTGGTGATGGGGGTGATGGGGGTGATGGGGGATAATGGGGGTGATGGGGGTGACGGGGGTGATGGCGGTGATGGGGGTGACGGGGGTGATGGCGGTGATGGGGGTGATGGGGGTGATGGGGGTGATGGGGGTGATGGGGGTGATGGGGGTGATGGGGGTGATGGTGGTGATGGGGGTGACGGGGGTGATGGGGGTGATGGGGGTGATGGGGGTGATGGGGGTGAACTGGGGCCAGCACCTTGCGGTTACTCTGCCTGCTCCCTCTCCGTCAGTGACGTATGTGATGGCGCATGTGATGAGTGCAGAAATGCAGGTGCTGGTGCATGTGATAATGCACGCAGGAATGCATGTAGGCTCACCTCCAGCACCTTCCCCACGTCCTCCGCTTGCCGCTTGGCCAGAGCGAGCACATTGCGGTTGCACCGCTGCTCTGCCTGCTCCCTCTCCGTCAGCTTCACGTCTGAAAACAGGCAACTCGTCCCTGCAGTGCAGTCACATTGCAAACATGCACATGTCAGAAGCACAGGATCATGTGTCAACTGCTTCACGTCTGAAAACAAATACTCGTCATCGGGCGCGGGGGAGGAAAGAAGGAGGAGCTTTGTGAAAAGAAGCAAACAAACGAACAAGAAAACTCATCCCTGCGAAACCATCACGTGCAGTGTGGGTTTACAGCAGCAGCCGAGGGGGTACAGATGAGGGCGAGCAGGAGGGCGGGGGTGTTAGGGAAATAGGTGATCTGTACCACACCATTATCCCTATCACCTCCCTCGTCTCCTGTCACGACGCACACGTGCACGCCACGTTCTGCGTCTGCGTTCTGCGTCCATGTGCACGCCTCCTGAGCGCCCCCAGGGTATCGCGCATGCGCTTGTACGTGACATTGTTGGCCAGCTTCTCTATCCGCACCTCCCATCGTGCATCTCCCATCGTGCATCTCCCATCGTGCATCACCCACCGTGCAATGCTGCGCGTTTCTTGGGCGTGAGGGAGGGCGGAAATACCACACGTGTCACTGGCAGCTGGCGGACACGTGGCAGCAGGGGAAGGGAAGAGAGGGGGAAGGGAATGCACTGAGAAGAATGAAGGCTAGAGAGGCAGGGTATCATTAAACAAAGGGAAAATAAGTAGCAACCGGAAATGAAGGGAAGGAGAGGCTACATATCCATGTATATTACGCTTGATATGCGGCGAATTGACGATATTGCGAGGAAATCCAAGGCTTAGTCTGCCATTTGCGCTACTGGTGCTGACAGGAGAAGCTCGGAAACTGAGGGAGTGAATAAGAGCTATCGCAGTTGCTGCCCCTATCAGTTGCTCCAGTCAGCTGCTTCAGTGCTTCATGTAAAATTGCGTGCGGTGTGTGTCAAACTTGTTTCGACTCACGAGGTGCATCCGTGAAATCAGTCAATGGCGCATACGATTTCTGGGGCTTCGTACTTCACGTACCGGTTGCGGTGTGTCAGAACTGATTGTCAGGCGCAGGTGTTCGAAACAGACACCAGTTTTGGCGCTGAAGTGAATACAAGATTCAAGAGGCTGGATAGTACAGATTTCTACAATATTCGATTACGTAAGAAAATTTTAAAGCGAGCACTACTTTTCCTATTCTGGCATATCACTGTAGCCAGTTTAGCAGCTCAATAAAGGAACAGTACTGTACAAGACAAATTTAGAAGTTCATAGGTAACAATCTACATACAGTAAGCTACAGTAACTTTGGGAAGAACAGTGGTGGTAAACCACACTGCCTTCACCACCTCATCTCCAGCCCCCAAGCAGTACCACCACCAAGTGGTATACCACCACCACTGCTCCAACCACCACCACTCGTCACCGCACACCACCAACCAGCACCTCCACCACCATGCCATTGCATGGCATGGCATGGCAAGTGGTGGTGATAAGTGACACTCCCTCACTGCCAGCCAGCAGTGCCATTGCATGGCATGCCACCACCACCACTCCTCACAGAGAGGACGGCAGTGAGGCAAGGCAGAGTGCTAGTGGAGGGGGGCTAAACCCCCTGGGTAAGGCGAGAGCAAGGCAAAGAGAAAGAGGTTGAGCCTCCCAGGAGCAGCACAGCAGCAGCAGCAGTGAGGCTATGAGCCAGCCCAACACCTGAACCCTCACCGACGTAGCAAGAGGGGAGCCCCACCAGACCCCCGGCCGCAGGGCCTGGTGTTCGTCCATTATGCCTTAACGTGCGGCTATTGGAATCCAGGCTTGAAACTGACTCACAACCCCACTGCCACCCCACCTCCACCACCACCACCGCCACCACCACCACCACCACCAACACCGCCACCACCAACACCGCCACCGCCACCAACACCAACCCTGGTTGAACTCACACCGGCTTCCCCTTCCAGCGGCAGTCCCTGTCAGGACGAGGGAAGAGCAAATAAGTTAGTTCACCCAGAGGTACAAGCACTGGAGCAGCAAAGGAGTACGGAGGGCAGAAGAAGAAATGAGAAAGCAAGTGAAAGGCGAGAGGCACACAAAACGCTCATGTGAGGGTGAGGTGGGAGGCTTGCTGGCTTACCTGACACACTGCAGCCCCTCAGTCCACCAGTGGGAGTGACAGTCCGCGCAGCAGCTTGGAGTTGAGTGGAGGGCCACGCAGAGGTCCGCCAGTCATGGTGACAGTCCGCTCACAAGCAGCGTGGAGTGGAGAGTAGAGGACAGCCAAGGTACCTGCTGGGGGAGGAAGGAAGGGGTGAAAAGCACAAGTGAGTGGAGGCAATGAAGGGACATGCAGAGAGGGCGACATGCCAAAACAAGCACACATGCGTGCGGGAACGAGCTCAGCTGCTGCGCACACCCATGGGGATACCTTTCTGTGGGGGTTATACCCTAAACCTTGCAGTCTGAACCTGTTACCTGGGGAGCCCTAGGGCGTGCTACAGGCAGCTAGAGCGGTGCGAGGTGCATGAAAGTGAGACATTGCAGAAGCAGGAAAAGGCGGAGGCAGAGAGGGAGGAGCGGAGGTACTCATCTTGTCTCTCGCGAGGCGCGAGTGGCAGGCGGTCGGTGCAGCCAAGGAAGAGCGCCCTGCTGCCCGCCAAGTCGCTGCATGCGGGTCCAGAGAAACCTGCCAAGGGGGACGGGGGAGGGGGGGGGGGGCGGGGGGTGGGAGTGGGAGTGGGGGGTGGGTAAGTGGGACGGCAGGACAAGCATGGGAGCAGCAAGGGTTGATGTGCGTGGCATGAGTGGAAGCGGAGGGAGTACTGCTGTCGCACACCCAAGGGGGTACCTTCAGTTAAGAAAAAACCTAGAGTGGGGGGTATACCTGACCTATCAGTGTTTACCTGAGACCTGGGGGGACCCTTGAGTGTGGTGCGAGCAGGTGGGATGACATGAGCAATGCATGGGCGAGAGAATGATGGATGATGAAAAAATCAAATGCAGAGGAGGTTGAGGAGAAGGGTGGTGATACTCATCTTTGTCTGACGTTCGCGAAGGAGCAGTGTCGCGAAGGCAACAGGAACGCTCGCGAAGGCACCAGGGACGCTCGCGAAGGCACCAGGGACGCTCGCGAAGGCACCAGGGACGTCCGCGAAGGCACCAGAGACGTCCGCGAAGGCACCAGAGACGATCGCGAAGGCAGCAGACACGGGGACTGAAGGGAATGGGGGAGGGGAAGGAGGGAGTGGGGGGGTGAGTAAGTTAATGCACTGGAGGACAAGCATGGGAGCAACAAGGGTTGATGTGCGTGGCATGAGTGGAAGCGGAGGGAGTACTGCTCTCGCACACCCAAGGGGGTACCTTCAGTAAAAGAAAACCTGGTGGGGGGTATACCTGACTATCAGTGTGAACCTGAGACCTGGGGGGACCCTTGAGTGTGGTGCGAGCAGGTGGGGTGACATGAAACATGCATGAACGACTGAATGATGGTTGCTGAAAATATCAAAGGCAGAGGAGGTTGAGGAGAGGGGTGGCGATACTCATCTGTGAAGGCAGCAATGTCGTCCGCGAAGGCAGCAATGTCGTCCGCGAAGGCAGCAATGTCGTCCACGCAAGCAGGAGGGAGGTCCGCGCAGGCATCGAAACTGGAGCGAGGGTGGGGGGAAAGGGGTTGAGTTAGCGCCAGTGGAGGGAGAGGAGCAAGAGGAGAAGAACGATCCAAGCAGGAGGCGTGAGACAAGCATGCACGAGTGGCCATGACATGAAAGCAGCGCTGGCAGCAGCACACCCAAAGGGGGAAACCTTAGTCTGAGACTTACCAGCCTGTAAGCACACCTGGGCTAAAACATTTTGCACCTGCAAGGGGGGTACCTGATTTTACCAGTCCGAACCTGATACCTGATACCTGGTACCTGATACCTGATACCTGGTACCTGGCACCAAGGGGGTTGGGTGTGCGGCTGAGCAGGCGAGCAGCAGACATGCGAAGCGAAGGCGAGACGGCGGAGAACATGCATGCGAAATGTGCGCGTGAGGAGCAGAGAGCAGAGGCGGGTGCTTATCTTTCGAAGGCGCTCGTTGACTGAAGCAGAACGGCGTTGACTGAAGAAGAACGGCGTTGACTGAAGCAGAACGGCGTTGACTGAAGAAGAACGGCGTTGACTGAAGCAGAACGGCGTTGACTGAAGAAGAACGGCGTTGACTGAAGCAGAACGGCGTTGACTGAAGCAGAACGGACGTTGACGCGGCTCTGCAAAGAAACGGGGGAAGGAGGTACGAGGAAAGGGAGTGAGTGCAAGGGACGAGACGAGCGACGACGGGAATAAAACGAAAGCGCGAATGAAACGAACAACGAAGGCTTCGCTGCTGTAGCACACCCTAGGCGGGGGGGTACCTTAGGCTTAAAAATTTTGCACCTGCAGTGGGGGACTGTGGGAACTATACCTTAAGAGTCTGTACCTGAGACCTGGGGGGAGCTAGGGTGTGCTACAAACAGCTGCAGCGACGTGAAAGACGGAGGGACCTTAGTGCGAAGTGATACTCATTGTAAAACGTGTTCGGAGCAGCACGGTCGTTGGCGCGCCTTCACGGTCGCGCGGTCATCGAGTCGCCGACTGACGCGCCAGCACGCGACGTTGACTGGAGGCAGCGCGGCTCTGCGAAGGAACGGGGGAGGGAGGTGCGAGGGAAGGGAGTGAGTGCAAGGGACGAGACGAGCGACGATGGGAATGAAACGAAAGCGTGAATGAAACCAACGGATGAAAGGAACCACGAAAGCTGTTGTAGCACACCCCAGAGAAAGGGTACCTTAGGCTTACCGTACCAAGGACGTACCTGCACCGGGGTTAAAACTTTTGCACCTGCAGTGGGGGACTGTGGGAACTATACCTTAAGAGTCTGTACCTGAGACCTGGGGGGGGCTAGGGTGTGCTACAGGCAGCTGCGAAGACGTGAAATACAAGAGGAAAGACTTGCTTCTGGTGGGATACTCATCGTTAAACGCGTTCGGAGCAGCACGGCCTTCACGGAGGCGCCTTCACGAACGCGCCTTCACGAACGCGCCTTCACGAACGCGCCTTCACGAACGCGCCGGAATCGCGTCGTCGACTGACGCAGCAGCAGTCACAGACGTTGGCTGACACGACGGAGCGTCGCGATCTTCACGGAAAGTCAACGGAGAGCCACGATCTTCACGGAAAGTCAACGGAGAGCCACTATCTTCACGGAAAGTCGAGATCTTCAACGGAGAACCGCGATTTCGAAGTAGAAGTGGCGCAAAATCTGCACGACATAAAATGCGAACGAAATTAGTCGTCATATGATTTGAAATAACAGAAAACGAACCAAAAGCGGAGACGTACGGGCGAAGCTTCCGCAGGCGTAGGAGTATCGTGGGTCGCACATCGCTCGCCCAGCGAGAATTAGTGGACGTGAAGCTCGCGTAGCGTCGCACGTTGCTCGCCCAGCGTCGCACATTGCTCGCGCAGCGTCGCACATTGCTCGACGCCTCGGGTGGTGGAAATAGCAAGATGCCGTGCAGCGACGCACTGCTCGACGGATAGAAGCTAGTGCGAGAGCAAAAGAGGAGCGTCGTGGTTGCTGCAATATAGGTTGCGGTTGAAGAATAATCGGAAGGCGAAAGTGGAAATGCAGGCTGCACGAGGAAATTAATAGGCGATGTGGTGAGAGCGAGGTGGCGTGAGCGAGGCGAGATCGACGCGAGCGCGAGGCGAGACGCGTGGGAAATGGCGAGAGAGCGCTCAAGGCGTGGGGTGAGAGTGGAGGCGCGTATGGCGCGGCTGAAAACGAGGAGGGTGGGGTGAGGTGAGCAAGCTGATAGCAGCCTGTCTAAGGCAGCAACGTTGGCGGGAGCAAGCAAAGCTATGGATGGTGGAGGGAACCGATTGGGGGGGGAGCTCTGAATTCTGCAGCGCCAGGCACTCGTCCTTGGCTCTCCTCTCCAACCAACCCCCAACTCCAAGGCCGCCTGCCACCCCACCACCGTGGGGAAGCTTGGGGAGGATGAAAACTTTCCAAGGGGTGTGCCTTACGACGTGTTGCGACCCAACAAGGTTGGGTTGGGTCGGGTTGACCTGGTCGACCTGACCATCGCGGCTCGGGGCCTCAAAGAATTTCTAAGAATTTTTGGCACACCCTTTAAGCACTTACAGCGCAATTTGTTTCTAGCTTCCCTGCAGGCTAGGCGAGCTGTGACGAGAGTCAGAAACTCGCTGAACTAACGGTTACTCCGAAACTAGCCTCGCTGGATTTCCAATTCGTAAACGAATATAATATGAACATTTAGCGAGATTTTGAAATTCGCCAGCTTATGTAACTCGTCGCAATCTTGCTGAGTTGGTCGGGTCGACCTGGTTGGCCCGACCAGGTCGACCCAGATCGGGCAGACCCAACCCGAAGCGGTTGGGTCGAGCTGGTTGGCTAGATCCGCAACGCAGCCTTCCTAGAAAAGAGAAATCCGACCTGGTCGACCCGACCTCTTTGGGTCGCAACACGTCGTTATGAAATACTTCCCGATGGCCCCTGGAGGCAACTCAGTTGTTTTCCTGAGTATTAGCATATGTGGGGTTCAATATCCAGATTGTTACGTAAGTTTCTCTGGTCAAATGCAAAGTGTGCGCTGTGAACAGAACTTTTGGTTTCCTGTCGAAAGTGCATGAATTGCGGGCAGCACAGTAGAACTCGCCTGAGGGCAGTGTTTCGCGTTGGCTCCGCCGCTGGTGTCAGAAACCCTTCGGGCCTCGCGATTTGTTGCGAAAATCGTTTGGCGGAGAAACCGCGAAGTACCCGACTGCTCTAGAAGAATTGACCAATCATGTGGTTTGCGACTACGGTAAACAAGGCAGCGACGGATGGAGATGGAAATCACTCTGCCTGGGCAGACTTTCCTGCCCTTCATTTTCAGCAGTGAGCTAAAAATATGTTCGAGCGGTAGTGTATAATCGAAAAGCCAAAATATTTGTTCGAACTCACTCTGTCTGGTCCTACAAACATTAATTTTCACTCCACCAGCGCAACTTTTCCAAACATATATCCCCCGTTCTCCCCATGCTTTTGGCGAAGCGAAGGCGCGCGCAAACCGAAGCGCTAAACCAATTTCTGCGACTGATTTCGGGAGCAAAAGGGGGAGCGGCGGAGGGAAGCCGTTGGGGGAGCAGCCTTGGGGTTGGTTGGGCGCTGGACTGGGCTCCCCTGATTTGGGCTGGAGCGTCGGGATTCGGGAGGCTAGCAGGTGCAGTGGCTTGTTCAGCCAAACCTGCTTCCACCACCCACACATCTCCACTCTCCCCTTCCCCCGTCGCAAGCAAGGCACTCCACTCAGTCGCCCAACCCACAGATCCGTCGCATTGTTACTTGCTGCGATTGCTCGTTGCAATTGATTCCACACATTCGTTCGCACTTTCACTTTCGTTGTCGCACATCCCTCAAGCCATGGTTCCAGCAAGTTCCTCTACTCACTGTAACAAGTCCTTCAGGTCAACAACGAATTTGCTCGAGTCTACTCGCGCGTGACGATACTCGACGGTTCTCGAGACGGTTCTCGCTGGGCGAACTATTTTAACGGCGGCTACGGTTAGTCATCCGTGCGGCGTTTACACTCCGGCTGATAGAGCATCTTGCGAGCGACGAAACTTACCGCTGGTCAAACTTCTTCTCGCTGGCGATGTTGAGCGACGATTCCTCATTTGCGTCATTTTGCTCGCCAACGACGTTAAGTCGACGCTCGCGGCCATCCTTCTTGCTGGCGACGGTTCGTCTCTCGTGCGACGTTTCCTTTCCGTCTATCTAGCTTCTCGTAGGCGACGATATTCAACGCTGGTCGCAATTCTTCTCGCCGACAACGACATTTGTCGCTGGCGACGGTTCGTCTGGCTCGCGACGAGTCGTCTCGTCGCAGAAGGCTCTTCTCGCTGGCGACGAGCTCTTGCGAGGCAGCGATTCCAATCGGCGACGTGTAGTGATGTCATTGCGAACGCGGTGAAGCCGACCAGGTTAGTCCATGCAGTTCCCTTCAATCCACTCGTCGCTCATCGTTTCGCGCAGATAAACGTATTTCTAGTTGCCTTCGCGTAAATCCGTGTTCTCACCTTTCGAATTGGTCGCGTGTTCTGCGTGGTATGGCAGGCGCGTTCGGCGATGCGCGTTCGTCGCGAGCGGGCGTGCAGTGCAGCTCGCTCGCTCTCGCTCGCTCACACGCAAGCAAGCCGCGCGCGCTGCTGCGGGAGCTGCGCGACGGCGTGAGCGCGTGCGCGCAACGAATGGTGCGTCGCGCTCGCCTCTGGCGGACATGGATTCACCGCGTAGCGCCGTGCTGCATGCCCCACCTCGCACCCTCGCTCACGTCACGACGTGCTCGTCAGGTAAGCATTCCACCTCTCCGCTGATTGATCTGACTGGCTTCCGCCGTCCCAACCAACAGCAATTCATTGCCTTATGCCGATTCTGGAAATCATCCACCTCACTGATGCCCGTTTGAACGCCGTCTTGGTGGCGTCAGTGTGACCTTGCTCTCGCTTCCCTCACTGCTACCTTTCCCTCTCGCTTCTCGCTTCCACTCTCTCACCATTTCCTTACCCCGTCTCACTTGCCTACTCCCCCTCTCCCTGTCTCACCACCTCCCGCCCTCGCCCCTTTGTGTTCCCCTTCTCCACCCGCCCGCCTCCAATCCCTCCCTGGCAGGTCACTGGCGCAGCTGCACGCAACAGGCAGCAGGGAGCAGGCAACAGGCAGCAGGCAGAAGGCAGCAGGGAGCACGCAGCAGGCAACAGGGATCGGGCAGCAGTGAAGCGTTGACTATCTCCGCCTTCAAGCTAAGTGCCTTGTGATCGCTGTTCAGGGTTTGCACTGTTGCACTGTTGCACTGTTAGCGTGTCGCATCTCCATCCAAATCGGGCCATTCGTGAGGGCACAACTTGCGAGTCACAGACCATCCCTTCCTCAGGTTCAGGTTCAGGTTCAGGTTCAGGTTCAGGTTCAGGTTCAGGTTCAGGTTCG